CCGAGGACTACTACACCACGTATGGATGAGGTTGCATTGACGAACGGATATCTCGGTCTTGGGACCTGGCTGGCGAAGGGATATCACTGCTTATTGCAGGGCAGAGTGGTGCGGGTCGTGGCGTTTATGCCGCGGCCGTTGAACAGATGGAGTATACGAGACGGGCGTCGAGGCGTGCTAGGCGTGCTAAGCGGGTGTGGGATGGGATGGCGAAGCGAGGAACAAGTGGGGGGCCTGGGCCAACCCACCGCTACCTCAGTGTCGGGAAGGTGCAAGCGGTCCCATTACTCTAAAAGTATACATGTGTTTGCCCATTGGTGCCGTATGTGTGCGTGTACGTGTGCGTGTAGTATCAATAGGCGCGCTCCCGTGGTTTGCGCGCATGCATGGGGCGGGCCCTGAGCACCCACAGACACAGACACAGACACAGACAGATAGAATACTTATGCACGTGCTGACTTTTGTTATCCCGCGTGCTGATAGACGATATCGTCGTTTCCCCACCAAGGCGGGCAATTTAAAGGGCCCGGTAACGAGCGATAGGCAAAATTCCCATATACACTACACTGCACACATACATATGTACGTACATAATACATATAGACGCCAAGCTCACGTGCGCGCTGAGACTTGCCGAGGCCTAGCTTGCACCTGCCCCAGGGCTTAATCTATCCAACCGACAATGGCGATCGTTCCAATCCCCGGCCTTTGCTCTATCAATCCAACACACACATGACGTTCGATATACGCCAAAGGAATGCCGCTCCTCAGCCGCCCTCGTAAAGGATAAGCACCATGGTTTATCGTATTGTAATACTAACGCCCGCGCCGTCCTGTCGGCGCAACCCCCCAATGCCCTAACAGCGACACGATTGGCTGACTCGGACCCAGTCTTCCGAGCAAACATTATCACCACGATAGAGGAGTACAAGGAGAAAAAAATCTGTCGTGGACTCGGATCCTCCTCGGTCGCATCGCAAAGCTTATCTCACGCCTCAATGGTTCTGTCATGTCTTGTCAGTGTGTGTGTGTGTGTAAAAGCGGTGGGCGCCGATGTTTCTGGCGCTGAGGGGCAAGCCAGAGACGCCTTGTCCGACGCCCAGGTCTTGGGGGCCCAGAGAATATTCCAACATACGACGACGCGGTGGATCTCTAATGAGCGGCTGCGAGTCTGGGGGCGAATGGGCGAATGGTAGCGCGGATGGTGTGCTTGGCCAAGTCAGCGGTACTGGCTAAGACCCCAAGCTTCCAGCCATTATCTTGTTCTCCCCGGGCTAAGCGGGCGGCGAACGGCCGTGGCACACACACACCCCTGGTCGGTCTTATCCGATCTCTGTGGTGTCTTGTTCTTCTGTTGCATATCTCGACACCATTGTTCTCTGATATCGCCCGCAAAGACCAGTGGTTGGCTGGTTGGCCTGATGGCACCATAGGGCGACCCGCAAATAGCCGCATTCAGGCCCTCAGCAACCTGATACCTCGACGAGGGCATGCATGGCCCGCACACCCATCCGCCGGGTCTAGAGAAGCAAATGGGACGGTGGTAGCGCATCTGGGCGGTGCTTGGGAGGGCTGGTAGCGGGGTAGCGGTGCCCTCCTTTAGGCAGGAGATAAGAACAAGGCCATGCCACCTGGGCGCCACCGCGAATTGTTATCTTGCACGGGGCAAGCTCTCTTGTCCTCCAGCTTGCCAGTGGTGGTTAGCAACTTGGCGAGGCTTGAGTAGGCCGTACCGCCTCGGCGATGCGGTGCGAAAACAGCTTCGTGCCGCTCTATTCACTCACGCGCCGATTGCCCTCTTAGGTGTCCCAGCCGCGGTGGCAATGCCCGCTGTGCTGATGCCACATACCGCGACACTGTCAATACACCGCTGATCCTTGCTCCAGCGTGCGCGCCTTCCTCATTTGGCCTCAGCCTGGGGAGCACGATGTTGGTCCCGTCATTTGCGTGCTCTAATTAAATACACCTTCACTCGGCCATTCTCACAGCTTCTGCTTCTTCAGGGCCTTCTCTCTCTCACTCTTCCTCACTGCGACAATCCATATAGCTGCCATTGGCTGCTCTTCGCAACAGGCCCAGATCCCCCGGTCATTCTCTTCCACCACCGCCCAACATGCCTGTCGGCGACGCTGGTGAAGTCGTACGTCCCACTCTCGCAAATAAACAATGCCGTTGCAATGCCCTCCTAACACGTTCTGCAGCAAGCCGTTGGCTTGGACCCTGCCCTAGTTGACGCCTCGGGTGACCCCACACGCCAGCACCCTGAGCAACACACCGTTGGCGCCCCCGCCTACCTTCACTCCGAGGGAAAGGCCACGCTTCAGGATGCCTATCTCTCAGAGGAAGATGATTTCCCCACCGAGGAGGAGCTCGCTACCCTTCCTCGTGTCCCTGCCAGGATTCCATGGAAGATCTTCACTGTACGTTTCTCCTCACGCCAACTGCACGTGAGAACCACGCTGACCCCATTGACTAGATTGCGTTTGTCGAATTGGTTGAGCGCATGAGTTACTACGGTACTGTTGCCGTCTACTCCAACTACATCGCTAAGCCCCTCTTAACCCCTACTGGTGCTGCCACCAAACCCAGCGATGCTGAAGCCCAGCCTGGTGCCCTGGGCATGGGCAAGCAAGTTGCCTTCAGCTTGACCACTTTCAACGCCTTCTGGGTCTACGTCTGCCCCCTTTTCGGTGCATGGATTGCCGACACCTACCTCGGTCGTTTCAAGACTATTCTCTACTCCGTCCTTGTTGCTGAAGTCGGTCACCTTATCCTCGTCGCTTCCGCCGCCCCTGGGGTCCTCAAGAACCCCGACACTGCTCTCGGCGTCTTCATTCTCGGTCTCATCATCATGGGTCTCGGAACTGGAACCTTCAAGCCTAACATTGCTCCCCTCATTGCCGAGCAGATTCCCCAGGAGAAGATGCGTGTTGAGACCCGTGGCACCACTCGCGTCATTGTTGACCCTGCTGTCACCACCACCCGCATCTACAACTGGTTCTACTTCTTCATCAACATTGGAGCGCTTGTCGGTCAGATTAGCATGGTTTACGCTGAGCGATACGTTGGTTTCTGGCTGGCTTACTTGATCCCTACCGTCATGTTCATCGTTGCCCTTCCCGTTTTGATCTTCTGCAAGAAGTTCTACATCCTCCGCCCCCCGAGCGGCAACGTCATGGGCCCTGCTTTCAAGCTTCTCTTCAAGGCGCTCGGTGGTGGCATGACTGCCAACCCCCTCACAACCTGGAAGAACTGGAACAACGGCACCATGTGGAACTCCGTCAAGCCTTCCACTCTTGGCGCCAACAAGCCTAGCTGGTACAACTTTGATGACGCCTGGGTCGATGAGGTTGCTCGTGGATTTGCCGCTTGCTCTGTTTTTTTCTGGGTCCCCATCTTTTGGCTTGCCTACCGCCAGATGGACTCTAACCTTACCCAAATGTGCGCGACCATGAAGCTTGGTGGTGTCCCCAACGACATTCTCTCCAACCTTGACCCCATTGCCATTATCATCATTGTAAGTTTGACTCGGCGCTGCTGATTCCGAAAATGTTACTAACTTGACCTCAGGTGCCAATCATGGATACCGTCATCTACCCCTTCCTCCGCAAGCGTGGAATCCGCTTCACCCCCATCAAGAAGATCACTGCTGGTTTCATTCTCGGAGCCTTCGCCATGGTCTGGGCCGCCGTTCTCCAGCACTACATCTACAAGACCTCTGGCTACTACGAGACCCACGACCCCGACTACAAGACTGACATCTCCGTCTGGGCCGTTACCGGTGTCTACGTCCTCATTGCCATTTCCGAAATTTTCGCTTCGGTCACCACCCTCGAGTACGCTTTCACCAAGGCGCCCAAGAACATGAGGTCTCTTGTGCAGTCCGTCCAGCTCTTCACAACTGCTTTCTCCGCCGCTCTCGCCCAGGCTTTCACTCCTCTTACTGCTGACCCCCACATCACCTGGAACTACGGCAGTGTCGCCATCATCTCTTTCGTCACCGGTATTGCTTTCTTCTTCGCCTACCGTACCATGGACAAGCAGGAAGACTCGCTCAACCTGTTGCCCACTGGTCACCTTGGTACGGAGGAGCAGGCGGCCGACATTGAGAGGCGTCAGAGTGTCACCGCCACTGCTGAGAAGCACTAAATGTCTCGCATTGATGTAAATGATGCGAGGTGATTTGTTAGACATTTTACTGTTCAATGCTGAAAAACGATGATATACCCCAAACTCATGTGTTCAAGAAGTGCAATGAGATTGATTGCATGTTCGCTGTCGCGGCCGGCAACATGCTCTATACCTAGTCCCGAATTAATACAAAATGTTTGTTCAAAATAAGCTCTATTTGCTATGACTTGTGAAATGATTACCTTTGTTGCAGAGGTTGTTGGTCATGCCTTAAAATAACTGTATTCGACGTTCCTCTATCAATTCTTAGGTATATAATTACTCATTTGCAATCCATGGTTGTTCCCCAACATTTGGGTTCTTGACAGGTGTTGATTGGGGTTGCTTAGGGCGGTATCTCGGTGTTCCATGTCGTGTACCATGGTTGAGCACTATGTCGACTACAAGCACCAATGGTACCATTCGCTTTTATCTTGTCGCAATGCCAACTAATATATATCAACGTCCCCCTGGCCCCGTCAACTTTTACAAGCTTTTGACATCTTCTTACTTCTCAGACAGCGAGACAGTGTGCACCAGCGGGGGTTCTCACAGTGATCACACATATACCACAATAACAGCCACAACAACGCGCCGATATGTCTGACACAGACTCACAATGCTGGCCTCACAGCACACTCCTCACAATGCCGTCCAACACGGATTATATAAAAGTTCTCAACAGGCTTTCTCCCTTTTGGAATGAACAGCTAGACGACTGTACAACTCTTTCAGCCTTTGTTTCGCATCCGCCAAAACGCAAAACAACAAAGTTTAAATCAATATACCATCCAAGCTACTACTATCCAGAAATGGCTTCCTTCGCTTCTCCAATGACACCAGCAGAACTGAAATACGTTCTGGAAGCGAAGACACGAGACAATGGACTCACGCAATCTGGGATTCTCCAGTGCTGGCTACAAGGGATCATCGGGACCAACATGCCTCTCAGCATGAGCAACAGTGCAGCAACCCTCGCACTTCAGGACGCTACCATAGTTGGGCTAGATGCAGAATGGTACGAGCACGACTCGTCTTTGATAACTGAACTGGGTGTCTGCATCCTCGATCCTCGGAGCATTCTCAAACCTAGCAGTACCAGTACCATAGGTCCGTCATCAGTGTGGGACATTCTCGCGGCGCTGGAAACCCACCACGTACGTATCAAGCCGCACGCGCACCTGGTCAACAAAGACTTCTGCAGCGGATATCCCGAGAACTTCCAATTCGGAAGTACAACCTTTGCAAGCATCCCAACCGCCCAAGAAATGCTGCGGTCCATCTTCCTCCGCCACGACGAACATGCCTTCCCTCGCCCCATCATCTTCATCGGGCATGCTGTAGACAACGATTATGAAGTCCTCAAGCAGCGCTTCGGCATCGATGTCTTAAGTCTAGGCATAATCGTCTCAACCCTTGACACCCAAACCATAGCCATAGAACAGTCACTCTCCCCCATGAACCGTCAGATCTCATTAAAAAATCTCCTCGCACACTACGGAATCCAAGAGCAGTACCTGCACAACGCAGGCAACGATATCGTAACCACCCTCATCACCGCCCTCCTCATGACCCATCCCACCACCTCCTCCCCAACACCCTCAACCCTCGCCTACGCAAACCTCAAACCCCTCCTCACAGCCTCCAATACCGCCTCCTCCCCGCACCACCCCTCCTACGGCCAACTCCGCTTCTGTACAAAATGCGACTCGCAGCTGCACACTCTGCGGCACTGCAAAGTATCAATGCTACACTGCGAGTTTTGCGCTGGAGACCCGGAGTTAGTGGCGCAGTCCCATACGCATAAGACGGAGAAGTGTGTCGAGGGTGCGAGGGCGAAGAAGGCGAGGAGGACGCAGAATGCGGTGCCGTGTCAGTGGTGTGTGCAGAGTACGGATCCGAAGAGGTATAAGGGGAGGGAGGCGTATGGGCATGATAATGGGGAGTGTCCGTTTTTGGAGGGGTAGTAAGATGGGCAGAGATGTCTCGATTTTCTTTTTTCTGTTTGGGGAATTTGCTGTGGGGGAGTTTTTTTTTTGGATATTGTAAGTACTTTGAGAGTACTTCTTAGAGCTGATCCTCTTTTGTTTTGTTTTTGTTGGATAGATGAAGTAGTTAGCAAGTCGTAACATTCCCCATGATTTCCTAAATTTAAAAAAAAAACTTATTTAAAACATATCCGTTCCATTGGCCTACATGCTCGTCTCAACGTAACTAACTACTTCCCCATAACCCCCTCCATCCACGGATACACCGTAGCATTCGCCTCGGGATACCCCATATGCAGTCTCTCCCTCAAAAACCTCATCTCCTTCGGACTCCCATACTCCGCCAGCAACATACTATCCTCAACCGGCATACACCCATCCAAGACGCCATTCACAAGCAACAACCTGCAACTCGCCATCCCTGCCCCAACAACCGCTACGCCCTCTCCTTTGCCACTAACAAGACTAAACTCATCCTGACACTTCTCCATTACCTCCTCAAACGAATCATACCCATACTTCTGTCTATACGCCTCCTCAAGCCCAAACGGGTACTCGTGCTTCTCCACCTGTGCAAGCCACTCGCGCCCAATGTAGTGATGCGTCCCCGCGCCGTGCCCCACGCTGCCAACCAGCTTTGTGCGATGTGTGTGCGCGAGACGGATAGCGTAGTAGCCGCCTGCACTTAGCCCCCACGCAAGGACTTTACCCGCATCGAGATAAGGGGTTTCGGCGATCCAGTCGAGGATGCTGGAGAAGAGGCGGTCCGGGGATAAAGGGTCGCGTTTGTTGGCGGGGCAATCGACGGTTGTGCCGGGGATGTCGCAGAGGACGGTGGCCCAGCCGCGGTTGAGGTGTTCTTGGGTTCGCTCCGTGTTGTCAGGGCGGTGGCCGTCGAGGCCGGTAATGAGGAGGATAGTAGGGAAGGGTCCATCGCCGGGGGGTTTTCGAACGTAGACGGGGATTTCGGGGCCGTCGCCGTTGGAGGCGTGCTTGTGCGGTATGTTGATGTCGTGCATGGGTTGATCCCAGAGTTGGGTACCGCGGAAGTAGACTTTTTTCTGCTCTTCAAAGACTTTCTTCTTGAGTTCTGTGCCGATGTATGGGAATCGGGCTAGTCTGTATACGGCATTTGCGTTTAGATACAACTTCTTCGCGGCCTCCTCGTCCTTGGTCTCCATATCTTGTGCCTCTTTGGCTAGTCTTTGGGCAGTGGGTAGAAAGGCGTTGGTGTATGCGTCTTCATAAGGATCGTTGATATTATTGTCGATGAGGTGCTTGAAAATAGGTTCAAAATCTTCAAACTTTCCGTCGTGGAACGGATAGACGCCTTTGGTGCAGGGAAACTTCCAGCGTTGTTCCCATAGCTTCTGGATGCTTCCGCGGTGACCGTACTCCTTTGTGAAGAGATCACCCAAAATCCAAGTTCCGTCAGGCATGGTGTGGAACAATTCGTAAATATACTGAAAAACAAAAGACTAGAGCAATGTCTCAATGACCCTGCATAGAGTGATCCATTGCTCGTATGGCTGTATAAAGTATCATGTTCGGCATTGGCGGGGCCGGATTGGATCGACTCGGCCCGGACGGGCCCCCAAACGGGTTTCAAGACTCAACTTTAAAAGAGTCTTGGACGTTACAAAGTCACCATAGTTCATTCTTAGAGGTGGGAATTAGTGAGCATTTCTGAACCGTGCTAGCTTAAGGATACTCCTCATTGTTCTCCTCGCCAGCCTTGTGCTTCACATATTCCCTCAACACTTGCACAAGCTTTGCTCTCCCATCTTTTCTTTCGAATACTTGTGCATGGTCCACTGTAGGCCACCATATAGATTCCATACCATGGCCTTTCCATTCAGAGTCTTTCCAACTGTGATCCTCGCCCTTGAGATCGGCGTTATTCAAATACTTGCCAACAGTCTGGGTGTCGACAATAAGATCCCGCCCACCAAGGCTCACAGTCACATCCCGACCTCGCAAATCCTCTTTCCAAAGAATATTCTGTGCCCAGAAAAAGTGGCGCGCTAACGTATGTGCGACCATCATATCGGTTGACGCAAAGTAGTACAGCTGATGTTCGTTTGCACCTCGCGGATGACGCGCTGTAAAGTTGTATGCAACGTCTGGAAGGTGAAGAAGAAATGTAACTGGGTCGATGAAGACCATGGGTCCAATTTTTGCAGCGGTGGTAGGGTTTTGAATGAGATGTGTGGAGATCACAGAGCCGTAGGAATGGCTACCAAGGACTACTTTGTCGAAGCCATGGCGCTCAAGGATCATATCAATCTGACGGCACATCTCATCTCTTCCAGGCATGGACTCGGTGATGCGGAAGCTAATGGGCATGAGTTCGATCGCAATGACACCGACTTGGCCATCCTGGGCTGCAAGTGGATCGTGTTTGTTGATCTCGGCTAAGAACTCGACATATGGGTGTAGGCCGATACCAATTCCGTGGATAAAGAGGATAGGTAAGCGTGTTCTCGAGGTGTGTGGCCTATACCAGTAGCTCAGGTTTCGAGCGGGCGAAATGTTGCGTGTAGTGAGACTTGCTAGGCGTGGTGGAAAGACAGCCAACGTGTTGCGGATATGGGTGCGAAAGTGCATGAAGCCAGCATAGCGCAGGCGAACGGCTGTGATGGTGTCGACAAGCATCACAATCTGGTCTGGTCAGTATCTCATGAGCACAAAATAACAATGTACATACCATGTACCACAGAAACGGTCGGTGAGCCATGTTCACCTGGTCAATAGTCAAGCGCAGGCTCTTTGCGCTGCCCATACCAGGCGCTAGCTTCCGCCCCAACATCGTTTCAATACCATCGGCATACTCATTCAATTCGTTGTCTTCTGAATGGCTCTGCTCCGGATGTGCCTGCCTCTTCTTCATGCGCTCATCATCGCTTTCGGTACCGCGATTCAATAGCGCCCACGCAAAAAACTCGCGCACATTCTCTCGTCTCACCTCTCCAGGCCTGGCGCCCAGAAACCATCTGCTGATATAATATTCTGGGTGAGGGATCTTATCCCAGCATCGCCAGAAAAGTTCCTTCCTTTCTTCCTGTGGGAGTAACGGGGGATGTTGTGCTGATGCCTGGAGCGTGCGCTTGCGGGGTATGTACACAAGAAGCCAAAATGCCGTCTCGATAGCGCTCCATGTTAGCAAAAATCGACGAAAGGCTGTATGAGGAGGCTCGGCGATACTGAACGAAACCCAGAATATGCTGAAGGGCGTGATCGCGCGTAACCCTAAGATGCACGTCCGGATAAATATGTACTTTGGCACCGTATGATCGATCATGATCGCAGCAAATGGTGCTCGAGACCGTTCTCAGGTTTCCCGCAGTCTCATACGAAAAAGGTGAGAAGTTATTGTAATATCACAAACATGTTGGCTGTTGATAGACGGGAACTCCACCTTCTGAAGGCACCGATGACGCGGGCACTTGCGAATTTCTTAGTCAGCCTCACCCTGTCATCTGATCATCTTGCATATCATTATCTTAATTATTGCTGCCTGAGAATATAACCAAAATTCTAATCTAGTGTTTGTACGCTGATATCCAAACGAATAACACTTCCCTCTAGGCCTGTCCGAAACGCCTCAGATCTTTTATATAGTCTAAGAAGATTGGTCTGACCCATCACGTGACGAATGTCCACCACCTGAGCCACGACGGTAGCCACGACGCTTGCCAAAATTGCTGTTGGATCCATTTTCAGGTCCTTCTCTCCAAATATCGTTCCATGGTTGTTTCCTGCGGCCTTCGTGGGTATCCTCCTGCCCATTTGGCTTCGTAGAGTGCGAAACCTGACTGGGCGAAAAAGAATGGTAATGGTCTTTATCGCGCGAATGGGGTCGACCGTGGTCATCAGAAGAGGAATCCCCGCGTGGATCGTGTTTGTTCCTTTTCTTTTTCTGGGCTCGTGCCAACGCATCTCTCTCTCGCCGTCGAGCTGCGTTGTCCTTGGCAACGCACATGCAATGTGCTGAGATGTGTTCCTCGCCGGGTTCGAGTTGGCACTTGTTGGACTTGCACTCGTCACAATGAAGACCTGTCGCTTTGCAGGCGGATTTCATATGTCCGGATTGACCACATCTCCAACAGTACTCTTCTACACCGCCAATCGATTTGAAGTTGGTGACGCTATACTGCTCGATATCAGTGGCCACTTCGAGCATCCTATGCTTCAAGTGCTTCCTGCATGCGTGTTCACCAAGCCCAATCTGAAAGGCAGAAATCAATGTGCGGCCCGCATCGTTAGCCGCGGTGTGGGGGTCACTATGCTCGAACCACAGATTTTCCACAAGTCGCTTCAGCCCAATCTGTTCCTTGTGAGGCATGTTCCAGCACTTCCCCTCTCGAGCAAGAACTTGTGTATCAATGTATCGGACCACCGTGCCAAGGGGGTCCATGTCAAATTCGATCGCTTTGTGCTTCAGATTGTTCTTGTCGTGGCTAACATCATGACCCAGGACGACAATGGGATGATTTCCTTTCAACCCAGAAACGCCCTTGATAGGTTGGACAAACAAATCGTGCATTATCTGGCGTGCTTGGGCAAAGGTGACAAAACGGCCTTTTCCAAATCGGTTGCCAAGTACCCCTCGAGATTGGGGATTCTGGTTTGGCAAATGCGATGTCTCTATCATCCGTAGCAAGTAGAATTGTACTTGCTGCATTAAATGCTCTCCAAAATCTCCAAAATCTTCCCTATTCACAAGCGACACAACATCTTGCCGGGAAAAGGTAGCGATACCCACTTCGGTCGTCTCTTCCGTGTTGTTAGACCAGTGTTCGCAGTCCAGACACACCACGATGATGTGGTTGGCAGCTTCTCGTGCAAAATCAGGAATGTTGGAAATGTGGTTCATTCCAATGCAGTGTTTCCACACTTCAATATCTGTGAGTTGACGAAAGCGGCTTTCGAGTACTTTAATAGCAGAATCTTGCTGTTGCTGCGCAGCTACTGCAAAAGGAATGTTCATTGAGAAAGACGTCGACTCGGCACTGTAGGACGTAGTGAATGCGGTATCCATAGCGAGCGTGGTATCCATGGCGATCTATAACAAATATAACCGGTTATAACAACAAGGCTCCAGGCTCCAGGCGCCAGAGGCGTAATGATGTAGCTACTCGGGCTGAGTTCTTGAGTTGAGAGTTGAAAGCCAAGGCCTGGAAGTTGCGCTGACGCCAGACAAAAGACTGAAATGGAACTGGAAAGATGGAAAGAGCCACCATCTATCAGCTTGTGCTCACAAACAGGACATTTGAGTAAACAATATGAGAAGCAGTGGAGAGTGTGTGAGAGATGCTGCAAGCCTGGGTTGAAGCCGGCTTAGCAAACAAATGGGTACTGGTGAGACGATATTGGTGAAGGTGAATGCGCGGGGGTCTCGGATCGATGGGAGTAGTTTAAGGCCCGGGGTTTTCCCATGAAACTGGCTTGAATAACAAAATTTATGACTTACAAGTATGGGTTCGTGTTGGAAGAAGATTTAGCGTCTGAGTCGAGTGTTGTGCGTAGATTTGCTATCGTGACGGCTGGCCCTAGGCAAGCCTACACCATACCCTTGCTCTTTTTTCTACAAACTAGTTCTAGTCACAGACTCTGCAAGAATCACGCTAGGAACAGCAAGGCTATCCATATTTTATACATGACAAGAAGACGAGATCACGTTTTCCTTGTGGGGACCATTCCGGTTAAACCATGGTTTCGAAGACTATGGATTGACAATGTCAAAAAAGGTGTTGGTGAGATTCGCTAGATCAATATTTGGCAAAATGTATCGCGTGGTAATGTCTGCTTGAATGGTACGATATTGTCGTATCAGGGTAGCCGAATATCCAAAAACTACAACTGTATGTCAAGTTCATATATCCGATCAGTGATTCATCATCGCTAAACGCTTCTTAAAAACGGAATTAGCGCTTCTTGACACAAGGTTAACGACCACGACAATAACAACAATTGGTTCTGGTCTACGTAACGCGAAACCAATATAATACTCTGTAGTAAATTCTCGTAGCTGATGATCGATTGCAATAACCAGATATCAGATACGGAGTGCACACCTCGGACCTCCCTGATTCCAACAATGGGTGCATGATTCCAACTGTGTTCAAGAAGACATGAGAGCGGAAAACACCATGAATAGGTAAACGCACGCTGACTGTGTGCACATGTCTGATAGGCTACACTGCGTGAGGTGAACCGAGTTTTCCAAGGAAACCAGGAAAAGTGGGGAGTTCTATCCCATTCCCACAAAGTGAATGTGAGAGCGCACAAAGACCGCACATGAACCAGTGACATACGAGAACTCACCAAGTGGGTCTACGCTGCGTGTGATAACAATAGTCCACCTACTATGCTCAGTCTTTCCATCCCCTGTGGGCATTCACAGATCTCATGACTCCCAGGTTTTGATCAAGAACCTCTTTTCATATTCTTCCTCAACTAAGGTCTACTCGAAACAACAAATACCGTCCAGGAAAAAATACGAGACATTCCTTGGGTCAACAACACATCATGGGAAATTTCCATTCCTCAAAGCCTCCCGAGAAGCGGTCAGAGTCCAGCGCATCTACAGGCGAACAAACTCTGCCTCCGCTAATCGAAGGACTGGCGACTTTGTCGATTACTGACCCGCTATTCAGTGAACGGATGGAAGATGTCGCCCACTTCTTCCAGGGAATGAATTATACAGAGACTATCGAGTTCTGCTTGGGATTCAAAAGACCAAATACTCCGGTACTTGCTGAACACGTTGTGCTCATTGCGGTGCAGTATGGCGAGCTGGATGGCGAGCGCCCTGCACTGTTGGATATTGGAGTACACACTGTCAAACGCCGAGGCATACAGGAGAACTGTGCATGCCCTGGACCGCATAGCCTGAACATCATTCGCAACGTATCATACCATCACATATGTATGCAAGATAATGCGCGTTATGTGAATCTCCTGGGAGGTACTCTGGATTCTCAGAGAAACCGCTTTGGATGCACGCGGTTTGTAGACGGAAAAGAAGCCAAGGTTGTGCTAGAAGGTTTCTTCCGACAACCTGTCGAACCCTTGCCATCGAGAAAAAAGTGTTATCCTGTTTCAAACAAGTCTCTAGTCCCAGGTGCTTGCCCCATTGTCATTCTACAGGACGGCTCATGGCAGCGTCATTCACTACTCAATGCTCTCAGTCTTGAACAAATCATCGGAGAAAATATTATATCAATGATAAGCACGCAACAAATTGCTCACGAAACAGGCTTTGGCTGGCGCGACAAGACTTTCACATTGGGGCAACTCGCTACCGATCTCAAGATCGACTTCCCTGAACACCGGAGCGCTGCCGACTGTGCTGCATATTCCCTCATAATGTGCATACAGATGGTTATGCGCTCAAAGACACCACTGGCGAAGCAGCCAATTCAGTCTATCGTCAACGTTGCAATGCTGCACAGCCAATGTAATCAACCGTTATGGGGTAATGAACACCATTGTTCGAGGTGCGGACAACACGATCACATCCGCAAGAATTGCCGTGTGATGCAGATTGTAAGGATGTGTTCCAAATGTGTTAAAGCAGGGAGGCACCCGGCTGCGTGGTCGCATGTGCCGCAAATGTGCTCCTGGTAACACTGCTCGTCATTGCCTAGTCGGTTGGGAAGAAGCAATGTTCATAATTTTGGAGATGGTGTTCCGCTTCTAGAAAAGTATGTAGTAATAGCATTTATAGAAACGCAAAGCATCACTGTTTGCTGGACGATGCCTGCACCTTCACATGTGAACATGTGAACAGCACCAACCGTTTGTGGCGTTGGGCTGAGACGTTGTGTTTGCGGGATGAGATCATCAGTACCAAGCCACATGTGGCGGCAGCAGCCGCCGCGCACCCTTCTTCCACACCTCAAGGGTCACAACCTGTCACTTGTCCTCTACAAAATCTTATTTGCCACAGCGCATTTTGGCTATCTCATAGCATATCCATACACGTACACCGACGGCGCGGTTTATTCTGTATCGACCTATTGTGCCTGATACAAGGCTGGGGTCTCCACACCTGCTTTCCCCGCATCCCACCTTGTCAGGCCATCTCCACGTGTTCGCGACTCAAGTCTACAAAGTACCTCTCGGCCATAGGTCGTTGGATCTTCAATATTAACACCACACCAATGTCAAATCCTATAATCAACGGCGACAACGAGAGCGCTAGCGCTCCCCGTGATCATTTGAGTAACTTGCCCGAGGAAATCTTGCTCCAAATCTTCGAAGCCGTGGGCCGCAATGCCAGGCGCGACCTCTGTAATGTGTCGCGCGTCAACAAGAAATGCCATCGCCTCAGTGATGCCATTCTCTACAAGAGCATTCTTTTCGATTCGCCAGAGCTACATCTCACCTTTAGCGAGTCGCTGAGTCGGCGGCCCCGTCGTGGCTCTGCTATTCACGAAATCAAGCTCTCATACCCTTCTTCGGAACTGTCGCAACTGGCCCTCGACGCACCAGTACATGGCTCGTATCTCGACCCCAAGAGATCAGATAGCCTTTCACGGACATTGTCTATCATGTCGAATTTGGAAAAGTTGGATATCTCAGTACCAGATGTGTTGCTGCATGGCATTGGAACCTTGTTCAATGGTCCGTTCGATCTCACCTGTTTGAAGACGTGTTCGCTATTCTACCAATGTGCCAATGATGCATACTGGGACCTCCGCGAAAACATTCACATATTCGCTCACCCGTCTCTTGAGACTTTGACCATTCGACGAGCGAAGCTAGACGAAAAGGGCTTTGACCACATCGAGCGACCCCACATGACAGCGCTAAAGCGTCTCCATTTGATCGAGTGCGACATTAACGATGATTCGCTTGGCGATCTCCTTGAACTGCCCGAGGCGCTTGAGGAATTCGTTATGACGCAGACAGAAGAGCCAGAGCCAGAGTTGGAGGAGAGTTCCGATAACGTTGGGGACTACATCTTGGCTGCACAGTCGCAGGCGGAGTTTTTGAAGAGCATCACAATCGACCACCCGACGCTTACTGGACGTAAGGTATTACGAATGAGAGAGTTTGCAGCACTGGAGACCTTGCGCTTGAACTGGGACTATCAACTTTTTGGAAAATCGTCCAAGCGACCAAGGCTCCACTCAGTCGGATTACCGCCGGTCATGGAAACGCTCGAGTTCTTCAACGACCTGGGAAGCGACAATGAAGTTACGGATCTTTTGTTGGCCACGATCGAGCAAAAAGACGTTGTTGCGAGAAACTGGAAGAAGCTGATAGTAGTTGAAGGGGAGAGTGGGGTTTCTCGAGAAATCAAGGATGCGTGCAAGGCAGCGGGACTTCAGCTAGACATCATCGGGGCTATGGATGAAGATTCAGATGAGGACTCAAACAATGATTCAGATGAGAACTCAGATGACGATTCGGATAAGGACAGCGAGTAATTTTGGAGGAAAGTCGATCTTCACCAGTATCCGCCTAAACGTATGCGCCGCATGACGCTGGAATACCTGGTCGCACTCGACCAAGTGATTTTCAACAGGAGCCTCGCCGTATCAACTACGCTACTCATCATCGTATTGCACGCTTCAAATCGCATCAGGTTCGACTTGAACTCTGGGTAATGCCATGACACATCATTGTAAAGACCGATTTTACTACCATGATGTCGTTTCTCGATATCAAGAGGTTGTTAGATTGATATTCCAAGGACTTTAAGCGGCTCTTATCACGCGAGGCCACATCAGTACGGATTCCAGGAATGACGATTGTAACTAAGAAAGTACCCCACGTCCAGGCGAGAACGATGAAGTCAGCACACGCGACCACACTGTGTATGCCTAGTCATTCGGTTTATGGAATTGGTCAAGTGTAGGTCGCGGATCAACCGTGCATGGGGGAAGTGGTTCTTGCACCTGCCCAGGCACTCATCTGTTACACATCCCAGGACTATTTGAGGCATCTGTTACAGCAAACCAAAGTCGTCGACAGCGTAGAGTTGGGCAGCCTATTTCTCACTTGCGAACTACAGATCAACCTCTAAGTCTATTTCTTTCAATGGCCCGTGGGGTTCAACAAAGCGGAGGAAGTATTCTTCCTATCAAGACCACACTCGATTAGAAACATTCTTAATCCTAGAAATATACATAGATAAAATAACATACACAACACTACCTAGATACCTTAATACCACTATATCTTCACACATCCAAACAGGAAATCCTCTTCTTCTGCCTTCTCCTTTTCTTACCGCAAAACAAGCGTATACCTCCCTTTAATCACTACTCTCGCCCTTCTCCCCACTCCATTTCCCCCGTCTCGCCCTCTTCCCCTTGCCATTCCCCACTACATCCTCCTTCCCACCCTTTCCTCTGCGCAACCCACTATCCCGCCACCCTTGCACATACATCCACACATGACGCACGAGCACGAGCACCACCATGGCTATGCTTTCAGCCTTGAGTTTGATGTGTGTGGCGAGTACGTAAGAGAAAGTAGGTCGTGGTAGGGTGGTGAGGAGAGAAAGGGGACGTAGATGATTTCCTTGAGGGCTGCGGTTGTTGTGTTCATTTTTTGGGGTGGGTGGTTGGAGGAGCTGGGGAGAAGGAAGGGCAGGGGTATGGGAGGTTTTGTAATGGTGGTGGTGGTGTTGACTTGGCGGGTTGTGAAGCGATGCTTTTTTGGTATCAATGCATTGGGGTCTCCTGCGTGGAATTTTGTGAATCCTGTGGAGCGGCATTTTTAGACTTGCAGCCATGCATGGTGGTGCGTGGCTTCCAGGGTTGAAATAAGGTATCGTTGATAGTGCGGTCCAGAGGTTTGATCAAGATATTTGCGGACAATGGGAGATAGCGCTTTTCATCTATATATCCCACGTTTGGTGTCTGTGCCGTGATATGCAGCGCCAGCAGGCAGTTCGAGTGGCCTGTCGTCAAAAGTCGGCTGTAGCAAGTCAGTTCAACAGTATTCCCAGCCAATGTTACTTGAGATGAAAGAACGAACCGCTGCGACGTATCCATCAATTTGCTGGGGAGGCAGAGGATCCAGTCTCCCACTCCCTTGCAATTCCTGAGGTCCACTGTATTGCTCTTGGATATCGAGTTCTTGTGAACGTAGCAGCGCTCCTTGAGGATTGCTCTGCGCACCGGCTGGCGCGGTATATTGGTATCCCACAAACGGTGTCATCTGGTCTTCCTGCATTTTGCGTATGGCCTTTTTGCGCTGTCGTTGTTTTCTGCACATTACACAGAAGATGACCGTGCAGAAGGCCCCTATTATGACTAGACAGCCGAGGCCAACGATGCCTCCGATAACGGCAGGTTCCAGATATGTGCGGCGGTGAAGGGGCGCCATGTTTCGCGGTATAGCCTGCCACGTTTTCGAGCTGGTATCGGGTTGTTACTGTACATGGTATCACATATCAGGAACCCGGGGGTTTGATGTATTTAAACATGACATTGGCCCGGGGTGGCTATGCAATGCGTTCAAGCCACGAACTTGGCCTGACGCAGCCATTGGCAGGATGTAGTGGAGCGTCTGCGGGTTGTTGGGGGCCTAAATGTTCATCTGCCCATTGTATTTGCCAGGCTTGCTTGAACGGATGTGACATCCAAGTGGCTTGAAAGTAGGGCCGAGAATAGAATGGCAAAATGAGGAAATCTGAGTGCGGATCATAGAAATATAGTCTTGACGAGCAGGCCATGAGGGTGATGATGTGGAGGTGCCCTGAGTGTGCCATCACGCCTACCCGGGGTCTACAGCAGTCCCGATCAAATTCGTATTCGCATAACAAGTGGCTTACACTGAAACCGCCAACTGCGTAGAAAGGTATACACGTGACGATGTCTAAGAGTGTGGGTAGAAGTCTCCAAGCCGCTTGCGCTAGCGCCAATGGATGACGCGCGATTCGGCCTAAATGAAGATGACGTGCGGCATCTAGCTGGCCATGCAGATCAAAAAGATATCGTATGCTCAATATTCTATCCAGCATCGCTTCTTCTTCCTCTCCATCATATGTGGACATTGACGATGCTGGGATCAATAAACTCCCGACTGCGCTAAGCTCGGCTACAATTCTCCCAGCCACGGCTGAACTGACATCACGCGCCAACGCAACCACCCCACCACTACGCATTACTGCCTTTTGCGCCGCAGTCACACTGCATAGCATCTTATCGCGCTGATCGCGGAGCCTACAAGAAGAGACTGCTGCGCGACACTGCCCCAGTCACAAGTCCCCAGCATCGGCCACTCAGTTCGGAGTATGCACTCGCCATATCGACACACCAGAAGACGTCAACACTGCAACAAACAAAATGGATGAGGACCTGCACATGCTTGAGGTATGTGGACAAGGAGAACTGACTCAATACGCGCCTCCGCTAACACGGACGCGTCTTACAGGAGGAATATTGCCCGCCAATAGACCCCACACTTCTCTATACCATCTATTCAGACTATGCAGGGGAACCAGATGCCGTTGCCCGCACCAGGGAACTGTTGGAGACCCTGAAGGCCACAGCCGAAGTGGAAGCACTTAATTTCGACCCCTCTGGTAGCAGTGGGGGCGCCGTGCAAGATAGTCCAGACAAAAGCTGCACCGACGCCGATTCTTGGGGCACCCAGACGGTAACAACGGAGCACTCGTCCCTTTCAAACGACTTTGCTTCGCTTAGTGTAAGTGGGTGTTCAGGAAGCCCACAGGAATCATTCGAGAGTGGATACTACAAAGACACGGAACAGTTTGATGTTCCTACCAAGGAACTGCTGCTCGCCGAGACGTTCCCCGGCTTGCGGCTCGCCCAGGTGACGCACACGCTGAAAAAGTGCGGTTACGATTACGACAAAGCAACGGATGAGCTACTCAATCATGTCTTCTTCGATGATAGTAGGAAGAGCCCTACAGAGGAAAGTCCTATTGCCAAGGGTATTGAAGCTTTTTCTGAAGACCATCATATACCGCAAAAGAAAAAAAAGGGCAAGGCAAAGAAAAGGCAGAAAGTGTCTTTGAGCAATGTTGGGGCTGATTACTTTGTTGAATCAGATGCGCCGACAAACCGCTGGCAGAACACAAGCCGCGATGTGGAATTTGTCACGTCGCGAACGAGCGTACCAGCAAAGACTGTCTCGTCGCTCTATCATGCGAATGGCGCATCCTTGTCAGCGACTGTATTGGCCATTGTGAGAAGAGACATTGAAGTGCACAAGAAGGAAGGGCAGCCAGATGCTGCGCTGGTGCAAGACGCAATCACCCTAAACGAGAGTTTTCCTTCGATCGACTTGGAGCATGCCATTGCGGTCGTGCGCCTGACTGTCCCATCAATCATCAAAGCCAAAGAACTCGCAAAGGCCCTCACCCAACAACCGGCGAACGAAACAGGGGGCAAAGGTGGCATCAAACTTGACTTGCGATATGCTCCAGTCGATCTGTCTGATCCCTCGGAAGTAACCAAACTGCCCGTCCTTGCGCCTTCTGCCAGACCGCGTGACGCCGTCTCTACCGCTGCTGCTCGAAACGATGCGTTTACAAAAGCATCCGGCGCTTATCGCAGAGGCAAATCAACGCCGCTCATGAGGCAAGCTGCAGCATACTATGCGCAAGAGGGCCGTGACCTCAACGCCAACCTGAAAGTCATGAACGCAGCTGAAGCCGATTCTTTAGTTTCGTCGCAATCAGGACCTACGTACCTTGACTTGCACGGTGTAACTGTTGCGGATGCGACTAGGATAGCAAAGCAACGCACCCAAACTTGGTGGAACGGCCTCGGGGAGCGCAAGATTCCCGAGTGGAGTGGCCCTGGTCGAAGAGGTGGAGGCGATGTCTTCAGAATCATCACGGGTTTGGGTAGGCACAGCGAAGGCGGTCGAGGTAAACTGGGGCCTGCGGTGTTGAAGACATTGGTAAACGAGGGTTGGAAGGTTGAGGCTGAGCCTGGTGAGTTGTACGTCACAGGTTTGGCAAGAAGAAGATGAACTTGAGCCTGGATCTGGAAAAGATGAGTTGTATACAGGCCATTTCTGTGTCAATGTTGTTTCAATATACCCTTGTGTATGCGCAAAAGCGCAATGATATGATAAATGATCAACATTGTTGCAACAACGATTGAGTAAACCAGAGGGCGTTGAAGTTGGCATGCCCCTATCCCTCTCTCGACGTGTTAGCGCCGCGCCAAGTCTCCCACCGTTAACTGACCCACACTCGCCTTCCCCGTGCCCCCATTTTTCCCATGGCCATTACGCACGCAAGAACAAATCTCGAAACACTCGACAGCTTGTCGATAAGCTCTTCCTACATGAACAGTCGCAGGGCCAAGGCGCAATCGCCCTCGTGCCTGGGTTTCAAAACCAAAACGCGCGTTTTCCCCCTCCCTCTTTCGGACATGTATGGCGCCGCGGCGCGTCTGCCCGTTTCATGGGGGCTGCGACAGAAACAGCTACACCATTTGTATGCGAAAGTCGTTCTTTTGGGTAAGGATAAGCTTGCCCGTTGACAAACGGTGTGTATACACATTGATTGCGAAGGAGTAATCGCCCAGCACCAACTCGATGATGCGAATATTCAATTGATGTTTTCAAACCCTTTCCAGCATGGAGATGGGATATTGCGACAGCAATATTATCAACTCGCTCATCGTGCGAACATGTACATCTACCAGAAAGATAGTCATCGTTCTATCCACATAGTGGGCCCACCCACGTAATGAACGTTTCGCCCTCAAGGCCTCGTAGTCACAGACTACCCGCATTGTGCATGCCTTGCAGCACCTGCACCCGCCTGAGGGTCTGTCCACCCTTGCGCATACGCAACATGATAGCCTCACAATCGGGATCGCTACCAACACAGTAAGTCAAGGATGGAATAATGGAATAGCCAGTTTGAACGCGTCAACCTTTTGATACCGGACGTGCCCAGCCCCGATGGCGGACCCTTGCTCCAGTGCAAGAGAAGAACGAATATATAGAAGGCAGCTAGAAAGTAGACAATTGCTTTTTTGTTATCAAGTCAAGTATTCGATACTCGTTCAGTTAGGCGGTTGCAAGCACCGTTCACGCATATACATATATATACCATCAGCCTTATACATTCTGCTGCCAGCCAGCTTCTTCTTTACTGTTCCTACACAGAGTACTTTCATACACCGCTGCCGGACAGTCTCTTTTTTTCGATACGACTATCTTTTTGAGAAAGATATCACGATACGCTATATTTCACAAACGCCATCATGAAGTTCGACACTAGCATTCTTCTTGCCTCTTTGGCTGCTTCCGCCGCTGCTGCGCCGGCTGCCAGGCCCAACAATATTGCTCTTGGGAAGCGCTTTCCTGTGCGTCTACTTTTTATTTCCTCTAAACGGCATTCGGTACTGTGATACGGGCCATCATAACTAACAAATATTCAGGACGGAACCGCAGCCCAGCAACTCCCCGCACACTTCATTTCCACCGTCCGCCGCCTCTCAAGCGAGAAGATTAAGACTAAGCGTCAGCTCGATGGTCTTCTCGACAGCCTGAATGGCGGCGGCCTTGGTGGTCTCCTTGGAGGACTGACTGGTGACGGTGGTGGTAACGACGAAAACGCTCAGCAGGATTCTGGCAACGCTCAGCAGGATTCTGGCAACGCTCAGCAGGATTCTGGCAACGCTCAGGAGGGTTCTGGCAACGACCAGGAGGGTTCTGGCAACAATCAGAATGCTGATGCTGGTGCTGGTGCTGGTGCTGGTGCCGAGAACGATGCAGGTAACAACGGCACTGAGGCTGCTGGAGCTGGAAATGCCGCTGCGGATAATGGGCAAGCTCAGCTTGAGGGCGAAGATGAGCAGGCTCAGGGAAATGCCGCTGATGAAGATAATGCCCAGATCAATGGGTTCGGGGGGAATGATATACAAGGTATGTCTTTTATATTCTGAACTCGAAGTCATATACTAACGCTTCTCAGCTGCTGGACAGCAAAATGCTGGTTCTGCTGCTGCACAGCAGGGACAGGCTGGTACTGCTAACACGGCTTCTGCCCAGAAAGGAGCAGGAAACGCGGATGCAGTTGCTGCTCAGCAAGGCCAGGCACAGGCTGGTAATGCTAACGCAGCCTATGGTCAACAAAACCAGGCAGCTAATGCTGGAAATGCCAACGCTGCCTCTGCTGAGCAAGCCCAAGGTCAAGCTGGCAGTGGTAACAATGCTGGTGCTCAGCAAGGACAGGCAGCCAACGCTGGAAACGCCAACGCTGGAAACGCCAATGCTGGAAATGCCAACGCTGGAAACACCAACGCGGCTTCTGCTCAGCAAGCTCAAGGCCAAGCAGGTGGTGCTAATAATGCTGCTGCCCAACCATGTGCGGGCGCTGCTGGCGCTGCCGGTGCTGGAAACGCTGGTAATGCCAGTGTAGCAGACGCCCAGCAAGCCCAGTCTGGCAACGCTGGTGCTGCTGGTATCGCATCCGCTCAGCAGGCTCAAGGTCAGAACCAAGCCAGTTCCGCCAAAGCCTCTGGTAACGCTGCCAATCAGGGCGCCACTGCGGCTGGCAAGGCTGATTCTGCTCTTGCGGACTCCCAGGAGGAAGACTAAATACCTTTATTCTCTAGTTAAACACTGGGAGATAGTGGGGACTTGACGAGAGCAGGGAATAGGAAGAAGCGGGAGAATAAGAGTGGTGGTGAAGAAGAAGGAAGAGGAGGGGTTGGGAATATGAATGGAAAGGGGGCAACATAAGAATGGAGACCTAAGGAGATCATGACGATGATGAGGTGGTAATGTTACGATATATTTGGGAAGAACAAGTGTACGATCGCTTTTTTTTGCTAGGTAATGGGAATTATGAACTGGTTTTGTTTGGGAATGATTTGAATTGACCTTTTTATTTGACAGTGAAGAAAACTTGTATGAATAGGTTATTCTGAGCAAACAGAGAAAGAAAGGATACGGATTGAAGTGGTTATATTCGTGTAAGATTAGGATCATCAATTTACCAAAGGAGGAAATTCCAACAACACAGATATCAATAAGATACAGTGACAGGTTTTTTTATTTAAAAAAAAAGCGAGGTTGCAGCACAATAGTTCATTCCATACGTAGTACGATTCGTATATACACCTTCTTTCCAGTATCAATGCAAAAAAAGTACGCACATAAAAAAAAGAAGCCCAGAAAAAACAAACGCCGTATTCACCGACCACCAGCTCCTCATATACTCATTCATATCGCAGCATTACTCGCATCATCCCTTAAACTCCTTACCCCCCCCCCCCCCCAAAAAAAAAAGAGAAAAAAGCGTACGAGGGACGACCCTTTCCATGCCATCGTCATCCCCCTTGCCACCCCTCAACACTCGCATTAACCACCACCCCGCGTCGATAACTCTCCGCCAACCCCTCAAAAGAATCCAGATTCTGGACTCCACCACCAGGACACTTCCAATCGCGGTCATACGCCTTATCCGGCAAGATACCGGCCTCGCGTCCGCGCCGATAACTCCACTGCGTGCTACTCTCCGTCTCCCACGTCCAGTAGAACCAGCCCCAGCCAGCCTCGAACGCGTCCATCTGGCCTATGGCGAACTGGTAGAGCCATTTTTTGTATTCGGGGGAGTAAGACGAGGGGTCGGCATTTGCTTGTTTACAAGAACACTCTGACGATTGGAGTGGACACTGCGGAGCGAGGACTGCACTGGTTTTATCGGTGGGTTGGAGTGTGCCTTCCCAGCGGGAACCCGTGCCCACGTTGTTGATGTACTGCGTGCAATCTGTGTCTGCCTGGGACCACTCGCCGCACATTGTGGGGCCGAAACCCGTTTTAGTGTTCATGCTGCGTTTGGATTGCTGGGTCCAACCCTCGCAGGCGAAGTTGAGCTTGTCGCGGTGTTTGAGCTTGAGTTGGTCGGTGTTGAAGATTACGTATTGGTGGACGTCGAGGAGGAGGTCTTTGTTGCCTTGGAGTTTGCCTTGCCAGTTGTCGAGGCCCATGAAGCCGTCGCCGAAGATGATGATGGCGGTTATGCCGTCGGACCGGATTTGGTCAATGGCTTTTTGAGTCCAGGCGAGGACTTTTTGCGTGTCAAGTTCGACCATGCGGGGCTCGTTGACGAGGCCGTACATTGTGACGAGGTTCTTGTAGCGCTCTTGGGCGAAGAAGACGGAGAGCTTGTGGTGTACTTCCAGACTGCGTTCGGCGTTTTTGTCGCCATCGGTGCCGTTAAGCCAGCCAATCGCACCCTGACGGCCAGAATGATTCCATCCGTTCTGACTACCGGGCGCGCCGTGGAGATCGAGGTTCACGCGAAGGCCGTTTTGTCGGCAGTATTCAATGCCGCGGAGGAGGTAACGCCATGACACCTGCGGCACGTATACATCGTCATCGTAGGTTTGGACCATCCAGTAACCAAACGGGAAACGGACATGGTCCATGCCAGCCGCCCGGATCTCAGCAAACGTCTGTTTGGTGATAAAGGTCGCGTAGTGCTTCTCCAGTGTCGATTTGGCTTTGCCGGGCCCCAGCTTACTAAGAAACGTCCATTCGTCCACTACATTATCCTTTGATCCAAACTGCGAAAAGAAGGATGGCGTGATAAAAGGCTCGAGGTTGAGCCATCCACCAACATTGACGCCGCGAATCGGCATCTTGCCATATTCGAACTTGTCTGACAGCTTTGGTACGGACGGGTTGGCTTGAACGTCGTCGTTCCATGTCGAGTTGAGTCCAATAATGGGGAGGCCTCCGACAAGCTCATTCGTGTAGGTGACATTGAAGTCTTGAGTATCTAACCAAGACCACGGGTCTAGTATACCACCCCGATCCTGTTCAGGCACGCTGTTTCGATCTTTGCCAGCGAGGTTGCTAGTGGATGGCCCAGACGACGAGCCAGCTGCGGGTCCGCTTCCGGTGTTGGCGGGGCTACTACTCTTGCCAGAAAGGACTACCCCCACGGGTATGATGATGGCCAGCAAAAGTATGACAGACAGTACGCCGATCAGTATGCGCTTCCGCTTCTTCTTCTTTGCGAGCTCCTCCTCAGAGTCGACTGTCGGCGCACCACCTCCACGCTTCTCCATCATGTAGCGGTATTCTGAGTCGTCATCAATGCCTCCCTCTTCTGCCAATGGGCCACTGACGACACGCCGCTTTTTCTGCTCGGTCCTGTGCTGCTTCTCCTGCCTCCTTCGATCCCTTCTCTCCTCAGCTTCCGAGGCCGTGTACTTGGATTCACGTCGTCGTCTCCGCTCTTCTCTTTCGTCATCAGTGCGGGAGCCCCGCTTCCGCTCGAGCTCGTCCTCGGTCTGACTGGCCTTCAGCTCAGCTGCTCTCCGTCGCTCTTCGCGCCGCTTTCTTGCCTTTTCTTCATGGATAGCGGCATCGCTCTCGGCAGCGCGTCGCCTGGCCTCTTCCTCTTTCTGCTCCTTTCTCTTTTCTGCACGCTCCTCCTTTAACCTCTCCTGTTCGAGTTTTTTCTCCTTTCTTCGGACTTCCTTCAAGTAGTCCTCATCGTAGTCGTAGGTTCCCCAGCCACTCGACTTTTTGGCATTGGTCTTGTCGAGCTTTGCGAGGGCATCCAAGCTCAAGGGCGCAGAGCCTCGGCTGCCGCTGCCACTTCCATCTGTCTTGGAGTTGCGGCGCGAGCCCCGCGCTTTACGGGGAGCTGACGACTCGTATTCGGTATCGCTTTGTTGTCTTGAGCGACGCTGAGGCCGTGGTAGCGCGTCGCCTTGGGAGTCGGTAGCTCGGTGGCCTTTTCTTCGCCGCCCCTCTGCGTCTTGTGCTGCGCGCTCGCCCTGAGACTCTCTACGTTTGCGTCTTTCAGGATCTACATCGCCGTGCGATTCTCTGCGTCGTCTTCGCTCGTCACCGTGGGGCCGTCTGCGCGAGGGATCGCGGTCGCGGTCGCTCATTGGAGGAGAGTTGTTGGCTGCAAGCAGCTCTTGTGGGTTGGGAATGCGAAAGCGCGGTGTAGAATCGTGGGGGCTACAAAGCACTTCATACAAGCTTGAACATGACAAAAAAAGAAATACGCCGAGACGGGGAAATCACGACACGGGTGAAGGACTCGGACTGGTTCTCAAACTACCAAGGGCCTGCGCAATGGTAGCGAATATGTACAATGGCGGCTGGCCACATGCACGAATTCAAGCTTGCTGGGATGTCGAGGTGGTTGCTGGGGTGATTGGTGTTGATGGCTTACCTGACGTGGCCGAGCCGCTGGGCAGTGGAAACTGCTTGGAATGCCATCTTGGAAGCGCGGCAAACTTTGATTCAGACCAAGTTTACGATGTGATTTGTTGTGCGGCGTCAACAAAGCAGATATGCTGCGGTTGCAGACTCGTCAGCTCGTACTCGGTCTCTCCTGCTATCACACATCATATTGTGCCGCTGTGTCGCTAACAAAAGTTGCATGCATGCCAACCAGTCTAGAACGCAAGCGGTCAAAACCCAAGTCGTGCAGACAGCCCTCTGAGCCACGACAGTGCGTCATTCGACAAGTGCCGCACACCGCTGGAGCGTGCATTCTGTCGGGTACAGAAGACGACCAGGCCCTGCGTCAACAGGGCAGGCAGATCTGCTCAGCCACCCGTCCACCTCTATAACATGACATCACAGCACGTGGGAGCGACCCCTGGACCCCCACTAAGCCGTGTGTAAAAATCATCATAGTGTATTGAGTATGTATGTATGTGTATGTGGTATCATAGCGTGAAAAGTACAAAAGAAATGCGCCGTGGCGGATACGTCTTTTTCCTATCCGCCAATAAAGCCCACGAAGGCACACCCGTGCCTCTCCAACAAGTTGGTCGACGGGTAGTAGTGACGGTGCAACAACGATGGCACCGGTTGTATAGAACTGATAAGCCAGTGCGCTGCCCAATACGAAATAGCCAACCGGCGTTCATGGCAGCATACAGCGCGGCAGTCCTTTCGGAAGAGGAAGTGTATGGCAGCTCGCGCTGCGTGGACGGATCAAAGGAAAGATTGTGACTCAGAGGTAGGTGTTCACGAAGCAGTCACGCCCTGTGAAGAACCAGCAGCATCCGCAGCGGCGGGCGCTTTGCCCTTGTCGGCAGTCTTCTTATCATCATCGCTGTAGAGGCCGTGCTCGTAGATGTAGTCGACCACCTTGTCGGGAATGTAGTAACGGATGCTCTTACCGCGCTTGCGGAACAAGCGGATCTTGGTCGATGAGACATCGTTCTGGATGAGTTGCGGGATGACGCGGATGTTGTGTCTCCACTGCTGTAGTTGAACAAGGGCATCGTCTGTTTCGCTTTGAGTCAGCATTTACAAGGCAAGCGAGTAGGGAATAGCCTACCAATATCTGTGCCACTGCGTTCGAGGATAAAGGCGCCATAGTGGCCCAAGATCCTGCTCAAATCCTCACGAGCCCACAGTCCGGGGGTGCTCATGGTCTGGATTAGGTCAGCGCCGGCGAGCAAGGCAACATGGATGCGGCGCTTCTCGCCATTTTCAGTAGCGATGCCTCCCATGACTTCGTTGAGCTCATAGTCAAAGTGGTCGAGGACCTTGACGGTGGGGAGGTATTCCTTGTGCAGCGGCTCCCAAGGGTCAACACCGATCCAGGTCGAGCTGTCTTGGACAGCGATCCTGGTCATGTTGATTCTGTGCTGTGCAGAGGCCAAGCCGGCCTTCTTGTATGCATCGCCGACGGGACTAAAGAAGCCGCCGACGACTTCAAAATCGGTTTCGAATTCGCAGTAATCAGCCGCTTCTTCGAACATGCGCAGATGAAGATTGGTGGGCGGGGAGAAGGAGCCACATGATACTAGCACTAGCGGCTGCTTGTTAGGGTTGGAAAGCGTCTTCTTCAGCCTCTCCTTGGGAAACGTGTAGTTGTCGAGCGACATGGCTTCGGCGTTGGGCACTCCGGCATCAAGCAGGATATCGCGATTAGTAGTCGAGGTCATGGTCGCGATTTGTGAGGCGGCCGGGGCAGTGGCCGGGTGTATGGGGGGCAAGGGCGTGTGGTTGCGGCGAGGGGCCGGATCTTGTTTGGGAGATTGGACTGAGGAGAAGGGTCAATTGGCGGTGGGGAAGAGACATTTATGAGTGAAAGGCTTACGAATGCTGGGATAAACGGGGTTGTCCGGTAGCCTACCGGCGGGCTAGGCGGTAGTGAGAGGCACGCGGGTAGGGGTCTGTTATGACGCGGGGCTGTTGAGGCGACACCCGAGGGTCGCAAAGTGCAAGCGTGGGGCGAAACCGAAGGTGGTTTGGGGAGGCGGATGCGAGCGTGTTTGAGTTTGGGAAAAAGGTGGATCTTGTGGGAGCAATGGGGACGTAGAAGCGGGCGAGAGCGGATGAAGATCAGGAGCAGCCATGTTGTATCCTCATACAGGCCAGGCGGCAGCGGTTGAGACTGTTTCGCGCGGGCGGGCGGGCGGCGGGGCTATCGAAGTCTTTTGCTCTCGCCATTCATTACTCTATCCGTGCCACTGCCACTGCCGATCTGGCCGTGGACCCGTGGCTGCGAACTACTTGTATGGCCCACGGTGCATGAAACTCTTTTTTTTTCGCGCCCCCCAAGCATGCGCCGACATGCAGCCCAAGTCTGCATCCTCTGCTGCATATACATACCTATATGTACTACATACCTGGCAATAGGTAGAGTGTACAGCGTGCTTAGTCATGTGGGAGTGCTTCACGTGAGCGATGTCGGCATTTGGGCGACCCCACAGGCACTGTGGCTTGTCGCGGAATCAGCAGGCACAGACGGGCCGTGGCAGTGGGTGGAATGCTGAACAAGCAGCGTGATCTGGCTGCTGGCTGCTGGCTCCAACCCGGCCGTGGAAGAGCACGCCATGTCGGATTGGACATGGAACCTTGGCCTGACTCAACGATAACGCTTGTGTTATTCTTGTCCTGGCGCGTGCGAGTGGTCTGGTCAGAAGGGAGGGCGGGATAAGGCTGAGGGAGGACAAACAGTATCCCGATGGCGGGGATGAATGAGTGGATGGATGGATACGCACGACCCGCACAAAGGCAGTTGCGGCCGGACTTGTTGCAGAAGCGAAATAGAGGCAAGTAAATAGAAAGTGCTTGAGTACATGAAGAAATGGCTTCGGGAAACAAAGAATTCATACAACTACGACTGCAAAAGCAAGCACTGGCGGCGGCAGCGTCGTTCCAACCCAGCGCAGCCAGTGCAGTCGCAGTACTTACAGTGCAGGTGGCCGGGTCGCTATCGATAACGGCGGCCGCTAGTCAGGTCACGTAACTAGCTCCGCCGACCTGGCATCGAGGATATGGAACCTCAAGTCTTCGCAGCACTCATTGCAGCATTACCACATCTCTTTCTATACCCATCACCATCCCACTAGAGCATCTGCTCACCTGCTCTCGCTGGACCCTCTCTGCACCTCTCCTTCACCCCGCCAACCCGTGCCCTTGTGTGTTTGCACTCACCGCACTCGCTCGAGCACCCGCCTCATGGCGCGTTCTTGATGGCATCCAGAGGACCTCGTCAAAGGTAAATACCGTTTGCTTTGCTCGACCCGGGGCCGCCCCAGCTCTTCTCCACTTCACCGTCCACCTTCATCTCCTGCTGCGGGCGCTTCAGCCTCGTCTCATTGTGCTTTGCCGACACACAACTTGCTGCATCCCACCGGCGCCACCCTGTCCGAGCACGTCTCGATTGCACAAGCCTAAAGTCAGATTCTCATGTCGTCCAGAGTCACTCGCTCGCAAAGGCGCCAATCAGGCAATCCCCACACAAACAGTACACCCAACTCGCTGCCTGCACCACCCCCTCAGCCAGCCCTCCCGCCGCCCCCAACAGCTCGTAAGAGGAAGTCTGCTGCGCGCGACGACCAGAGCCCCGAGCAGCCCGACATTACAGACGCTCCGCCTGCCCGTTCCGCCCGCAACAAGCGCTCCAAGATTGACCTGCAGGAACCACCACCCCAGCCCAAAACCCGCTCCAACAAAGCAAAGGGCAAAGCCGCCGCCGTAATGTCTTCTTCTGGGTCTGTGCCAAGCGCTTATGATACCCATGAGCATGCGCTGACTGTCAGTAGCCCACCATCAGATCCCATCGACGAGAAGTCGACGCCACAGCCCTCGAGGCGCACCAGAGGCGGCCGCAAGAGCGGGCCTGATAGCTCTCGGCGGCAACCCAAGCCTTCCTCACACACCGACCCCGACCCCGACACGCCATCCACATCCCGCCGAAGCTCCCGAAGGTCCAACAAGATGGAAACCGATACCACCATGGAAGACGCCCCTCCAGCAAACGCTGAAGAGGATGCCCGCCAATCGGGCGATGATCATAGCAGCGATGATGAGCACGCTGACGAACACGGGGAGCGCTACGATCAAGAAGACGACGACGACGACGATGATGATGATGATGACGACGATGACGACGATCCCTTCACTGGCGGCTTTCTTGGACGCAACCCCCACAGTCTTTCTGCTCTTAGACAGCTGACAGGTATCATGGCGGGCACCACACAGCGCCTGCGTGGCATCCTGGAGCAATTGCGTTCGCATGATGATACTGTACAACTGGCGGCTCTTAATGAGCTTTCTGAAGTACTTCTCATCTCTACCGAAGACAATTTGGCTGGCCACTTTTCTCCCGACGCATATGTCAAGGAGCTTGTGAAGCTGATGCAGCCCAATGAGTTCACAATGGAAGAGAATCCAGAAATCATGTTGCTCGCCTGCCGCTGCCTTGCCAATTTGATGGAGGCGCTCCCCCAAGCTACCGCTAACGTTGTCTACGGTGGTGCAGTTCCTGTCCTCTGCTCCAAGCTGCTCGAAATTAATTTCATTGACCTGGCCGAGCAATGTTTGAGCACATTGGAGAAGATCTCCATCGAATTTCCTGGAGTTATTGTGCGTGAGGGTGGGCTTACTGCCTGCCTCACATTCCTTGATTTCTTCGCCACCAGCACACAACGAACAGCTGTCACAACTGCGGCCAATTGCTGCCGCAATATCCCAGAAGATTCATTCCCTGTCGTGCGCGACGTCATGCCTATACTAGAGAACATCCTGAACAACAACGACCAAAAGGTTGTTGAGCAGGGCTGCATCTGCGTATCTCGCATTGTTCAAAGCTTCAAGCAGCACGAGAGTAAACTTGAAGAGCTCGTCAGCCCAGGTCTTCTAAAGGCCATTCTACGGCTCCTTCTACCAGGCACCACAAACATGATTGGAGCCAATATCCACACCATGTTCCTTCAGGTTCTTGCGTATACCGCCAAAGCCAGCCCGCGTCTATCTGCAGAGTTGCTCAAGATGAATGTTGTTGACACTCTGTATCAGATTCTGACCGGCGTCTCGCCTCCAACGGGCACAGAAGACGTTGCAGCCAAGATTGACTCTGTAGTCATCATGCAAGCTCTTATCCATAGGCCCAAGGATCAGGTGTTTGAGACTCTCAACGTCATTTGCGAGCTTCTACCTGATGTTCCTCAGCAAGGCTTGTCATATCTCGACGACCTCTTCGACGCTGGCTATCCCGGTGACGACATTCTCCCTCTTTCTTCGTCGAACAGAAAAATCATGAACGAAAAGCGTATACAGCTGCTTGAGGGGTGCAAGGCCAAGGTTAAGCGCTTCGCAGTCATTCTTCTGCCAACCCTGACAGATGCCTATTCCAGTACTGTGAACCTCAGCGTTCGACAAAAAGTACTTACTGCTCATCTCAAGATGTTGTCCAACCTCGACATCGACATTCTCGAGGAAGCCCTGCGACCAGTACCTTATGCTTCGCATTTAGCGTCGATTTTCACTCAACAAGACCACCCATCTCTAGTCACATACGCTTTGCAAGCTGCTGAACTGCTGCTTAAGCGTCTCGAGTCGATATACCGCTATCAATTCTACCGCGAAGGTGTCATTTCAGAGATCCAACAACTTGCAAATCGTCCGTGTAAGACGTTGGACAGTCGGGCTAAAGAGTCGAAGTCTACAGTAGGAGCCCATGTGACAGCCTTGGGTGATAGTATTGCTTCTTCTGCTGAACCAGAAGCCGAGTCAGAAACTGGCAATCCGAATGATGGAGTCGATATGGAAATGCACTCCGATGACGAAGGAGACGAGGTGGACCTTGACGACGACCCAAACGCGAGCAGCCAAAACCGAGACGATGACGATGAATCCGACTCGTCCTCGTCCTCTGACGATCAGCACGAACCACCACCGATGCCCAATGTTGAAGACATAATCACCCTTCGCGCTAAAAAGTTCATCGAGACGCATGAAAGGGACAGCGACAAACCCACCCGCGACAGGGCAATTGCAGTATTGGAAGATCTGAAGGCGCTTGCCAACGAAATCAAGGCTTGTGGTTGCAAGGGCACTGCAAGCGACTTCATGAACCTGTTCACCCGGTTAGCATCTTATTTCGAGGGCGATGCGCTTGAAAGTATCACCAGTTACGAGCTCAAGTCGTCCAAGATTGTCGATGTGCTATTGGAAGTCTTCTCAAAGCCGACGTTTTCAAAGCATGGCGATCCTAGACCTATCTTCCTGGAGGCTTTCATGGGTGGTAGTGGCCAGAGCAAGATCAAGACTGCCAGCACCGCGTCTCCTGCAACACCATTCAGTGTCTTGGTGCACAAGCTTCAGGACCTCTTGAGTAGGTCCGAGCATTTTGATGTCATCACCGTGCATCAGAATATGTATGACAATCGGGGAAGCGCGACCTCCATGTTGGCTAAGCAGCTTCGGCTGAAGCTCGTCGCCGATGATGATTCAGGCATTCCCAAGACATACCGCAACATCATGGTGTCTATCCACGCTATTGCAACGTTCAAAGCCTTGGATGACTACCTCCGTCCGCGTATCAGCCTTGCAGACCGTCCTCGACCGGCTCATCCTAGAGATCAATTCGCTCGCGATCAATTCGAAGCCATGTACGCCCAAGCTCTTGCTGAAGGTCGGGCGCCTCCACCCCCTCGAACACCATCTGATCCAGCGAGCCGTGCTCCAAAGAAGCCATCGCGTTCCAAGCCAGGTCCACCAGATTCACCCCAACCAGGGCCTAGCTCCGCTACACGTGAGAAGACACGGCGGTCGAGCAGACGTCAGCAACAGAACCCTCCGCTACCACCGCCGCCCCCGCCCCCAGCCATGCCTCGTTCCAATAGCGGTCAGGACCCTGTCGAATGTGCCGATGAATCTCAGCTCTCCGATCCCGAGTCTGTGGATGAAGATAGTGCCTTGAATGCCATAGTGGACGATCTAGAGGAAGACCTCGATGAGGATATGCCAGATCCATCTGCCGTAAGCGTCGAAGTCGCATCAACAGGCAAAGCCACGGCCCACCAGGAAGACGGTACGAGGATTGCAACACCGGTACAAGGCACACCAATAGCGAAGCCACCTTCAGAGGCCAGGACTCCTGCTTCACGATTGTCTGCACTGTTGCAGAGTTCAGCTATGCGCCAAACCCTGGGAGGAGCGGCGAGCGCTCTTTCGTATGCAGCCGCGGTTCAGTCCACTCCCCAAGACTGGCACATTGAATTCAGTGTGAATGACCAGCCACTCTCGAACGAGACTACCATCTACCGTGCTGTACACTTCACACGATCTCAACCACCAGACGGTCCTTTGCGTTCAGTATGGAATGGCATTCATACAATCAAGTTCAAGCGGGTGCAGGGTCCACCACCGAGCGAATCCAGCTCTTTGACACCGCCTCCAGAGTCAAAGTCCGACGCTTCAGGCATGCCAGCTTCATTGGATGAACACCCTGTGACATCTGGTATCCTCAGGCTGCTTAGCATACTTCACGGATTGAATTCCCATCTTGACGACATCCTCCTGGCGAACAAGGAGCAGATCAAACTCAATGCGGAGCCGCTTTCGCAGTTTGTCAATACGAAGCTTACTGCGAAGCTCAACCGTCAACTTGAGGAGCCTCTCATCGTAGCTAGCAACTGCCTCCCTAGTTGGAGTGAGGATCTAGCCCGCTTCTACCCGTTCCTATTCCCATTCGAGACTCGCCACCTCTTCCTGCAGTCTACCTCGTTTGGTTACTCACGATCAATGACGCGATGGCAGAATTCGCAGCCCACGAGCGATTCACGAGGCGACCGACACCGGGATGAGCGACCCTTCCTGGGCAGACTCCAGCGCCAAAAGGTCCGTATATCACGATCTCGAATCCTCGAGTCTGCAATGAAGGTCATGCAGCTATACGGACACTCTGCCAGTGTATTAGAAGTTGAATACTTTGAAGAAGTAGGAACCGGTTTGGGACCAACTCTTGAGTTCTACTCGACTGTTTCTCGGGAATTCTCCAAGAAGAAGCTCAAGCTCTGGCGAGAGAATGAATCAAATGACAGCGACGAATACGCTTTTGGCAAGCGAGGACTATACCCCGCACCAATGAGCGAAGAAGAGGCGAATAGTGAGAATGGCGAGAAGCGCCTCGAACTGTTCAAGGTCCTAGGCAAATTCGTTGCCCGTTCCATGTTGGACTCTCGTATCATCGACATCTCCTTCAATCCAACTTTCTTCCGCATCAATGACGGTTCCAGCACAGCCGTCGTGCCATCTCTTGGGGCCATCAAGACTGTCGATGAGGGCCTGGCCTCATCGCTGTTACTGCTCAAGCAATTTGCCGACGCTAAGAAGAAGGTTGACGACAGCGATTTGAGTCCAGAAGAAAAGGCGGTAGCCCTCCAAGAGATTGTCATACACGACTGTACTGTGGAGGATCTAGCACTCGACTTCACTCTACCTGGCTATCATTCAATCGAACTCATCGAAAACGGCGCAAATACAACGGTCACGATTGAAAACGTCGACTTGTATGTGGACAAGGTTATAGATTTCACTTTGGGCTCCGGTGTCGAGCGCCAGGCGAACGCTTTCCGTGAGGGCTTCACAGAGGTGTTCCCGTATTCTGCACTCAAGGCCTTTACTCCAGACGAACTGGTCATGCTTTTCGGCAGGACTGATGAGGATTGGTCTCTCGAAAGTAAGTTCAGACTCTCTTTACATCGTACGGTTGTGCTAACAATACCTCAGCATTGGTGGACTCGATCAAGGCAGACCACGGCTACAACCTTGACAGCAAGAGCGTGCGCAACCTATTGTCTACGATGAGCCAATTCAATGCGCAAGAGCGTCGAGACTTTTTGCAGTTCATCACTGGCAGCCCCAAGCTTCCAATTGGAGGTAGGATCCATCTGATTGTCCCACAAAAATCACAGACATGCTAATCTTTTCGCAGGCTTCAAGGCTCTCACACCAATGTTCACAGTTGTTTGCAAGCCCAGCGAGCCACCATTCACATCCGACGACTATCTGCCGTCTGTCATGACCTGTGTCAACTATCTCAAGATGCCAGACTACAGCAGCGTCGAAATACTGCGGGAAAAACTCAGCGTTGCCATCCGCGAAGGCCAGGGCGCTTTCCATCTTTCTTAAAAAAAATGCAAAGTGTAGGTGTGTATAGTTTGGAAAACGAGGGGAGGATGGAGAGAGATATATGTATACCCTTGGTGGTGGAGTCTTTTTCCTTGGGCGCCACCGGAATATATTGATATCCATGGCTTTTTTTGGAAGATGCAGATGGCTTTTTTTGTTCATCATGCATAGGTTCTACACTCTTATGAAACGTATGCATTGCGGGGTAGTTTGGTTCTTTCTTCTTCTCCTCTTTCTTTTCCTGAAAGGGAATACGGTGTTCGAAGCGCATGGTAGTTACTTTGGGCCTTAGTAGTTTTAGTCTGTAGTTGCTACGCAGATTTTTTCACATACATTGGCAGGTTAGCCTTGTCTCTCTCTTCTTTCCCCGCTAAACTCATGGGTCATAAAATAGGGGGGAGGGGAGGTAAGCAGCAGAAACAAACCCATCGAACCTCAGTATTGGGTTCAGAGCACCCGCACACCGTGCAACCAGCAACCGTAATTCCCAATTACGACCATCAAATCAGCACTGAATTTAAACACCCCCCCCCCTCTCGAGATCCAACGATTCTTTCAGGGTCTCTCTCTCTCTAAGCCCCCCCGTCCCGTTTTTTTTCTTCTTTCCCTTGCAAGGTGTGAACGGGGGGGTTTGTCACGCGCGCACGTACCTTCCCGTATTTCTTGTTCTCGTTCCTAATCGAAATAAAGGGTGTGCGCGGACCCATGTTCGCGTGCCTGGGTTTGGTCTGTACTTAGTACGTGTGAGGCTCCGAGTGCCCGAGCGCGCGGAGTGGGTTGTGTCGGCGTATCCGCTGTGTGTGGAATTTGATTGAGTCGCGTATTTGAGGTGCTTGGGTTTTGAGGATGAAGGAAAGATAGAGAGGAGGGGAGATGGGGTGGTGTTAATATTGCATTGTTTTTTTGGGGGGGTAGAAGAGATGATGATGGTTTTCTTGGTTTAGATATCGGGGGTTTTGTTGTACGGTACGAATGTGGTTTGATTAGTGCTGAGTGGGGGGAGATGACTGACTCGCTACGTACTTTTTTTTGGCCGACGAGTGGACAGAGCGTTTTCTCTGCTGGTTGTTCGTGTCGGACATTTTGTACAGTGACTGGTGGGGTGTGAGATGAGAGTATTCATAATGTTTCTTTTTTTGGGTCAGCACTTATTTTATGTATGTACTGTTTGCGCGTCTGACTGCGCGTTTGGCTTTGAGAAGGTGTTTGACTCTCTCTCCTACGTCCTTCTTTTGGTGTGAGAGAGACATCGTTGTAGCTGGCTTCTTCTTCTTCTTCTTCTTCTTCTTCTTCTTCTTCTTCTTCTTCTTCTTCGATCGTTCTTTCTGGCTGTAGTTATTGTTTTCCCCATATTGCTTCGTTTCCGGCTTGCTCTTTCCTCCACGCTACGCCACATTAAGTGCCTTGCTGCCTTCTCCTTTATCTCCCATCCCTCACATCCCAATCCGTTTTTCCAACACAGCTCTTAAGAGACAAGTCTCCATACAACCGAGTGTTATAGCGAAGGAACAGAAACTACACACAAACGCACATCATGCCTACCTCACCACAAACCCACCCACTCCTCACCCGGGACCACTACGAAACCAAAAACACCCTCTCCATCTTCCACGATGAATCGCAAAAACGCGGCTTCATCATCGTCATCGTCCTCAGCGTCTTCGCCACCGTCGGCATGCTAGCTCTCATCTTCCTGCTCATCTTCCTCAAGAGGAAGCGCGACCGCCGTAACAAGGCCACGAAAATGGATGCGGAGAAGGGCTCGATTTGGCCGGGGACGAAGAAGGGAAAATACCAGAAGGTTGAAGATGAAGATCAGAAAGATGGGGTTTGGAGTGCGGATATGGAGTTGGATGAGAGGGGCGCGTATAGTGGGGCTGGCTATGGCGAGGGTGTGGGCAAGGAGCCGTATAGACCGGTAAGATGATGATGTTATGTATGGGTATATGAACAGAGAGCTAACGAGATGTAGGCTGATTCGCATGCCTCGAAGTGAGCGAGGTGCTCGTGGATACTATAGACTTTTTTGGGCTTTCCATTGTATATTTTCTGGGGCTTTTTTTCAGCGAAGCATATGGGTGGGATGGCAAGACATTTCTACGGAGTTCTCGTTTCATATATACTCAAGTGGCGGGGGTAACTGGTTTTAGTTTTTTTTATCGTTGCTGAGTTGTTGTCTTTGAGGTTGGCGCAGCCGCGACTTCGAGAAGCACTCGGAAATGTTGTCCTCCATGTAGGAATAAGAGAAGAGATATTGTAAGAACTAAGTCATAGTTTGCGAGATGCTGTGGTGTTTGGTCACTAGACCGAAGTTTTGAGATGGTTGCAAGAATAATTGTGTATACTGCCGGTCTGCTTAATTTGCTGAGACTTGCCCATCGGTCAACATATAACTGTATATAATGTGAATTGCAAACCTTTAGTATTGTAGATATGGGCCTATACATATCGAGAACCTGATTCTTTTTACTAAACACTAGAATATACCATTCGAGGCAGCAACACAAGTATAGGCTCATTCTATTCAAATATCTATATTAACGCAATATGTTGATTTCTAGAGGAATCTAGCCCATCTTGATCGTGAATCTATCCGCAGAGTCGCAGCCACTACAACAGTCAAACGAACCCGTGATCTACAATAAAAAGCTTCTTTCAAGCACACCAAAAAAACTGCCACCTCTACACACACACCCCATCACCTACCTCCCCGCCTTCCTCTCCTCCAACATCTCCTCCACATGCGCATTCAACCAATACTCCCTCAACGCCCCCTCATTCATATCCCTCGCCCCCTTAATAACCCCCTTACACGCCTCCTCCTTACACAAACACTCAAAAGGCTGCGCCATACTCCACTCAGTACTCGGATAAAAAAACGTGAGTTCATCGCCCTCCTTGAGGCCCTCCCCGCGTTCACTGACCCTCACCTCCCACTTCTGCATGTCGAACACTAGACTGGGCTTGCAGCTGTGGTTCACGTACAGCAAGTCGCAGTTGAGTTCGATATGCAGGTCGCGCGAGGCTTGCACGGAGGAGTAGGCGGCGCTGGCGGGGGTCGGGTTCGTGATGCGAGCGAAGAGGGCGCCCGGGGGGAGCGTGACGAGGGAAACGGAGCGGCTGGTGAAGGAGCCTGGGTGGTGTTCTACGCGCAGGAGGCGGGTGAGGTCGGGTTGGACCCAGGCGGGGATTTGGTGGGAGGCGCTGGGTACGGTCACGTGTTTGGTGGGGGTTTGGGCGGCGATGGTGGGGGTCGCGGATGGAGTCGGTGGCACGGCTGAGGGGGACATGGTTGTGGGATTTTATGTAGGATTTCCAGGTAGAACTTTGAGGATGTACAGGAATTGGAATTGGAGAGTATCTGTAGTCTAACAAGGGACAGAAAAGAGACGGACTGTCTGTTCTTTAGTACTCGGCCTGTACTAGGAGCTCGATTGACCGGACTATGCGTTGAAAGTGCCGTCTGACCGAGGGATACCAAGCCCCTTGTGAAGACGTAGTCCGTGTTTCTGTGTGGGTATACTATGGACGGCTCCATATTGTGGTCTGCGCCTTACGGCCATGTGCGGGTGCATCCCGCGTTGTGTCATTCTATGACTTGCACTTGTACACATGTCGTATAAGACCCGGTAGTAGCGTAGTGTTTGTGCCGAGGTATTCTACGGCAAGGAATGGTACCTCCGGTTGTCAGCTTTGGAGTAGTAGAATATACTTTAGTGTCTCTGTTCAATTCACGCGGAAAGATTGAGAAAAGGGAGGACAGGCAGACAGGATGTGCTCTCGTCTTGCTCTACTTCATACTATTTTGCCATTGAAACTGCTTGGGTTCATTCAATACGCCTATTACCATATGTCGTCAGACAGTATGTTCTGATTTTGACCAGTAGTATTCTCGGTTCGTGCAACGTTCTAACTAGTTACATAGTAGCGCCCACCTAGCCCGTAAACAGCAACACCCCGCTGCAGGTTTCCTTCATACTCGGCTTGTTGCAGAAGTACGATCTGTCCTAAAGGATGTTTCACTTTGAGTAAAGTGCTGTGGTCGGAAGTGATTTGGAATAGAGCTTTCAAGGGACCAAGCGCCACGTAGACAGAATTGTCCTGGTTGATCTCTAAGTACATTTCGACAGGTGCAGTCTCACAGTGTTACGCTCTGAACTATCTACACCTTATTCGGCTTAGAGGATCTTTCGTGTGGATCGTACTGGTGCAGTCCAAATCCCACAGCACGTTCTGGACTGGCTATACCCAAACATCATCTTTGAGCCCGTGAACGGCGCTAAAGAGGGTTTCAGCTCTAGCTACGTATGACTCTGTCTACTTACTGATATGACTGTAAACCGAGTTATTTTAATCAGTTGCTATCCACTATCACTCAACATATTCGGACATCAATCACTAAATTATAGGCATGTCACATGTGATTTGGCGACAAGTGTATCTCATCAGCTCTAATTGTATGGTTCCAAATCGTGGTATCCATTGATTTGTACTCGTACTAAATTCGTAACATCTACAATCACCATCTTTTTACTTGACATAAGTCTGCTCAACAGGCGAAACCCTGCCGTCGCTCTCAACGCTCGTCGCAGGTACACTCTGCAATCCCATTTTACTCGTGTCGTACCCATTCGCAGAGAGGTATTCTCTAAACTTGACATCCTCTTGATCAATCGTGTCCTGGCCAATGTGCGGAAGCAACAATACCAATACAGCAGCTACAAAAGCCAGGGATGAGGCTATGAAGAATGGGTTGCGGCCTGCTGCAATTTCGTCGTCGCCGGCTGCCTTTTGGATAGCGTCGAGGGCATAAGAACCGGCGAATGCTCCGATTTTGCCTACCGCGGCTGCGATGCCGTAGTATTGTCCGCTGTAGAAGGTGTTAGTTGAACGCTCTTTAGTACAAATAAAGAAAGATGGGGTCAATGCATACCGTATACCAGTAGCGCACGTCTTGGATGCCACTAAGCCAATATTGTCTCCTGGGCCAAACTCTCCGAGTGCAAGGAAAACACCATATACAACCACAAACCCAGCAACGTTCTCGGGCTTGCTCAACCACGGATAACACCCAGCCATGATAAAACCAATAATTCCCTGCAGCGTGACTCCAATAAACAGCGTCTTCTTCGGACCCATGGAAGGCAAATCAGCGACAAAAGCACCAGCAAGGCAACCAGGCATGTAGAAAAAGTTGATTAGAATGTTCCACGCCAGACTCTTCCATAGCGGTGCAGATTCCCCGAGTAGATTGGCCAGGATAGAGGTCGCGTAGATACCGAAGGAGTAGGCGCTAAAGTCATAAATGAACCAGATGATGCTGACAACACTAAGCCGGAACCAGTAAAACTTGATAATGAGCAGCCAAGGCGTTTTCGCTTTAGCAAGAGACTCGCGCTGGAACGCTTCGGGTTCCTGTAGTTTGAGACGAAGGTATAGAAGCGATAGAGGGGGGATAATGCCTATGCCGAGACAAATGCGCCAGGCGGCTCGAAGGTGGTTTTCGCCGGTGATAAGAACAACGACTGTGGCGACGATTGCGCTGATGAAAAAGGCCAGGTCGATTTGTACGTTGGTGAAGAGGATAAACCATTTATTTCGTGTTCCTTCTTTGAGCTCGCCTGTTGATTCGGCACAGCCTACGCTGCCGGCTGGATATTCTCCGCCAATACCTGCTTGGGTCAGTATGCTGTTCTTGTTGGGATATTTGTATTGACCATCTTACCGATTCCCAAGAAGAAGCGATATACGACCAGCGCTGTGAGTAGGCCGCTTGGGCTACCGCCGGCCCCATACGAAGCCGTGCCTAGTGTTGCAAACAGGATAATGATGATTGTCGAAGTGAACAAGGACCATTTTCTCGAAAAGTGGTCAGACGTGTAGCCAAAAAATAGCATGCCCACCACGGTTCCAGCAAATGTTATACTCGCTACGTTTGCCTGTGCCGAAGACGACGCATACGAGTTGGGATAAATGGTCTTGAGCATGGTGTTTACAGGCCCGATGATCTAGACATGGCGTTAGAAAATCTTGAAATCTGATAATATTTCTGATTCAATGATGCTTTGGGCGAAAATATCGTTGTTGCGCTGGAATTTTTTGTCGCTTGGGAGTTGTCGTACATTATTTAGATAGCCATCACTAAAGAGACCAGCGCCACATGCAATCACAGGCCATAAGCGCTCCCATCTTCCCTTTTCCGTCCTTGCGACACTGCCTCGACGTTCGACATCTTTTTCAGTTGTGCGATCAAGCTCGGGCTTGACTTCTGCTGCAGAAGCCATGGCGATGGAAGCTGCTTAGTCGCGTGGTTTCTTGGAAATTCACCCCGAGCGGCAGGCGAATCGAAAGTGCCCTATTGCAGTGACGAAACGAGTCTTGTGAGCGGACAACCTGATGTTTAAATAGCTCGGTTCTAGTAGCGACGCAGTAGTGCCACAGCCGCGGAATTGTAAGGACCCTGTGATCAAGTTTTCTTTCCAACCAGGTTGGGCATGGTGCAGAGGTGGTGATGCAGATCGAGTATTGGCAGCCACTCAGAGCACAGCAAAAGCTTTGCTCAGGTGTGTCTGTGTGCGACGGGAAGCTGAATGGTTGGTCTTGATGTAGCCGGAAACAGCAGGCCTCAAATATTGGGTACGGGAATACCGAGGGACGAGGCCGTCACCTCACACCGTATACATACTAGATACGCACTGAGTGCTGCTAACTTGTGTCTTGAACATAGGCCGAATGTTTATACCATCCATCTTGATGTGTTTAATATCAGTAGCCAAAGTGTTTGTTTGTAAGAGATTACATGCTGAGCCCGTACCATACACAGTTGATGGATGTAGTAGTGTAGAGATGGGGTGCGGAATCATGATGATGACGACGACACTCAAGCTTTTGCCATGCTTCGGCAGCCGCCGACGAAGCATCAGCGTCGAGGCTTGACTAGGTGGCCTAGCGCTGATGCTACATTGAGCTTAAGTGTGCTGCAACTATAGCACGAGGTGTGGCGTGTAAAGGTCCAATCAATGCCTCGGTTGGTTACTGATTGATAAGACGGGCCAAATCATGCGAGGTGTGGACAGATGACCATGGAATTTGATACGTTACAGTAATGTGGCGCACACGGGATGCTTGGCTGCTGCTAGGGCAGAGCAGGATCTCAATGGTAAGCCGCAAAATCACCGTTCCACCTCAGCTCGGGGATCAAAGACTGTACCCAACGTGGACATGATGATCGAGTTCTGATTCAAGATGTCCATGTGCGCAACGGCTCTACAGATAGCGGTGGGACCAGGACCCCACTGCAAGAAAGTTTTGCGACAGACGCGGTTACGGGCAACCGCTTTTGTACTACTCAACATGAACCATGGCTTTGTGTGTAGCACTATGTAATGATGCAATTTTCCGACATGCGCCCGAAAACATGGGGCATTTGGGACATTTGGGTATTGCTCTCGCATCGGCCCGAACGGGCGCGGCCGAGGGGGCCGAGGCTCAAGGATTTTGCCAAACCAGACAACTACAACGATGCGGCCTTCAACACGTAGGAACTAATCTGATAATCCTTCTCGCGCCATTGTTTGTAAACGGATTAATTTGGCTTCTCTCATCTGCGCTACTACTTACGTACATGAAGAGAAACAAGGATAAAAAAAACAGGACATGTTGCATCTCGCTGCAGGGTATCACGTGAAGGAACAACCAACGGAAAACGCGTATGCATCTACTCATCTCGCCATCGCCCCACCTACTATTTGTTATCAAACACTTTGATGTGCTCAAAAGGCACAGACGTTTTTTGGACCGTCGTCGTCACCGGCCCGTGCGGGTTGACCCTGTCCATCTCCGCAAACCAGTCGTCGCCGTCGTTCTTCGTAAAGTTTTTGGAAGTATGATCTTTGCAAGAAATTTGATATAGGTGGCGTGACGAATCTTGGCTCGGACGCGACCCAAGCTCCGCAAAAGGTCTCCCAATCGTCGAAGCATTGCTGGACTTGCGTCCTACAAAGCCCGTCCCCATGGGCTGGTTGATGGACGAAGCGGCGCTGCCGTCATGCGCGTGGTTGCTGCTGCTAAGTTTTTCTCCTGACCTGCGAGGAATGTGGTCCAGTATTGTAGTCACCATGCCAGTCTTGCTGTCTCCGCTTGGTGTGCTTTTTCTGTCGGGCAAGCTGATGGCGCCGTTGGAGTCAAAGCTTTCATACCTCGCTATATCCTCTACACGTATCTCAACTTCATTGACGACGAAGATCTTGTTGGATGCCAGCGTTGCTATAACTGGCCAGAATATTGGAATCGAAGCGGTGATGATGGCAAAATTGACCTCGAGAACGGCAAAGATGTACACGACCGGCGTGTGGAATGACATATCAAGATCGGGTACAGTGCCGGCACGGTTGACTGCGAGAGTGATCAAGCGGCCCAATGCCACTAACACAACACTACCTACACGTTAGAATCGTCCCTTGTGCTCGAGTAATGATGGGCTTTGTTCTACTTACGTGGATCCCAGTATGAATAGGCCAATCAGTCCCGCTCTGCTCTTACCTGCGATCCTCAATGCAGTGATGAACGGAACAGGCAGGAGCAGTACCATAGCGTCAAGTAGCAGATTGCTAACAGAATGGCCAAGGAACATGGGAAAGAATTCGGCGGGATCTTTGGCACCCCAGCCGATGCATCGGCCCGGAAGATTCATATTCCAATTTTTGGCGATGGGGCGGCATGAGAAGATTGCTAGCAGGAAGAACGTCAAGCCCCATATTGTGCAGATGACAATCATCCCCCAGGTGAGGCGTCTGGCGAGGCGGTATCCGTTCGTGGCTGTTGTCGGGGCAGCTTCAGCAAATAGACGTAAATACTGGAAGAGGATGGCGAGCTTGATCAGAGTTGCACTAGCACAATATGCCGCATTAGTGGAATAGATATGCTGTTTTCAGTGTCAGTATGAGGTTGATACATGTTGTTGTTGGTGTTGCATGATAATACCTTGAAATACAGCATGATATGCTTACTATCAAGTGTCCACAAGTGTAGACCCAGGCCATCAGCCGGCACTGTAGTACATCCGTCAGTTGCTAGCCCATAATCGATCTTGTGCTACTACGTACTTATGCACACTAGAACATCACCACAAAAACTCGCAATACCTGCGAGAACGACAAAGCAGTCATCCCAGCCCCAAAGATGGTCTTTGATACGGACCCATAACCGTAGGCTCAGGGTGATGAATGCAATGCTCTGCTCATTGTTAGCGAGTGAGAAGACAAGATGGCAGTGGACGAGCTCTGGCTCATGCTACATACTAGGAAAGCAACAGTAGTTCCTATGATGGTGGCAGGCTGGTTGGACGTTGGTAAATTGGCATTATCCGGGTGGTCTCTCAGGTTCGTCACGGAGACTGGTGTGATGGTCATGGTCACTCAGACGCACCAGAGGCGACGTGAAAGAAGGTATGCGAAGGGGGTGTCGTTGGTCAGTCGGCCTGAAGAGTGGGCTCGTGCAGATAATCAGTGATTAGTTACGTTCAAACTCCATTACGGGGTTTCTGTCAGCCTTGCGCAGAGGGTTCGAGTCGATGACAGGGCAAACGAATGCTAGGATCGAGTCCAGACTGTGGTAGCAAGCGAGGCTACATTTACAAAGAGATGTAATGCCCTAATAAGACCCAACAGGTGGGCCCAGCGATGGGCATATGAAAGTCATGACCTGCATACGTTACACCTCCTTAAACCACATGGCTGCTACCCCCTGCTGTCCCGCATGGAGAATCAAAACTGGGCCATGCAGCTAGGGACAGGGTGAATACAGTGTAAGCCCAGACCCCCCTGCTGAGCGTAGTGGATGCGGGTCGTCACCAAGGGCTTGCTTGTCCGGCTCACTTTAGGATGCCGCCCGCGCCCCCGTAAACGTTTTTCCCTTTAGGCCCCGTATGCTAGTGCTCAAGTAAAGTATGTCTAGTGGGTTGGCTACTAAGGAGTTTAGATTTCAACGACAGGTCTACATGGGGAAAAGGGTACCGAGATCTTTCGGTAGAGATCAACAAGGCTACACGATTGGTGGACTGTGACCAAATCAGGATGCGGCTGCTGAAAATAGGCTTTGAAAAGTGTAAGTGGCAGCGAGCTCAAAGCGAGGCGTCCAGCGAAGTGGCGTATTCTATTGGTACCCTGCAGGCCAGTGATGTTTCGCAGAAGCCTGAAACGATATAGCACAGAACTCTGTTGTGTTAGGAGCTGTACAAGGCCAGGAATTCTTGTTTTTTTTTGCTTCTTTCAATGCTGCGCGCTACAGGCGACAGGTGCGCCGCAATATCGCTTACTCAAAAACAAAGGGCAAGCGTCAAACCCTGGCTGCAGCTCGCGAGCATGCTGGCGATAACAGAATTATATAGCCAGGGGGAATCTTGTCGAAGATCCAATCCTTTGGGAGGCAGTTCCCGCGTGGTGGCGTCGTACTCAGACACCACGTGTACGGCGAAGCAGGGCAGAGTGTCGAAGTTCAAGGTAAGGCCTTATTGAGATGCTCGTGTTTACGAACGGTATGACTCGGGGCTGCACCCGCTCTTGGAGGCCCACCTCCCAAGGCGAGCTACTACCTTGACCAGTCCCCTGCTGGCAGCGTTTCACCACGTCGATCACAGATGAGGGGATGATCTCGGCCGTACCGTGTGGCTAAACCAACGGTTCGCATTGTAAGCGTGAAAGGCTCAGCCAATGGAGCGTGGATGCCATCTTGTCGACATGCTGCACGCAGACTGTGGTGGTGGGATGGTTTTCAGGCCATCGGGCTGGCGTTCCTGGTGCGACGGTCCTTTTCCGGGATAGACAAGACGGCCGCTCTTACTTGGAGCGGGCCTGGGAGTGCCCCTCATTGTGCCGCTCTTGTCTCGACAACGTTAATCCTCCTATTCGTCACGAATGTGCTGACTGGGGCATGGTCGGGGGTGTAAACCATTCGAGAATACGCCTCGGGCCCAAGTCGGCACAGCAGGCCATAGCGCTGTCCACTACATCCATTACATGCTGGTCCAACGCTCCGCATATATGGCCCCTTCAAAAGCGGTATGCGCTCTTATTGCAGCCAAGCAGTTGACCCCAACAAGCAATGATACACACTACTCATGCTGTATTGGGTAACCGTAGTGGGGAGAGCCGTTGCGGGCACGCGTCACAGCCTTGGATCCCGAGCTGCCATCAGGCAAGGCGACAAAGTCCTGTTTCATGTCACTTGTCCACTTTGATCGTGCTGCTGTCAGGGCCCACGTTGGCATCTGTCAAAGAGGGCGCCATGAAACTAGAGGGTGCAGGGGAAGTGTATGCGAGAAGTGATGGTGTAGTGTACGTTGGCAGCCAAGGCCAAGTGTGGGCAAGAGGTTGCGAGACGAACCAGGCTTTTTGTGAACGTCGCTGCACGCCCGCCACACCATGTCCCTCGCCTATCTTATAGGCCATGCCCATCTGCAAGACGCTATGCAGCAGTCACATTGCGCTCCTGTCACCGCAAACGAGGGCCTACGCCTCGTCCTGTATGTCGCGATCATGGGCCAAGACAACCCAGATCGCCTTCTAGCCCAGGTACACATTTGTCGGCTCTAATGCCCTGACCCGGCAATCTGCGGAACCGCCAGGCGATACATTCCATGTATAGCGTTGACTGTACTTGCACATGGTCCCCTTGTGGATGTTCGTATCACCAATGCCTGACACCCATAGTGATGACCATACTGCTTACATGACAGAACGTCCGAATCTCTCTGTCACACAACTATGCCCTTGACCTCCATAAGTCTGTGCCGATACAAAAATGAACTCCTGGAGAAAGCAAACGTCGCAAACTATTGGGGTCGGCCTGTTGTGCCTGGCCCATACAAGACCTGGTGGATATCAATCAAACTTAATGTTTTGCGCAATCCTTAAGCACTACATTCACGCTCAGATATTAGCCTTGACACTAGGCATGGCAATTGCTCGGCGTTACGGAACATTCGAGGAATACTGACCGTTCCCACCATTAGCGCGCATATCACTATACAAAACAACTCTGACTTCGGTTAGAATATGCTAGCCCAAAAGTCGGCCACGGATGCACTTGAGCGATGCCCCGAACAGACGTTTCCCCGAGGCCCGCCACTTACTCAAACCCCATGAGAGCCGCTCGGCTGGATGACGCTACTAAAGTGGAGCTCAATCTAGCCAAGTGACGTTCCTGCCGCAGGCTCTGTTCACGGCATGCTTTTGTTATCGTACGTTCACGCCTCGAAGCGTGATAGCGTATATGCAACAACACACACCACCTTGCAGGAGCGTAAACAGACGGCAAGAAAAAAGCAGCTTAGCGCATCTTCTCTCTCTATCCCCAGCACTTACAACTATACGCCAAGAGGATTTAATCTATGTTGCTTAATTTTTTTACATGGACACCAAAAGTAACAAAACCATGTCCTTCTCAGGTCCTGTTCAATTCAGCTCCGTTTTCCGTCTGCTAAACTCAATCCAAAAACAGTATGGCTCCGCCTAGAAAAAAAGGAATTATGTGAGTGCGCTAGTTTTATAGGACCAGCTTCCCCTTCTCCTATTGAAGCTCTGAACCTAGAATGATAACAAAATGAAAACGGAAGAAGGGAAAACCGAAAAGGCTGTCAGCCGATACATTTACTCAGATAGGTTCGCAGAGCCGCGGTCTAAGGACATGCTTTTGCCGTCCACCCACGCGCACAAACTGGGCGACTAGACAATATCACAGGACAGGGTATCTGGAAAGAGCAAAGACAGAGGTGACTGAGACGTGAAGTTGAACTAGCGGCACCACAGGGCAGGGTACTTTGGCTTCCGCCACAATAATGGCCCCAGAAAGAAATGGCCCAAAGCGTCCGTTCACAGTTGTGGCCGTGTCAGGTGTCATTCCAGCCTGCCATTCGTGCAACTCGCGTGTTTTCTGTCGTCAACATTGCGTCCTGCTATTAAAGTTTGTGTTGCACCCCCATGCTAAGATCAACACAGCCTTTTTTGTGCCCGTGGTACCTGTGTTCCGGGAGTATCCGAAAACTAATCATCATGGTTTATTAAAACCATAGCAGCTCAACTATCGCCTTGAAATGGCCATTGCAAATACAAGGCATGCACTACCCCAAATAAAAAAAAAGTGTGATTCGATACACGTCGCAACCGCATTGCGAGGATGATCGATAAACTCTACTTTTGTCACATCCTCCACCTACGTAGTGTCCGCACCCATCCGTATACATCTGCAGCCTCACAAAATGACATGCAAAATGACAAATACGACGATACCAACTCCCCCCAAACTCTATGAATACGAAATCTTCGTACCGTTTGAATACAAAATATCGAAAACCATATGTCTCACGCAAAATTATGTAGAAAAACCACACACGCAACACACAAAAGCCGTAAGTCGTTGCAACCCAGCACTGAGGTAGCACCGTTCCATTGCAGCGTCGGAATTCATAACTACGTACTCATCTTCAGAATTTTGTATAGAAAAATTCCTCCCAATGATTCAGAGTGGCTGCTTACTTTCACCTCAATAAAAAAAAATGAGAAGTTAAAGATCTGGATAGAACTTGGATCGCTTGACTGAATGAGCAAGGCCGCTTTCACTCGGACCAGGTACTTGCATCGTTTTGCTTGAGAAGCTGATGTGACGAGTTTGGAGTTACTAACTCAATTCAATCGACTGACGTAGCACTCGGCGAGGCGAAATATCAGATACCCAGGTATACAAGTCCTACTATTCTGCCAGAAGCCAACATCCCTATCTACATACCAGACAGAAAACAAGAAGGAAGCTATCATGCACCACGTTATCCGTTGCAGAACAACCCTCTTCCACTCTGTCTAGCCTATACGTCGCCATCGTGGGAGAAAGTATTTCTTCTCTATATTACTTCACACATGTGTTCTGATGCGATTCACAAAACTTATCACAGTCTCGCCTATGCATTGTAAAGAGAATAAGAATGTGCAGCATCGTACTAGATTCGGAACGACAGGTGGGATATTAAGCCGGTGGCACAATAGTATCCTAAGCCTTGAGGATTATTCAGAAGGGATGATTTATATGGTTGCAATCCACTTAGTAGGTATACACTTGAGGTTCACGTGTGCTAAGTAAACAAGGTCCAATGGACTTTCCAGACTCTCATGAAGCAACCGCGAAACGTACGTTGATATTGTATATCTTACTTCAATCCACTAGACCCTACATATTCTTTGCAGATGTTCGTATAGAGCTATAATTCAAATTTCCATGTCAAAATCGAAAGCCTGATCGTGCGTCTCATGTATGCTGACAATCTCGTTTTCGACACTTCACATGCCAAATCGCAAAGAGAATAAGGGAAAAAATTGGGGCAGAAATGTGGCACATGCGTAGCTCGTGTCACAAGGCTCTAGTTGTGGAGATAACTCCCAGAACCAGAACGACGGGAAAGCCAAGGAACATGGTATGGAATATTCGAAAATAGACACATAAACGCAGTTTGAGACACATGTTAAAATCACAAGCCAGTTTAAAAAAAAGCAACAGAGGCAAATTAAATCCACATTTCCTCCTAATCCCCTGTATTCCCCTCTTCTTACTTCAACATCTTACAAACCCTCTCACACGAACCCAACTCACGCAGTCTTCTTCCACTGTGCCCAGACACCCAAAAGCGAACTCGTCGTTCCGGCCAATCCCACAATACCATCATCAAGATCGACCCAGCCAAGCGCCGAACTGGGGATAGTGATATCGCACAAGTCGCTAATGAGCTGGACCTTGACAGCATTAAGCTCGACCTGCAACTTCTTCGTCTCAACGACCTTCTCCGGGTCGGAAGACTGGGTAATGGCCTTTGAGCGCTGGAGCAAGTTGTAGTACGAGTACAGGCCCGAGGCAATCGAGCACGAGATACCCGCGAACCAGGCACGGTAGCCTTCGCGCAAGAGACGCGGGGCGTAAGAAGACTTGCGGATGGCGGTTGCGTCGAGCTAATGGGGCAGATGTTAGTCACTGAGGCTGGATCGAAATCAACTTGACATGATAAGGCAAGTACATACCACGCAAGCGTTATCACACAGCATATAAAACGCATATCCCAACTGCCTTCCAATAGCGGTAAACCTCAGCACGGGATCCATGCTCTTGGAATCAGTAGCTATAGCCGCAGCCTTGAAGTGCTCGACAAACTTGCCCACGCGCATGAGCTTGCGCGTCTGGCCAAACGTCTTCTTGGTCGCATCGAACGGCGCGATAGTCGATGCTGGGCGGTTGGTGCGGTACAGGTACCATGCTAGGAATCGAGAGAAGTACTGCAGCGTTCGCAGCACCTTGTCGCGCCCGACTGTTCACATGTCAGATCGAAGGAGGGAGGATGATGGGGGTATGTAACGTAAGAAAGTGGGTTATGCAGGATGTGTTGTATGTATGCCCAACATATCAATTCAGCAGGAAGGAATGCAAAACGTACCAGTTGACGCGACAAACTTGAGGTAATGCGACACCGTCGGGTGGTAAACCAGAGCGTCCGCAACCATGTTGTCTGCTGTGCTTTGGATCCGAATGTATTAGGCCGAGTGAGGAGAAGAAGTCCAGCTCCAATCTTCTTCTTGTACAAACGGGAGGCGGTTTGTTTTCTGGTGTAGAGAGAGAGAGTGAGAGAGCAAAAACAGGAGCGTCCGGGGATGGCAGGTGTGGGTTGAGAAAGGGAACGTCTGGGGATGCGACAGGTGCGGAGCCCGCGTGCGGAAGCGTAGGGAGTCGGTCGCTCTCTGAGCGTGATTGCCGGGGAAAACGCGACCACCTCGGTAACTCGATCCACACGTCACATTATTGCCTAGCTTACAAGTACACCTAACACGCTTGGAGCTGGACCTGCGCGACACATGTGAATATGGCACGCCGGCTTGTTGCAGTCGAAACACTCGGTTACTTTTCTTCTTCTCTCCCTTTATCACTTTGACAATGCTATTCCGGTCGCTGTTGCATGTCTCCATTTTTCCTTGTTGACCTCAAGTTATCATCATGACCTATGACCATATTTTCCCTTTGCAAAAAATATTTATAGACTCATTGTATAGACACGTCATGTATGGCCTTAATAGATCGCTGCGATTCAACGCATCGCATGTATAGATGCCTATTTCGCCCACCAGCCCGTTCCACAAGCAAGACACCAGACGCCAATAACGCTACCACCTAGACCTTGTAGAAACAAAAGGCATGATAAAAGTCCGCGGCCTCCAACTCCTCTTCCGAAGTCAGCAACCGGCCTGTCGCACGATCCCTGACCTTCATGACCTCGCTCAGCGGCCCCAGAATTGGATCATCCTTTTGCTCCTCCCAGATATCTCGGAATGGCTTGCGGTACTGTAGTTCGAGATTGAAGTCCTCGGCCAGCGCTCGGAACGCTTCCCACGGTACTACATACTCAGGCGCCTCGACCGCTTCCGTCAGCCAGTACGAATACTTCCAGCCATAGGGCGGGCGGAATGTACCATCTGGAGGTGTCTTGCCGGGGAACTTGACACTGTAGATGCTGTTTCCAAAGCTGAATCCTTCGTCTTCCACTTCGCCGTCTTCCTGTTCTTCCTTTTCCTTTTCCTTGTCCTTTGCCTCGGTAGGCTTGTCACCATTCTTGTGCTCCGTGTCGGCGGGCTTGGGGCTATCGAGGCTCTTCTCAGGGTCCCAGTCGTCCTCGTCGTCGCTAGCAAACGCTGGGCGGTCGTCCTCGTCATCGTCGGCACCACCATTTGTCTCTGGTGGTGCTGTGCCCTTGGCTTTGTGGTGCTCAATGACCTTTTGCGACAAAACATCTGAGTTGGGTATACAACCAATAAACCGTCCTCCTTTCTTCAAAGCGCCAGCGACGTTTCGCAGCATACCCTTGGCCTTGGCCTCGCTCTCAAAGGCATAGTGCATGCAGAACATCATCGTGACCATGTCCCAGCCACCACCGCCCCAGCGCTGGCTCATAGCATTTCCTTGCCCGGCGCCAGGATCAATGCCTACCTCCTTGATAATGGGTATGTCACCTAGCCACTCTCCAAAGCAATCTTTTGCGTAGAACTCGCCATGGAAAAGACGCCTGTTCTTCCTCTGCATCTGCGAAAATCGCTCTTTGGCCTGTCGAATGGACACATCTGCAGGATCACAGCCGACATAGAGCTCGACTTTTCTCGATTTCTCCCACTTACCCAAGTCACCGCCCTTTCCGCAACCAATGTCTAGGATCTTGAGGTGTCGCTCACCGCCGATGAACTTTTGGATGATGGATGACTTGATCCAGTTATTGAAGCTGCGCAGTCCCTTGATTTTGCTGTCAGTGTTGCGCCATTCACGGCCTCGCTCCGGCACCATGTTGTAGTGCTGCTTGACAACATCGTGCACACCACGCTGTGCAGCTTCTTCGTGTGCCCGTCTAGCTGCCTCCTCTTCTCTTGCCTGCTGTCGCTTACGAGCCGCTTCTCGGTCGGCAGCAGGCACACGTGCACCTGCTCCTGGACGCTTCCGTTGGCGTGGTGGTGATCTGGACGGTGATCTCGAGGGCGAGCGTGCGCGTTTGTTATTTTGCTCGGCGCCCGCCATGGTGTAGCTTCTTGTGCAGCGCGTCTACTGGCGGGTTCTGGGTCCGACGCGTTGGTGACAATGAAGTGTTGGTGGGCGAAGTCGTGTGTTGGAGTATCAGAAAATGTGATTGTATGTGAAAGTATGGAAGGCCTTCGTAGTTTAGTAGAGAAGTTAGCAAGGTGAAAGTAAAACAAGGCTGAAGATTAGAAAGACCAAGTGCAGCCGTTATTCTAGCGTTCCGCGTCTCCAGTGTTCAGGGCCGTGCGCGAGCTTTACCTGCGGAAGTTCAGCGGCGGCGGGCAAGACACTCCCGTCATCACATCAACATCCCCACGACTCAACGCCGTCCGCTATTACCCACCACCACCACTTCCTTACCCTACCCATCTCACACAATCAGGCAAGATGGGTGACCCGCAATTTGCAAAGTATCCCGACCTCCAGCTGTCGCAGCACATCTTCCAGCTCACAAATCCCGCCGCCTCGAAACAAGCAAAGCAAGCTGCCTTGAAATCGGTTCAGGATGGCATCACCGAGAACAAGATGGCGCCCCTCTACCGGTACCTTGCACACCCTGTAGATGGCGTTCTCAATGCACAAGGCGAGGGCAGCGCAGACCAGCCGAGTAAGAACCGGAGACCTTCCGCCAGCTTAGCGACGATGCTTGCCACACGGACCCCGACGCTCGAGGTCCCACTGCCTTGGGATGAGAAGCTGTACGAGAGCCTAAAGGCCGAGTGCGAGAAGGAGTTGGAGGCGATACAAAAGGAGGAAGAGGAGGCAGAGGAGAAGGCTGGCGAGACCGAAGTGCAGGCTGCGCGGGGAAAGCGCGCAGAGCTGTACAACCGCATAGGCGACAAGGTATTTCGCCAGCCCGCTATACAAAAGGAAAATGCCGCTGACAATGATGCAGGACAAAGCCATTGCCAGCTACGAGGCCATCTTTGAAAAGACGGGCATTCTGGGTACCAAGATCGACCTTGTCCTTGCTATAATACGCATTGCGCTCTTCTTTGGTGACAGGATATTGGCCAAGAAGTCGATTGACCGAGCCAGCGCATTGGTAGAGAGTGGTGGTGACTGGGATCGTCGCAATCGTCTCAAGGCATACACTGGACTGCACTACCTCACTGTCCGATCACACTCACAAGCTGCCCCGCTGCTGCTTGATAGTTTGTCAACCTTTACTAGCTATGAGCTCTGCAGCTACTCGAACCTTGTGGTCTACGCTATTCTTGCGGGCTCGGTATCACTCAAGCGTGTTGACTTCAAGTCCAAGGTGGTGGATGCGCCAGAGATCAAGGCGATTGTGGGCACTTCGGAGGAGAAGCTCTCCGCCATCACTGGACAGGCTTCGGCAGGACCAGCAGCTGGCGACGAGGAGATGGCAGACGCTTCGGGCTCAACAGCGACTCCTGTCCCGACGGTTGTCAATCTCACTACCCTTGGTGGATCACAAGACCAGGAGGCGGCAGTGGATTTTTCCCCGCTATCCAAGCTAGTTAAGAGTTTGTACGAGGGTGATTACAAGGGCTTCTTCGGTGCCCTAGGCGAAGTAGAGACCAACTTCCTCAGCCAAGACCGCTACATGTACGAGCACCGCGGCTGGTATGTCCGCGAGATGCGTCTGCGGGCTTACCAACAGCTCCTCCAGTCGTACCGTGTGGTTGGTCTGGAGAGCATGGCCAGAGATTTTGGTGTCACTATTGACTTCCTTGACAAGTAAGTCATGTCCTGTTGCATGCAGTCTGCGCTTGTACTAATCACAACGACCAGGGACCTTGCCCGCTTCATCGCCGCCGACCGCATTCCGTGCACGATTGACCGCGTCAAGGGCATCATCGAGACGAACCGCCCAGACGACAAGAACAAGCAGTACGCGGACGTAGTCAAGCAGGGTGACCAGCTCATCACCAAGCTGCAAAAGTATGGCCAAGCCGTCAGGCTGAGGGGAAGCGAGCGTGGTTAGACATTGGCCTTTAGCCAGGCAAACGTGTAATGATGATGTGATATTCTAGGCCTAGATGAAAACAGCGCAAAGACAGCTGAAAGAAATATTAGAGTGAACGCCCATGTCAACATGCTACCTCTTTCGTTCTAGGCGTTACGGTGAGAGTTTCGGTGCCCGCATTGCATTGCCCTATCCGCAGCCTTAGCCCCGCTATCTCCGTGTTGCAGCTCATCGGGAAGGCGGGAAGCGGCATGCGGTGCGATAACGGGGCACAATATTGCTTTTATGCCCTAGAGGTATATCCATTGTCTGCCTTTTAGACGTCGATTTACATCATTGCGACACCCACGCCCCCATTACATCGCTTCTTACGAGCTCGGTTCGACGCCGCCAGTGCAGAGCCCACGCCAGGTGTGGGGTGATCGGCCTCGAGCGACGCCGCCGATAAGCTCTCAGGGTCCAGCTACAATGTCGCCGTCATCGGCTTTGGCGCAGGCGTCTGTCCGCTCACTTTGCGCCCATGGCAGTAGAGCACGGCGGAGTGGTGGCAACGTGGGTTCACGAGGTATTTTCCAATCCCCAGCCCTTTTTGCAACTCGGTCAGTCGCCAGATACGACGTGACTAAATATGCCCGCATGGCGCCGCGCTACGACGAGGGGTAAGGCGTTTGTCGTGGGAGCACCACTACGTGTGGGGCACCACTCGAGTAGCATAAAAAATATGGACTACCTTTTGACGCATACATGCCCTACACCTACGTGTTTCGAATGCGTCGCGGGAACTAGCATCTTGCCTGCGCATCGACTTCACCGGAACCATACTTAGTCCAGACTTGTGCTCACAACCTTAGTCCTCTATACATCCTTTACCTCCTCCACCCTTCTCAACCACCCACTCCTACGACCTTCATCGCTGGCCCGACCCGCACATTTTTCATCGCACCGCCCACACACACGCACCGTCATGTCAAAGGCACCAGGCAAGGTATTGAACATTGGCAACATCAACCCCCACGTCAAGGCAGCCCAGTATGCCGTGCGTGGTGAACTAGCCGTCAAGTCGGAAGAGTACCGCGCCAAGTTGGCAAAGGGTGAGGGCAGCGACCTGCCCTTTGACACTGTCATTGCAGCAAACATTGGCAACCCTCAACAATTGGATCAGAAGCCCATCACATTCTTCAGGCAGGTCGCCAGTATACTCGAAAACCCGGGTCTGCTAGAGCATGAGGATGTCCTGCTTAACAGCCTTGGATACAAGTCGGATGTTGTCGACCGCGCAAGGAAGCTCTTGAAAGAGGTCAAGAGCGTAGGCGCATACAGCCAAAGCCAGGGTGCTCCCGGCATCAGACAGAGCGTGGCAGAGTACATTGAGCGTTCGTACAGCGGCGCCTCCAATCACAAGCTTCCAACTAACAGAGCGTAGGACGAGATGGCTACCCAGCCAAGTTTGAGGACATTTACCTCAGCAATGGCGCTTCTTCTGGTGTAAACACACTCCTCCACACAATCTGCGCAAAGCCCGAGACTGGCATCATGGTCCCCATCCCACAGTATCCTCTCTACACCGCTACCCTATCCGTACTAAACGCCCGCTGCGTACCATACTACCTCGACGAGGAGCAGGCTTGGGGCACGTCACTCGACTCTATCCGAACAGCCTATGACAAGGCAGTCAGCGAGGGCACGGATGTCAAGGCCATCTGCGTCATCAACCCGGGTAACCCTACTGGCGCTTCGCTCCCTGCTGAGGATATCAAGGCTGTTCTTCAGTTCGCCGCCGAAAAGGGAGTTGTTGTCATCGCAGATGAGGTGTACCAGACCAACGTCTTCATTGGCGAGTTCATCTCTTTCAAAAAGGCCCTCCGTGACCTACAAAAGGAGACCCCTGGCAAATACGACCACTTGGAGCTGGCTTCTCTTCATTCCATCTCCAAGGGCATGGTTGGCGAGTGCGGACACCGCGGAGGATACTTTGAGCTTGTCGGCTTCGACCCAGAGGTTGCGCAGGAGGTTTACAAGTTCATCTCCATTCAGCTGTGCCCGCCGGTGCTCGGCCAGTGCATCGTTGAGATGATGGTCAACCCACCCAAGGAGGGCGAGCCAAGCTATGCTCTGTACAAGGAAGAGTACGATGGCATCTTCAACGGACTGAAGAAGCGCGCGTATGCGCTGTATGAAGCTTTCAAGAAGATGGAGGGAGTGGAGTGCAATGAGCCTCAGGTGAGTACAACCCTACTGCTTTGCTGAACCTTGATCCCTTGCAAAACCAGTAGCTATTCAGAATGCTAACGCAAATCGTTAGGGCTCCATGTACCTCTTCCCCACCATCCACCTCCCGGAGAAGGCTGTTCAGCAGGCCAAGAAGGAGGGTCGGGCTCCAGACGAGTTCTACTGCTTCCGTATGTTGGACGCGACCGGTGTTTGTGTCGTCGCTGGAACCGGCTTTGGACAAAAGGAGGGAACCTTGCACTTTAGGACAACATTCCTTGCCCCTGGCACGGACTGGACTGGACGTATTGTCAAGTTCCACGAGGACTTCATGAAGGAGTTCAAGTAGTGTGCACGTGATTTAGGACGACCCCTGGCTGCTCCGTGAAGTAGACTGTAGGATCCGTCATAACGAAGTAAACATGCCATGAATGACAATACTTTGAATCCCCCAATGTACTCATACACATGCACTTGGCATTGATTTGCTGAGCGTCGGCTGGTTGGGGCGGCGTCAGCACCATTCCTTCCGAATGACGAGCACAATATCGCAACTGCCGTGTCTTGTACCTGAATGGCCCTAGTCTTGGCCCGTGCAGCGTGACATTAGACGTATAGGTAGCCGGACATGTATTTACATACGACAATATTGCGTCTTGGAATCCGCTCCTGCCTCTTTTGCTTCCTTTCTCATCAGCTTGTTCCTCATCTCCTTTGTTGTTATCGTGCTTCTACCATTTGGTTATCGCCTCCTATATCAGTCGACTCTTCGCAAAAACGACGTCATGGGCTTATCAAGAATCGAGATACTACCCGATGAGCCACTCGATCTGATCATGTGCTACCAAGATCGCAGGGCACTTCATGCTCTCTGTCTAGTATCCAAAGACATGAACCGTATCGTGACTGCCCGGCTATATGCAAACATTGAACTCGAAAAGGATGACTTCAAGTATCTTCGCCCCTTAGCGCTCCTATTCTGGACATCTGCACCCCATCGCGAAGCCGTGCGTTCCCTGTGCGTGCGACATGCGTACGGCGGCAATCTCGACCCTTGGCCCAATCACCCAGACCTCGATGCCATCATCAGGAAGAACCTCGAGTTGTATGTGAGGCTAGGTGATCGGGAGCATTGGTTCAACGAAATCAGAGACGGTGCTGATTCGACGCGCATTGCAAGTTTGCTATTGAGAAGCCTACCTCATGTCATGACGATGCAATTACCTGGCTTCGACTTGGTCGACCCTGCATCGAGAAAGACGGACATTAGTGCGCTGCGAAACATTTCTTAAAATAGAAAATCACGCTTCTCTGTTTAAGAGACTTAATATTCACGACATTCCACAGCTGTGGGTTGCAACCTGGATACGCCAGGCAAACATGCAGTAATTGTCAAGTACGCAATTCCTGTTGCAAATCGAAAGGTCTGATCCGAATACCTACATTTTTCTTAGTGCGATCTGCGACAAGAGTGGGCCCCTTCACTCAACTATGGTTTCGACTTCTCAACGTGCTCAAATGCAGCAACTCGCTTATGCTCCGAAAGAACCTGAACCACCGTTAGGCAAACAGTCCATTTCTAGAAAGAGAAAAATCTCCATGTTTTTGAAATAACCATCCAACATCTGTTTCGTTATCACAAAGTGGACACAACGTATTGGTAAAGCTCTCTTGACCATGGTTGACAGGAAAAGAACCTTGGGGCGCACTTTGTAGGGGCAGAATAGGAAAAAAAGTCGACAATGAGATTTAAATACTCTTGCTCCCAGCACCTCATTCCAACTGAACATATCGCTTCAGCAATACCAACACAATGTTTTCGTCTACCAACTTCGATGGGGGAAAATGGCAAGGTTGTCGTACTCGAGAAGCAATCCAACAGCGAGCCTTCTTTAAACTCAACTCCAAATTCAAGACCGGATTCTGCTGAGCAACTCACCTATTCGAAAATGTATTCACCTCTATCCAGCTCAAATTCCTCGGCAAAATGGACTCGATCTGATGGCTTCTGGCGATCTTTCATTGCAATATGCATACCACTGCTTCTTTCCGCACTAGAAGGAAGCATCATCAACACGGCGTTACCCACTATCTATGAGGCTCTCGATTTGAACACCAAATTCTCTTGGATAGCAACTGCATTTCTCCTGGCCAGCACCGTCTTCCAGCCTTTGTACTCTCAACTGGGAGATATGTGGGGACGCAAACGCCCCATGATGGCAGCCATCGTCGTTTTCGCTCTCGGTAGCGCAATATGTGCCGGAGCAAAATCAGGCCCATTGCTGATTTTGGGACGGATCGTTCAGGGCTTAGGCACAGGCGGAATCGATCTCTTCGCTGAAATGGTCCTCTGTGACATCGTCCCATTAAGTAAGAGAGGTCCTTATCTAGCGATTAAGCATATTTCTTTCGCCGCTGGTACGACATTGGGACCGCTACTCGGTGGTGTCTTTGCAGAACACGGATGGTACTGGTGCTTCCTGATCAACATACCTGTCTGTATCATCTCGCTAGCCATCATGTGGGTTTGGCTCAGTGTCGACGAAGGTGTCACTTATGGCGAAGTGTCTATCGGAGATAATCTGAAAAAGATTGACTACATCGGTAGTGGCATACTGACTGGCTCTGTGCTAATGCTTCTCGTTGCACTCAGCACTGGTGGCGCACCCTGGCCTTGGAATCACTCATCTATCGTCACACTCGTTGTGCTCGGAACACTAGGCCTCATCAGCTTCATCGTCTGGGAACGTTCTCGCTTTTGCAAGTACCCCATAATGCCACCCCACGTCTTTTCGAACCGTACGACGAACATTGTCTTCGCATTGACTGTCATTCATGGATTCATAACCTACGGCTTCCAATTTTATCTCCCACTGTTTTCCCAGGCTGTCAAAGGCTCGTCCCCAACAAAGTCCGGCATTGAAGTTATGCCTACGACACTTGCCGTTGTTGTCGTCGCTGCTGTTGGTGGACCCATTCTCAGCTCGACGGGGAGATACAAACATATACACATGACTGGTTTCGCCTGTGTAACACTCGGCCAGGGACTCTGCATAATGCTTGATCACGGCACATCCCTAGGTCTATGGATTAGCATCCAACGCATCATAGCGTCTGGCCTTGGAATCGTGATTCCGACCATGCTCCCCGCCATCCAAGCAAAGCTTCCTGAGCCTAGTACAGGAGCAAGTGCAGGAGCATGGGCTTTTCTACGCGGAGCAGGATCATTATTCGGTGTCGCGATCCCCGGTGCAGTGTTCAACGCGCGCTTCACTTCGCTTCTATCCACTATCTCCTCGCCAGCCGCCCAGGCAAAGCTCTCTCATGGCCAGGCATACCAGCGTGCAACGGCCTCATTCATCAAGAAATACGGTACCACGCCTACTGTAAAGAGTGAAATTGTAACCGTATATACGCAATCGCTTAGAAGCATATGGATTGTCTTTACTGTCTTGGCTGCGGTAGGCTTCTGTATCAGTTTCTGTGAGAAGAAGTACAAGTTGCGGGCCGTGTTGAATACGGCTTACGGGCTCAAGTCAAAGCAGTCGCCAAGCGACGGGTCGCCTGCGGGAAGTACACCGGCATCTTCGGCTGCATCTACGGTGTTGGAGACAGGAGCGCAGACGCCCGTTAAGAGCGAGAGTGAGAGCGAGATGGCTGGCCATGGAAGCAAAGAGAGGGATTTGAAAACTGGATTGTAGAGTTTTGGTCACGTATACTAGTTGGGGCTGCTCACGAAGTGCAGTTGGCTGTGGCGTTTGGTTTTTGTTTCTGTAATGTTTGTCTCTAATAAGTTTGGCTTCTGCGCTTCACTGTACGTAAATATGCATAGATTACCCTTTGTCTTTTTTTCTCTCTCCTTACATGAAAAGTAGTAGTTATAATACAAATATCGCCTGGATTGCGTGTTACAAGGTGCTCTTTCTCCCATTGTAAACTGGGCAACCATGTGTAGAGCTCAAGGATGAAGAAGATATCTTAATTTAACATAGCTGGCCTTGGAAGAGTTTGCTTACGTATATTGCTCGCATTGAGTCTGACTCGGTGTAGGAGTATCCCCGGCTTATTGTCGACTACTTCCTTGGTCCGACATGCATGTTTCTAGAATGCTGTTATTAGACCATGTCTGTAATGGTATTTGGTCCAGCCAGTCAGTGTTGTTTAGACCCATAAATCCTAAGAACAAGGAGGATTAAGCCAACCACAGTCTGTATCTACGTTTTTTAAGATTCCTACCTAGACCGCAGACCTAAAGAATAACTATACTAACGCTAGAGACGTGTTTTTAGTTGATGTAGAGGACGGTTGCCACCTTGCTGTTATTGGTTTGGTAAAATACGATTGCAGACATGGTGTATACAGTGTACCGAGAAGTCGAGGTTCTGTCTGATACACCATTGGCTCACAAGCAGTTTTGCTTGACTCTGTGCTGTCTTGAGATTCCACTAACCTCGTATTTGTGCAGCTAGCCGCTGGTTTCCGAAGTATCATGCACATTGTGATTTGCTCTTAGGTAAATAGGCATCCAGCTCATACCGGCTGTACACGGATGAGTCGATTTCGGTCATGAAGAATTCGCTGTTTTCACAGTTTTATCACGACAATCTGAAGTAAATCATTGTCTGTTCCGTGCCAGGTCATACAGTCTTTTAGTACGGCTCTATCAACTCTCCAAGTTCTTATACTGGATCGGTGATGAGTTCGGCAGTGCATCAAAACCAAGCACCGAGGAATCTTGGATTTGTTTACGCGACAAGCTGGCTCCGCACTTCAGGCTTGCTTGTGCGGATACTTATCCGCAGCTAGATTGGCAGTGGTATATATCGAAGCAGTTCCCGCCCTTTGACGAGTCCTGGCATCGCGCCCCGATGTACATTAACATGCTGACGGAAAAAAAGGTCTTTGTTGGTTGGTATCACCATGCTCCCTAGCTCAACCCTTCCGTCGGGTAGGACAAAGGATCAACGACACACCGTTACATCCAGGCATTTGGTAAACCAATTTACTCCACAACCCCATGGGGTCCCAACGCGCGCTTTCGGCTTTTGTTGGGAGATCGTCGCTGTCACCGTCACAACCGCCGTCATAAGCGCCCCGTTCCCTTTATACTCACGGCCGTGATTACCGTGTGGCCAGATGAACAACCCGAGGTTTTCTCTAGTACTGCGCGGATTACTCACGTCATCCATATCCATGACCCGAGAGCGGATATCACACCGCTGCATACCTATCGACAGATTGGGCTCTTGCTAGTCTCCGGTGTTGTATACGGCATGGCTTGCCATCACCACTACCTACAGCGACCTGCACCCGGATTGTCCCGTGGAGAAGGACAACAACGTTTGACACGGTGCTTGTTGGCCAAGACGATAATTGCTCCACGGACTCGCTTGGCCGCGACATGATTGGGTCCGTGGTAGGGTGGAAGAAAAGTCGAAGCCACGCTCCTTGGCCGCGCTCGAGACGAAGTCACACCACCCCTCCCAATTCGACCACTTGTTCTCCAAACACGCGATCACCTGCAGCGCGGCTGAGAACCCATGCATCACAAGACAATTAGCTCTCTACTTATGCAACAAGCTCCACCATTGGCACGGAATCCCCCCGCAATGCCACTAGCCCAAGATCTTGGGATCTTGGGGTTGATCTGGGCTCGCTTGGCCTAGACGTTAGTGGAACACCGAGCTAGTTTCCCTGCCACCAGGTCAGTCGGCATCGCGAAACACGAAGCCTTTGTGGACTTGCCAAACTACTTGTCTTCTCGACAAGGCCGCCGAAGCCCAGGGTTCTGTCTGGGCTTTTGACCGGAACCGGTCACAAGGACTGGCTAAGAAACGTTCTCGATGACGAACCCCAGCCGTCAAGCCTTCGGCCGTCATACGGATTACCTTCCTGGGATGGTATCTGCGTATTTTTTCCTCGCCTCCGATGTCAGCAGTGCATGCTGACCGAGAAAGAGTCTTGTCTTTGGAGAAGACTTCTTTGCATTCTTTGCACTCCCAAGAGGAGACTCGGCGTCGAGGGGACCAAGCCGCCTGTTTGTGACCATCAGTGTAGCTTACAGTAAGTGGCGTTCACACTATTTGAATACCGATACTGCAGTTGCGTCGGATGCGAGACCTCCGACAAGTGGGCGCTGTCCGTTACCCCGGCCAAAGCTATCAAAATGCGGAAAGGTGACTGGTGATGCCCAGCTTCTAAGGCAGTCCGCCCTCAGGGCCCTCCACAATTCGCATATGTGCGATTCAGAATCGGAATTCATACCCAATCACTTTGTCTGAGCGCTGGGCAATTGTGTTTGGAAACCCCGCATTCCCCGTTTTAGCCACACCGGCAGCTCCAAACTTGTTCCAAGGCGGCCGGGAGAAGTGCCCTGAGAGGACTTGGAAGGCATGCACGCGCGGAGGTACCTTGACAAGTTCGTGTGTTTTCGGAAGAGAGCAGCTGGGGATGATCTGGGGCAAAAAATGGAGGTCTTCACCCCACACTGAAACGTGGGCTATGAGTATAAGAGACAAAGCCCACGTCCTCGGATTCTTTCTTCTCCAGATCATCCAGCTCGGTCTCTGGGGATCTAACAGTACTTTGTTCATCTCTTTGTCTACCACATCATTTCCACATCTGTATAACTGTAGAACAGTGCCGTGACTGGAATATTGATACAAATCGCCAACATGCAGGACACCAAGAAGGACCATGCCGTCATGATGGAGCGGGCTCAAACTCATGATGATGAGCTCATAAAGCCCATTCCTCAAGTTGACAAGATCGATTATTCAGGAGCTCACGAGAAGACGGATCCGCGAGAAATTGCGCTCGTCAGGAAGCTGGACAAATGGATTATGCCCATGCTGTGGTCCATGTACTGGCTCAACTACCTGGTATGTCGCCCAGCCACCTCATAGTGAATATTAGAATCGCTAACACTACACAGGATCGTAACGCTATTGCACTGGCACGTCTCGATGAATTGGAGGAGGACCTCAACCTCAGCAGCACGCAGTATCAAACGTGCGTCAGCATCCTCTTTGTCGGATACCTGCTTGGCCAGATTCCCAGCAACATGCTTCTCAACCGAGTACGCCCATCACGATACATGGGAGTCTGTATGGCTCTGTGGGCCATCGTCTCCGCCCTCACTGCGCTGTCCAAGGACTTTACCGGTCTTCTCCTCACTCGCTTCTTCCTAGGAATCACAGAATCTCCGTACGAACTTATCCCCCCCTTAAATATCAAGATATTTACTGACTTCCACTTAGATACTACCCAGGTGCTGTCTATCTGCTCTCCTCGTTCTACACCCGCAAAGAGGTCGCAACCCGTATCGCCATCCTGTACACTGGTAACATTCTCGCTACCGCCTTCGCTGGCCTGATTGCCGCAGGCATTTTCCACGGCCTAGGTGACGTTGGAGGAATTAGCGGCTGGAAGTGGCTGTTTATCCTTCAGGGAGCCGTCACCTTTGTCATTGCGATTATTGGTTACTTTTTGCTCCCAGATTTCCCTCACAACACCTGGTGGTTGACTCAAGAGGAGCGCGATCTCGCCACTAACCGCATGGCCCTGGACACTGTTGGCAACCAGGGCGAGACATCTGTGTGGGCTGGTTTCCGCCAGGCTGGAAAGGACCCCATGGTCTGGATCTTTGCTGGCATGGCACACATGCATTTGGCTGCTAATGGTACGCTAAACATGACTTTTGGATATGCGAGCAGGACAATATACTAACTTTGACAATAGGTTTCAAGAACTTCTTCCCAACCGTTGTCAAGACCCTCGGCTTCAACAGGACCATCACCCTCGCCCTGACCTGCCCTCCCTACCTCATCGCCGGCGCCGTCACAATCGCCGTGTCGTGGTCTTCGGGCAAGTTCAACGAGCGAACCTGGCACATCACCATCTCCAAAGCCGTAGCCACTTTCGGTTTCGGACTCGCCTGCGCTGAAATCGGCGTTGCGGGTCGCTACGTCGCCATGGTCATCTTCACCATCGGTACCTACGGAGTCAACTCGCTCATTCTCGGTTGGTGCGGATCCACCTGTGGTCAAACACCTGAGAAGAAGGCCGTCGCAATCGGTATCGTGACGACCGTTATGAACGCTTCGTTTATCTGGTACGCTTCCTTCTTCTTTCCCTTCAGACGAAACTTGCAAAGAAAAAACGACAGCCAAGCTAACATGAGCAACACAGGACCCCTTACCTCTGGCCCAAGTCCGACGAGCCCAGATACATCATCGCACTCAGCTCCTCAGCCGCCTTCTCCGTTATGACTGCCATGTTGGCCTGGGTTGCCAAGGTTCAGTTTCTCCGCAAGAACAAGAAGATTCGCGAGGAGGACAGCGACGCTCAGAACTTTTATGTCTACTAAAAACACAAAAGAGGAGTATTGGAACATTTGAAGTACTTGAGTTGGCTATGATACAAAGGAATTTGAGATTCCACGACATGATGCTAGAGAGTATCTTTTATGAATTATTTCGATGAGATGATGAGAAATGAATAATATTATTTATTTTTATTTTATGTATTTTCTGATGGGGTTTGAGTGATAATCAAAATGTGCACAAAGCTCATTCCACTCGAGAGGATATAGGTGTGAAAAATGATACTATCACTAGAACTGCAACGTAACCCCAAACACAATATACCGACCAAAGAAAACATCTCACACAATCTCCCAACGGATGCACGTGTCGTCCAACAAGAAGAGGAAGAGGAAGTATGACTAACAAGCAACTAGTCCCGATCTGACAACACACACAGAGAGAGGCGAACACCAGTTTGTCTTGGCAACGCGGGTATGTACGTAACCCAGCCGCACAAAAAAAGTCAACGAGTCATTCTAGGCAACCACGTTCTTGCACAATTTTCTTTGGATTCCCAAACACGAGGGGTCTAGAAGCGAGAAAATATGTCATACATAATTGGTGGCTAGCCGGGGAATTTTGGAGGGTAGCGAATCGGATGCTGAGGCTTAAAAGGGGGGAGGCGGGAAGGGGAGGATGGGTGGAGTGAGATAGAGAGAGGGGATATAAGAGTGTTTTCCCTTCGAAAATTTAATGCCTCTTTTACTCGTTTTGGTTTTTCTTTTGGAAAAGTCACGCGTGGACATTTATATGTACATACATACTGTTCCATTGATTTTTTCTGAAGAATAGATGAATTAACCGACTTAATGTGGGGTCAGTCGTACAGAAAAAAAAATGGATAAGAGGAGGGGCTCTCCAGGCAGCAACTTGAAGTCAGGAATACGAGAAGAAGAAAAAAACGAGAAGAGAAGAGAAATCCTGTAGGGTCCCCGAACAAGAAGAAAAACGCCAGAATAACGCCGAGGCTATGCTTTTTGTGTGTGTCCTTGGTGTGCCAGTCTGCGGACAATGGTAATAGGAAAGATGTGCGCCGAACCCGCATGAGAAAAGAGCAGGAGCAAAGAAATAAGAAAAAGGGAGGAGTGAAGAAGGGAAGGGGTAAACATCATGACTGTCTCGTCATCCTAACATGCTGCGTCCGGTGCGGTCGTCCTCCTCTTTCCCGTCTTGCACCACCCATCTCGACGAAATTGCCCGGCGGACGAGTCAAGTTGTGATTGCCCGCCTTGAGTTCCTTAAGATCCTCTGCATCAATCAAGCGTTGTTGCCATAAATATTCGAAAAGGGCAAAATCCGGTCGACTTGTCCGTAGCGTCTGGCCATACATGACATGAGCAGAAGCAACGTGATGCATGCGAGCAGCCCAAGCAGCATGGCCTCCACCCTCACATGCGTGAGCCGTCCAGTCACAAAGTGGACATTGCACTTTCAAGGGGGGTTCCTCGCCACGGAAATGCGATAAGCAATGTCGCTCCCACTCCTCTTGGTTGCGCGAGATATAACCGCAGTCGAGGAACCAAAAAGCACATTCAAACACGGGCGCGCGGCCATTGCCATGTGGCATTTCGAGGATACCCTCGTGGCCCTCTTCAAGCAGCTGATACCCGGCAAGATGGCCGGCGAGGCCCGTACTAACGCTCGTCTCGGTAGGCGTGGCTTCGGTGCAGCACGAGTGCAGCGACGGGGGACTATGAGTCGAGGCATTGGACTGGTGGATCAGAGCCGGCGCCATGGACGAGACGCTCTTGATGGACTCCTGTTCGAGCACCAGGCTGTCCGCCGCCGGGGCCTGGATGCCGTGCAGGTATTGCGAGCCGATGTGGACCAGGCGGGTAGAGAGGTCGGGTTGCTGCACCCAGTCGTGCAACGTGGGCGTTACATCGCGGTCGCGCTGGCGGAGGGCGGCCAAAGACATGTCTGGTGCGACTTGCGGGGTTGGCTGTGGCGCAGGCATCAGCCTCAGGCGGCGGCGGGTCTTGATTGGGTGGGCAGAGGGGCAGAGCGCATCTTTGTGGCCTTGCGGACGAGTGTGGGCAAGGCGGTGCAAGCGAACCAGGACTCACTGGGTCTTTACAGGGTCTGCGAGGCGTACGCCCGGCATCAACGTCGAGGGAAAGATGGGGATGGGAGGAGTGAAGGGTAGGGCTTAGCGTGGGTGTGTTTGTGGGGGGGTAGTCTGTCCTGGTCTGGGTCGACGAGAGTCTAGCGCGACAGATGTCGTGGCCGGCGGGTAGAGAGAGTCGGGTGTGTTTCTTTATGTTCAGGATCTGGACGTATCGGTCTCAAAGCAGATCAGATGGTTTCTGCGAGATGCGGCTCTGGAGGTGATTGGCATCTTGTCGCCCCTCGGATCTTCACACTTACCGACCGCTTGCATACCAAGTCGCCCATGGCGGGCAACAGTCATTAGTCCATCCACCACGACGGCGTCACGCCTTCGAGCAACGGCTCGCCTCGCCCTCAACGAGAGTGAATTGATTGGGCCGGCAGCTTGCAGATGACGGCTGTCTGCAGAAGTGGGGTGGCGCCTCTGAATAGCCGAACACCCTTTCCCCACTGCATGGCCGACCGCTCCCGTGCCACTACGAATTGACCTCTTGTATGGCGCTTTGTCGGTGAACCCGATGGGCTGTTCCGAATGAAGAGTCATCGGAATTGGCTTGGCCTACGCAAAGATACTGCACGTTGGTGTATCTGTACTGTGGTCATGTGTTTGGAGAGCAATCGACTCTGTTGGTCCAAATGTAAGTATGTACAGATGTACATCCATGGTTGCGGCACAGCAGATCAGAGTCGCTTACTAAAGCATGGTCAGTAGACCAGCTAGGGCAAGAGTGCATGCTGTCACCACATACTATCACCGTACATAGAACGTATATATTTACACTTTCATTTTCATATTCACTGTGCGTCCAAATGAGATGATCGACCACCAACCATGTACATACTGTATGCAATTAATAACCAGCAACACGAATGGAGTAATTCGCTCGTCAAGCTGGGGACAAACTTTCGGCCCATGCCGGCAATACCAAGCCCGTGTTGACACATGCCTGCCTTCGTACATCCAACATAACGGCAACTCCATATATCGCCCTGGGTATTGGGAGAATGCCAGCTGTACGCAGTGTTGCGGTCCCAGTGAATGCGCTCATGACTGGCCCTTGGCATTCTGATGTCGCGTTTCATACGCGAACGATCCCTGCTGCTTCAAGCGGCCTGCGACACAACCTCAGCACAAAACCACTGCCGTGCGCATGCGCACCGTCCCACCCCCCATTTCCACGGCTCGCAACCTCTCTTGGCCATGTTCTTGTTTCATTCTGTAGCTCACATCCAACCTCTTCCACGTGAACTGATTTGGGACTCCCGACGCCCATAATACCTACCTACAGCCCAACATCTTAGCTCCTCAACGCTACCGTCTCAGATCCTTGTGTCACGACACTGTCGTCGCGGCACGTCCTAGGACCGCGATAAAACTGGAGACCAACCTTGCATTGCAGCCGCAGCCACCCCTTCCTGCGCATGACCACTTTTCCACGAACCGTCATAGTGTCCGCGGTACCCTGGATTCGCCTACTTCACCCTTAGGCCGAGCTCCCGCTTTACCAACGCCGCTGTCGCTGCTGTCGTAACACTCGCTCGCTCTAGAAGCCAAAGATCGGCAAAACTTCCATGCTCATACAACGCCATAACATCATACGGAAATACCGATCGACTGCATCGCTGCCCACGCCTTGGGCGACATGCTCACACTCGTCTCGCTCTACAGCCTCCCTCCCGTACTCCTTAGCCTCGTCCTTACACACGCCTACGCATCCCCAGATGGAGTTATCGGCGAACAAAAGACGCATGTCCGCCCTACCTTCGCGACCGCCTTGACCGGCGGCGAGGGCTGTGACCTGTCCGAGATTGACGACATCCGCGATGGCTTCTCCGAGATGGTTGCCCTGTTTGCCGCTGCTACGCCTTTTGACCCCACCTCGCAGCCAGGACGAGAGTTCTTTGGCCCCTCGATAGCTGGAAACTACACCGACATGATTGCCAAGAATCTGCAGCGAGCAGCAAACTACGGAGTACTCAACGGAGAGGATGGTGCTATCAATGCCGACATCCATATACGATGCGATGACCCCATGAACCTTTGCGACAGAGGCAACAGACGGGAAGGTAACCACGCCGCTTACAACATCGGCAACGAACCGCACATTGTCTTCTGCTCCGACTACTTTAACATGGACCCCCTCGAGGCGCGAATAAACAACAAGGCCGAAGACCAAATCCAAAAGGACCGCCTGATGGAATACTACAACCGCGCTTCTCTGTGGGCACGCATGGTGATGCATTTCTCTGACATTGGCACAGCAGTCGTCCAACGGCCCACGCCCGCACCTCCAAACTCGACGACCGAATGGATTGTAACCTCTTCTGAAGGTCCAATGAACACGTCTGTGCTCGCTGGCGTGCTCAACGAACAAGGCGATGGCCCGACTGACCGCCAAACCCTCAAGTATGCATACGGCGCCACACGCGCAAAGCTGCTCGCCACTCTGTCCACCCAGATGCCCTACGACGCTGCAAACAATGCCGAAAACTATGCTCTCTACGCCCTGTCGCAATACATCATCAAAGACAAGACCTTTTACCCTGCAGTCCCCATCATGGATTTCCCAAACGAAGCAAGCGTGCTTACCAATGACAACCTCCAGGATGGTGAAAGGTGCAAATATGCCTTTTTCGACATGTCCGACGTCGTGTGAGTTTCTCCTTTCCCCTTGTTTCTTTTCCATCCTAGCGTGGTGCAGACATGTGCATAAAGGCTAATGTTACAAACAGTGCAAGACCATCAGATATGTTATTAGAAGGTGCGCCGCTACCCTCTACAGGCTCATCTTCTCATGCCTTGTCTTCGCCCATGATAGGCGTGACTGGAGCTGCCTTGGTCTACGCCTTCATGGCTACGTCGATTGGATGAAGTGGATCTAAGTTGCGAGAAACGCCAAGCATTTTCGCGTTTTGAAAGAAATCTCCCAAGAAGAAGAGCACAAACAAAACTTTGTTAGGAGATGTGAATGGTATGGGAGCCATGTGCGCTTTCAAACCCCCTGTTAAACCTTGTGTGTGTCTGGCAACATTGATTGCCTGATGTGAACCCATGATGGACAGACATCGTATGATGCAACACGGGTCCGGGAAAGCACCTCCTCATATTGGATGGGTATGTAGAGCCCCTAACCCTGCCATCTATTTTGATAACGCTTTCGATACAAGTACAAGCGGGTACTTGGATCGTATGGAAGCGTAAGTGACTACGTCTGGCAACGTTTGGGTGCGGGAAGGGACCATGGGCGTCAAGGGGTAGTAATTTTGACTCCATAGCTACGCGCTAGGATGTGAATTCCCATCATGATGGCAATTTTTCGGCCGGCCAGTTGTAGAAATCAAGGCGAAGAAGAGATGGTATAGACGTCTTTGACCTTGATATCCTGGCCTGTTCGACATCGATAGAGAAGATAGTAATAGTAATAGTCAAACAACAAGTCTCGATTCGACAACGACTGTATTATGACTTCTGTACCTTCCCTTGCACAGTCAACGAGCTGTAAGTACCGAAAGTGGCGATATGTTCTGTTCCAATATGTCCTTCCGAGTATCAATAGCAGGCATGGCTTTCTGAAGTAAGGCATATGCAAACAAAACGACAGTCGTGTATTACCCAATATGATGCTTCGAGGACTGTCCTCGCATCCTGGGTGAAAGAGGTCGTTGAGCAGAAGGTGGATTCCAATCCGGCCGCTTCCTTGTCGGCCTTGAAGAGCCATGTTCGCCCGGTCCATTCTTCATAGCCTGCACCACGGCCTCAATGACGTTTCCCGTCTCCGCGCGCACCTCTGTATATTTAGCAGCAATCAAGGGCTCCTGAACGTGCAGTCTCAGGCTGCCCGTCAGATCCAGCTTTTTGCCCGCTTTCAGCAATTCCATGAGATCGGGTCTATCTTGAATAGCTTTGGCATTGACAAACATGCCATGGTCATCGTATCCTCGCTCTTTCAGTTCGTCTTTGATTGCATTGCGTAGACGGCGCCTTGCCCATGCTCGCACGCAGCTCGACTTGCTCAGACTGACGCCCGTGGTTGCATGCCACCAGAGCCCTTGCTTCTTGCGTTCTGCCTGTCTGCGCTTCTGCGTCTCGTGGAGGGGATGCGAAGCATCGCTTACGACGTGGTTGACGATAAAGTTTTTGTATTCTGGCGCATAGCTTACTATGAACGTCTTGGGCCGGTCCTTAGCGAGGAGTGTGAAGGCGCTCTTCATGACTCTCTTTTTTTTTCCTCGTTCTATCCGTCACGTTCGACGAATTATGCACAGTGACGTTTGCAAAAAGGTCGAACACAAAAAACGGTCACAAGGAAGATGGGTTGGCTGCTCGGGTGAGCGCCCAACGCTAGGCTCAAGACGGGCAAGCGCATGGCGTTTAGCGCCAAATGTCCAGGGCAGGCATCCCACAGTGACTGTGTCGGAATCCACGCGAAGGCAAAGCGGGCTGTGTGTGGTGCAAACAACGGGTCCCGCCACTACATAAGAACTTGCGCCCTGCTTTCTCAAGTCCCCCGACTCCCATCTCCACTTACAATCAACACACAAACAAGCTTCGACAACCGCCAGTATGCCGAAGAACAAGGGAAAGGTATGTTTGTCATTGCTCCTTTGGAGGGGCAAGGCTCCCCACTACATGCGCACACAACGTCCATGACGCTGCCTGGCCTTGCCCCCAAGCAGCACCTCACTTCGCCCCAAGGCGAAGTGCAAAGCGCACATACCTTTCCATACATCCTCTAGCAAGATGCCCAAACAGCGCCAAACCATATGCTAACGACATCGAACCACAGGGAGGTAAAAACCGACGTAGGGGAAAGAACGAAAACGACAATGAAAAGCGCGAACTCGTCTTCAAAGAGGAGGGCCAAGAATACGCCCAAGTAGTAAAGATGCTCGGAAACGGCCGCCTGGAAGCCCAGTGCTTCGACGGCGCCCGCCGCCTCGCCCATATCCGCGGCAAGCTGAGGAAGAAGGTCTGGATCAACCAGGGCGACATCATCTTGCTCTCGCTGCGCGACTACCAAGACGAAAAGGGCGATGTTATCATGAAGTACTCTGGTATGTTTTTGAATGAACCCACTTTACTCAGACACTGTGGGAAAATGCAAAGTGGTGATGAGAGAATGTTTTTTGGCTGATTGAACTGTGTGTCTTTTGCAGCCGACGAAGCTCGTTCATTAAAAGCTTACGGCGAACTCCCCGAGAACGCAAAGATCAACGAGACGGATACCTACGGCGACCAGGGCGACGAAGGCATCGGTTTCGAATTCGACGAGGACCGTGATGATAGTGACTCGGATGAGGCTGAGGGTGGCGGCAAGAAGGAGATTGATATTGATGATATCTAAAGGGGCGAGAGAAAAGGAGATAAGAGGTCCGCCATGCTGTCTCGACTCTTTGCTTTGCGCTTTCCGCGGCTTCTGGCGTTTTTGCGGTAGCGAGGGTTGGGCTGCTCAAATGCTGCTTCTTGCGAGCGGGCGGATGAGAGAGAGACAGACAGACACAGAGAGTATGTGGTTATTCTAATCAAATCGACTGTAGTGACGGAGGAACTATCCAGTTCTTCAAGTTTCTTCTTCATATTTGACATATTTCCCTTTTTCTTTCTGCGACTCAAATTGTCTACGTTGAAAGAATGATGATTGGCCCAGAATCAACCCAACATGTCTAAACCTAACTAAACACCTGCAACTGCACATCCTCATACACACTCCGATTCAAAAACCGATGCGCCCTCCTCCCCACATCCGTACCCACCAGCCAACAAATCTCACGCTCACTCATATTCGCCACCTCGAGTATATTCTCGCTCTTAAGCATAAGCGCCGTAACCGCATTCTCATTGATCCCCGGCAGCGCCCTCAACATATCCTGACTCGTTTGATTAAAACTACGCATTTCATCGCCGCTAAGATGGGGATCGAGACCCAACTGCACGGCGCGCAGGGGATCCGGTTCATCTTGCTGTTTCTTTAGTTCTGCGAAGATCTCGGCGGTTTGGTAAGGTGACGAGGACCAGATGATGCGGAGGCGGGGGAAAGCGAGGGTGAGCATTACGAGTTTGGATTGGAGGTCCGGGGTTGTTGCTGATGAGAAGGCGGAGTTTGTACTTGAAGCGGCAGGGGCGGAGAAATCGGTAAAGGGTTCGAGAGTGAAGGATTTGTTTTGGTCGAATTCGATGAGGAGCATGGGGTGTTTGTAGTGTTCTGTCATTGATTCTACTTGGTTGAAGAGCCGGCCGTTGGTGAATGATGCGATTAGGTCGCGGATGGATTTGCGCTCCACGCAGATTTGGGGGGTGAGGACGTAGTCGCCGACTGTGAGCATGCAGGGGACGATTACCATGGACCGGCCGTGGAGGAGTGAAGGGAGTGACGAGCGGAATTCTCGCACGTCGACGACTACGCGAGGAGGCTCGGCAGTGGCGGCGAGCCGGCCTCCTCCTGCTATCCTTGTATTAATTGTGCGCAAAAAGGATTCTTCAGGCGCGAGATTGGCAGATGGGTTCTGGGTAAAAGCCATGTTTGCGCGCTCTTTAATGAGCCGCGTGAAGGCATCCTTTTCGCGTCGGACAGCCGACAAGTAGCGTTGCTCTTCTACACTGCCCCCATAGTACATGAAGAATACTTTGACGGTCCTGTCCGTGTGGGAGGACCGGTACACTTCGATACGCCGGATGAAGGCCGCGTCTGGCTCGTACATGATGACATATCTCGGTTTCGTTTCGTCAAGGACGTGCTCGTCTAGATCTCCAGAGTAGGGGTGTATGATGATCAACGAGTCCATGTCGAAGAGCTCGTAGTAGCTTTCCATATTCTCCAAAGGATCAAGACCTACTTCTCCCAGTTTTTGCACTGCTTCCACTTCGGTGGGCTCTAGTTCAGCCATGAGACTAGCAATGTGCGCGTCACGATCTCCGGCTGTACGGATTGCGCCTGTGTCACCTCTTGAAGGACCAGCTGCTGCGTTGCCTCCTCCTCTGACGCGACGTCGCTTGTTAGGCGGAGGCTTACCAGAAGTTGGACGTGCGCCACTTTGAGCATTCTTGTCTGTGTTGCTGTTGATGGCTTTCTGGTTCTCCGAGAATAGAGCAGCACTGACTTTGCCAAAGTCGCGTTTCCAGGCCAGGTAGTTGCGCAGCTTACGTCGCATCATGAACTTTGCTGACGGCTCGTACTCTTCTTCATCTTCATCTGCAGAGCCCTCTGGTTTGACATACATGGTCTGTAGATATTCCCGTAGCTGCGCGGCTGTACCTTGGTCGCCGCACATGATGAGAATTGACCCATTTGACGAGTCCTGCGGTGTGGGATTCAAATATGCATCTTGCTCAATTTCTTGCAAAATTTCTGCTAGTTGCGTCCATTTGGGGAACTCTTCCAAGACAGGTTCCAGTGACTCGGGTACTGCATTTGAGGCGTTGGCTAGCTCGGCGTTAGATACCTTGCCTGTGTATACCCTCCGCTTAGCTGTTGTAAAAATCGTATCAGCAGCATCTAAAAACAACCAGGGAGACTGGTTCTGCTTCGTTGACCCTGGTGGTGGCTGGGAGGCCGCCAAAACAGTATCGAGGTACTTGTTAAAGTTCACAGCATCGTAGGTGAGGAGTGCATGTAAAATGGACCGCAAGAGCGACAAGTCACGAACAACCTGTCGCGTCTTGAACGTGGTCCGATGCCAAACAGGATCCAACTGCCGCCGAATAATCTGGTCAAAGTTCTTATGCAATGCACTGTCCACTGTCCAGTCCTCGACCTCCAACCCCGGATTGGCCTTCTTGAGCTCACTGATGCTGGCTTCCACACATGCCAAGACGGCATTCTGTATATCCTGCATTGCTTCCGTCATGGGCACCTCCAATTCAATCACTTCGGCCTTCTTGCGCCCTTCTAGCGAGTTTGCAACGGCGACATGGAATCTTGGGTATAGCGCTGGTTTTGTCAAGAACAGATTCTTCATCATGTTAGTGAGCGGAGCAAATCCCGTGGTGAAGGGCTCTGGAGTGTCCGAGAAGGCTTTCAGGAAGCCAACCTTGTTCTTCTGCCGGTATATTCTCAAGATGAAGGCTTCCAGGGACGTGGCCACGACTCGTTCAGCATGGAGAACCACGACACCAGTCACCGTCTCTGGGTTGAGCAGGCCGGACAAGAAATCCACAATCAGAATGCGCGACGTAATGCTGAATATGCCCCCTTGTGCGTACATCTTCTCCCGTGTCCCGACGCTCATGAGATCGGTATTGACCAGACTCAGGCCGCGGCATTTGGGCGCATTACTGACTGCCGCGTGCTCGGCCAACGCCTCACCGATCCACACATTCTCGCGGTCGTCGGCTCCGACGAGCAGTATGAGGTTGTTACCAGCGGCATCGTACGAATGTAGGAGGTTTGTGACTATGCGCAAAATGCCGAGACCACGGGCGAGAAGGACGAGCTCATCTTCCCCGCGTAGCTCATTGAAGATGTCTTGCTGAAACTCCTATGATGTCATCAGTACAAGGTGCCGCACATTGAAGCGAAGACATACGAGAGGCAACGAGAGCTTCACAGGGGCTTGCGCATCGCCGGGCATTGGGTACTGCTTCAACTGTTGGGGCGGGGCGAATAAACTAGGTTGGGGTTGTGATGCGCGTCCCGGGTTTTGCGCGGGCCTTACGCCAGATCACATGGGCGCGAGACCAATGCAAGGATATCAGAGGCAATTCTTGGCAACTTCGAGAACAAAGGCCATATAGCAGCCAATTCAATCGTATCATACTTGATTTGCTGCCAGGGCTGAGGGTGGATAATTTGAGTCCGGATTTAAGAAGCGGCTTCAGATCGTGATACATGTAAAAATACAAAGGCAAAAAAAGGGAATCACATCAAATGGGCTTGCTTGATCACTCTGCGCTTGCCCTGATCTCTGCCTGTCTTCTCCTGCTTTCGGCAGCATAGGCATCACGCTCGTCTCTGCGGGCTTTCTGCTCCGCCTCTGACCTTTTTGCATCCATTTCCTTCTGTGCAGTCCAGACTAGTTTGGTCAGCAGGCTGGTCAGGCATGATGTATTAGCGGGCGAAGACATACTAGGCTTATCCGACCTTGCAGCCTCCTTCAACTGGCCGACGAACGCATCGAATTCCTTCTGTCTTTGCTCTCGTCCTGCCAGAGCCTTCTTTTGCAGTTCTGGATTGTACCTCTGCACATGATGTAAGCAAGCGGCTAGGCGTATGCACGTGGCAAAGGCGGGTATACCTTGAAGATTTCTTCCTCTGTGGGCGTGACATACCAGACGAGTGCTGGCCCGCCTACGCAGAGGACTGCACCTCTTTGGAAAAGTTAGTATCTTGCTTGCGGGTAGCACCAAAGCATGTCACATACGCTGAGAAGGCCTTGATGTACGTTCGGGCGGACGGCATGATTATCTCTTTTGCAAGCTCACTTGGTGCTTGACAGGCAAGGATGGTTTGGTGTGTGTTGGCTAACGGCGGAGACGTGCACAGCCTGCAGCCAAAGTGGTGAAGTCAACATTCTATGCCGGCGCCACGGTGCAAAGAGGCTAGTGGGATGCGCCACGCCTGCTGTCACGTGTATCTTTGCCCTTGCAAGCCTGGGCTGCACTGCCACTGAGGCTGACGACTGATGGCTGGTGGATGGTGGATAGTGGCTGGTGGGTGGGGGGCCAGCGTTGGGTGCGGCGAACGGCGTTCCCGAAGCCCCCCCCCAGGCTTCGATCTGCAGGGCTTGGGTGGTGCCAATTGGTCAAGTCTGTCGAGTTGCATAACCTGTGTATGATCTCCTCCCGCTCTGCAACTCAGTTCGTACAGACACCGTCTCCCCCTCCTCTTCTCACCGCCCGCCGCTGAAACCAATCGTGTCCTGCCTTTCTCTCATTTCGGCTGATGACGAACAATCATAACGCTGTCGTTATAATGATGAAAGCTCATTTAATCAATTGGCGGTGCTGCTAATTAACGGCTTTGATTCGCTTACCCCCTCCGACCCCCCAGTCGCTTAATGCGGCGTTTCAGGGCGCCCCCGGATGCTGGCAATGTCACACGTTCTTCTTTATTTCGTCAATGCAAGGTTGCTTCGGCGCTCAATGGACAGACGGCCCATCTAGGGTTGAAACGCCAGAGTCAAGCCATTGGATCATTGGATCTCACCCCCGTGTTTGAGGAGCGCGACCGCAGCCACACCCGCAAACCCCCAATAAGCGTCGATTCCCAGTGGGTTGTAGTCGCACAACCTCTACCTGTCAACACCCTTTATTCTCCTCTTGACCTTCTGCCGCCCTTGTGACTTGCCTGTTTCTTGCTCCTGTACGACCCTTCTTTAATTTCAACTCATCCTTGCAAGGACCACCACTACCACCCCATTCCCCACGCCCGCTAGCAGCCTACGTACGCGACAAACACGCCGAGCCAGGTCCGGTCCTTGAACGCGCGCATGCACAGGCGCACTTAACTTCTGCATCCCCGCCCTTTGCACCTCGTTGCTACTTTCTTCGCCAAGTCTCTAAAATACAAAGGGTCGTGTGCACGCTATCCCCCGCAAAACTATCGGAATGGCATACCAGCAGCAATACGGCAACTACCAGCAACAGCCACAACAACAACACTACGATCAAGGAAGGCCACAGCAAAGACAACGTCAACAACAGGGCTACGATCATCACTATGATCAGCAGTACGACCAGCAGTATTACGATTATGGCTATGACCAGGGTGGCAATGAACAATGGGACAATGGCCACTACGATCAGGGCGGATGGGGGAATGCGCAACAACATGGTTATCAAGATATGAACGGATATTCGAGACAGGCTCCGCCAAACCAAGGCCGTCGACCGCCCCCGCAAGACCAACACCATCAGGATGAGACATACAACGATCCATATTACCAACAAGCGCCCCCACAGAATCAGGGTCGAAGACCGCCTCCTCAGCAGCGACAAGATCCTCGTAACCGACCAGTGGGGAGAGGAAATGGGCCCCCACCAAATCAACAGCCAGGACAGGGTGGGCTCAGACCGCCGGGTACGTTGCGTTGTCTTTGCGCCATTAATAAATATCGTCAGGTCATCATGTCAGACAAGATGCTAATTGTTATACACAGGCCTTGACCGGTCCATACTGAATCCTCCAGCGCCAAAGAAACTACCTCAAGATAACCCGTTTCCAACATTTCCTCCAAAAAGTCAGAAGCAGCAAGGCGCAAACCCTGCAATCGACCAGAGCATGGCGCAAATGAATATCAATGATAATGGAGGGAATGTGGGACCCAGAGGTCCCCCAGGGCGAGGACAGCCTATGCCACAGAGAGCAGGACCTAATCCTCGGCAGGACTCAGGACACTTCGAGGACCAAGGGCAACGACAGCCTCGAAATCAGATGCCACAAGGCCAGCGACCGCCGCAGATGAATGTTGATACTAACAGGAGACCAATGCCGCAACGTACATCTGACCCTATGTCTCCCTCCAGACGAACTTTCGGTTCAAACACACAGCGTTCTATGACCATGCCTCAGAACGCGCAAAATGGCTATGGAGCGGGCGGGTACAACGGCCAACAAGAGTATGCTGAGCCTGGAGCGATGTCTGGCTATAATGGCCCTGCATCGCCGACCTACGTTCCACCTAGGCCAACTACTGCTGGCGGAACCAGACCGAATGGGCCTTCGATGCAGCAAGGACAAAGACCCCCAATGCCGCAAATGCCACCGCAACAGCCACGGCAAGCGCAAAACGATGACCCCTCAGGCCTAGATAACTTTTATGATGATTACTATGGTTCGGACGACCGTAAGAGTATGGGAACTGCAATCGACATGCCCGATTTTGATGCTATACCGGAGACGAACAACAAGCATCGCCGAGGTGATTCGATCGATGGCCATTTGGCTCCTGCAACCGAAACACAAGCTTATGCTCCACCCGCCACTTCCGCAAACCCACGGGCTGGACCTAATGGTAACGTCCAGGGCCAGTTATCGCGAAGCCGATCGCAGCCACAACTCAGCAACCAATACGCCAACGGTATACACCAGATGGCTGCGGATGCTCCTCCTATGCCAGGTTTGCCAAGGGCAAACACCGGGTTTGGAGGTCCGACTGGTTTACCAAACGGACCCCGAGGTCGGGGGCCGCCACCTAGGGGGATGACAATAGACGGCATGCCGCGAGGACCGCCTAACCAAGGCCCTATGCAGGGACAACCGCAAAACTTTGACCCCAGATACGGACGCAATCCACCGGGAGTTCAAAGGCTCCATTCAGATGAGTCTACCTATTCAGAGCCACCACCGAACACAAGGAATTTCACGTCACCAGTAGCAGCCGGTAATGCCATACCTCGACCAGGAACAGCGGCACCTGCGCCAGGACGTCACCCCAGCGATCCTCTAGGTAGAAGGCCCGGTACCACTCAGCCGCCGTTGAATCCAGACGCATTACCAGCGCATCCAGTGCCTGTACGGCCGGGGTTAATGCAACAAGGACCACCGCAGCAGCAACAACCCCAGTCATCAATGCCTCAGCAATCAAGACCACCGCCTGTTCGTCAGTACAATAGCGAGCCAGGACGCCCAAGTTACGATAGTCAGCACTCGACCGCGAAGCGAAACAGCGCGCAAAACGCAGCCCCACATCCAGTAACACATGACGAACTGAATAGATTGCGTAATTCCTGGAAGAAGTCTGAATCTTCAGACATTGCTACAGGCCTGAAGCTAGCAAGGAAGCTTGTCGAAGCGTCTAGTGTGCTCGCTGACGAAGGAGGCACGGCTGATAACCGGACAAAGAACAAGAATCGCGAAAAGTTTATGCAGGAGAGCTACAAGATAGTAAAGAAGCTGGTCAGCATCGGATCTCCCGATGCCATGTTCTATCTTGCCGACTGCTACGGTCAGGGAACCCTTGGTTTACAGGTGGACACAAAGGAAGCATTTACTCTATACCAATCTGCTGCAAAGGCCGGACATGCTGCGAGTGCGTATCGAACAGCCGTTTGCTGTGAGATGGGCCACGAAGAAGGCGGAGGTACAAAGAGGGATCTGGTCAAAGCAGTGCAGTGGTACCAGCGCGCGGCAGCACTAGGTGACACGCCTGCAATGTACAAGATGGGCATGATCTTTCTCAAGGGACATTTGGGCCAGCAAAAGAACTTTGGCGAGGCCATCAACATGCTCAAGCGTGCTGCCGAACATGCAGACCGAGACAATCCTCATGCTCTCCACGAGCTAGCCCTCATCTACGAAGCATCAACCGGCAACGAGCGCATAGCCCGCGACGAAGCATACGCGCTCCGACTCTTCCACCAAGCCGCAGATCTCGGCTACAAGTTTTCTCAATTCCGCCTTGGACAAGCATACGAATACGGTATGTTGGGGTGCCAAATTGACGCTCGCACGAGTATTGCTTGGTACACGAAGGCTGCAGCCCAGGAAGAACACCAGAGCGAACTCGCATTATCGGGTTGGTATCTAACTGGCACACCCGGTATCCTCGAACAAAGCGACACAGAAGCATATCTCTGGGCCCGCAAAGCAGCGTGTGCGGAACCGCCGCTGCCAAAGGCCTTGTTTGCTATGGGCTACTTTACTGAAGTCGGAATTGGTTGCTCGAGGAGTCTAGAGGAGGCGAAGAGGTGGTATGGAAGGGCTGCTGGTAAGTTGTTTCCAACCGTACTCGGTTTTTGATTGTTTGGGAGATTTCCAGTAACTGACTTGTCGACTTTTAGCATACAAATTCCCTAAGGCCCAGGAACGACTTGAAGAGCTCAAAAAGGGTGGAAGCAAGGCGCAGAAGAATAGGGAGAGGCTGAGTAGGACGAATCAGAAGCAGCAGGAGGAGAATTGTGTGGTTATGTAAGCTGCGTTGCGGAGATGCTTGATTGTTGATTATTAGAATCAAATGGGCTATACCTTCACTTTCTTGGCACTTGGTTTCTTGTGCAGGGATGCAATGCCTGTTTTAGCATTTGACGAATGTCTGTTTATGTTTGAGCGAATTGGTAGTTCAAAAAGGGAAAGGTTGAATTCAGGAATTACTCTACTTCTTCTCTGCTATGACCTTGAGTATGCAAAGCGATCATATCAGATGCCAAGCAGCCAGAAAACATCTTGTAGGTCACCAATGGTACGAGAACGGAGTTTCGTAAACAACATATCATGACATTCATAACTGATCATTGGACACTGCACAGATCCGTTACAGCATCAACATATCAAACATACATCCATACCCATCTAGGCATACTCCAGCCTCTCCTCCGACCACCCCGGCCTCAAATACTCCCCATCAAACCTCGACGCCCAACTACTCTCCACTGCGAACTCCTGCACCATCTTCACATCCACCTTCGCACCCTCTTCCTCCTGCGCCCAAACACTCAACCCCAGTACATTCTCTCCACCATAGTTCAGAATACCAGGCGGAACAGGAAACTTGACTTCATTCCCCACGAACGGGTTAAACCGCGCATATTGGTACCCGTTCACGAAAAGTTGGACACGAATCGTCTTTGCAGCCGATGCATTTAGTATGAATGCAAACGAAGCGTCGACATCGGCGGGGACATCTAGAGAGAAGGTGGTGCGGTAAAATTTGATATCTGCGCCTGAGAAGCCGGTGGAAGGGGATGCAGAAGCCCAGTCTGCGTCATCGAAGCCAGGAAGGTGCCAGCCTAGGCGTTCGGCGACGAGGCCGCCTTCAGCCAAGGGGCCACGGACGGGGTCGAGAAGCACAGATTCCCCGCCGGCTTCTCCGGCGATTTTCCAGGTGGTGAAGTTTGCGGGGCCGGAAAGGGAGGCGCGGAGGATGCCGCGGGGGTCGGTGGCGCCGCCGCGGAGGTCGTGGCCGGTGTTGTCTTGGGCGACGAGGAGGACGTTTGTGCTGTTTGAGTGGACAGTTGCGTTGGCGAAAGAGAGCGTTGCGTTGGCTCGACCCAGTGTAGTGTTGCCAAGCCAAGAGCCAATGTGTTCGCCGTTGAGCCATGCGCTCCAGCCGAAGGCGAGACCGCCTTGGACAGAGAGTTGGACGCCAGTGGCCGAGCCGTCAAAGTAGCCGCGGAAGAGGTGGAAGCTATTGTGGAAGCCGTATTCATCGACGTAGAGAACCGGAAGCGTGTCTGGTTTCGTAGGGTTAGGAGTGGTACGGTGGTCTGCAACGACCCATGCAGCACCGCTGTCATCGTAGTCGGGCTCCTTTTCTGGGAGACCTTCGTTGACTTTCCAGTCTTCTAGAGAGGGCAGCTGGATAGTACTGTTGAAGGCGGTGACATGTGCCTTCAAACTGCCGTATGAGGTTTGAGAGGTAGATAGCTTCTTTCCGTTCCAGGAAAGAGTTTTAGCGCTGGCACAAGCAAAGACTTCAATGTCAGTGCTGTTCATGATGTCTCCCTTTAGGGCGAGGACATCGTCGTCGAGGGCTACATGGCGTACTAGATATGGTCCCTGTACCAAGACTACGCAAATGTTAGTTTCCAGGCGTTGGAACCCATAGTATCAACGAGTGTACTCACCAGATTGGTCAACAGGCGCAAAGGGGTCGTTTGATAGATTAGGAGCCCAGAACAAGTAAGCGGTAGGCTTATCAGCCACAACAACCTTCACGCCATTGTCAAACTGGTATACGCTCATGCCAGATACAGTCTGAATATTGGTCGTGATACCCTGGGCTTCGGCATAAAAGGTGGCGTTTGAACTTGCACCACTGTTAACAACTGAGCCCTTTGTAGTGCCCTTGACGTGGAACTCAACAGACTCGCCAACGCCAGTCGATAGCACTACGACTGGTTGGGAATCAATGAGAGCATATGTGAGGACTTCTGCAGTGGAGTAGGTAAGAATACTGTCGCCCATCGCGAAGTCGGTGACAATAATCTTAGACTGGTGGCCATTGAGAACGATAGAACCGCCATGTTGAGGGATGGTGAGGTTACCGGCCGACGTGCTGACGTGGAGTTTGAACGATTCTCTCGTTGCCGAGGAAGACGTAGCATGAATGGTAACGTAGAACGCGCCATTGGTAAGGGGGTTGCGGAGCTCGCTAGCCTCAACTGCCGAGTTCGTGCTGTACGAGGTAGAATTTCCCAGACGATCGGTGACTGTCAAGTCATCCGCAACACGAGTGAACAAGGCCAAATTCTTGGTCTCGTAAAACTTGGCGCCAATCTCACGGTTCTCGCTGATAGGGCTGCTGTAGTCGTAGGACGTAGCTGTGACTGGAGCTGCAAGGGCACCCCAGTTTGTTCCTCCAAACATCATGTAGAGGGAAATAGCTGTGACCCGCTGGGAGATCAGATTCCGATAGAATAGATTGGCAAAATCAGCGCCAATATCCCCGGGACAGCCGCCTTCCGGTCCACCCCAGGGGTTGTATGAGCCACCTTGGAACTCTGGGAAGAAGCTTGGCTGGGTTGGAGACACCTTTTTAAAATGATCATAGTAGTTGATGGTCTGGTATGCTACGTATCTAGAAAAAGGTGTCAGCAAGCAACATGAACATCTCAAATGTACAATACATACTTTCCGTTAGTACCCGTGCACTCGTCAAGGTTACAAGACCAGCAAGACGGGTAGCTGTCGAGACCAGCAACATCGACATTTCCGACAGCACCAGGTGCGTAGTCCTTGCTCCAGCTTCTGGTGTTCATATTGGGATCGTTGTGAATAAGAGGAACATCAATTCCGTGGACTCGTGACATGTCCTCCAGTGCTTGCATGTAGTTTGCAGCGCTTGGGTTTGGAATCTTCTTGTCTCTGTTTTGCCACTGCTCTCCATACTCGTTCTCAATCTGGTAAACCAGCGCATTTCCACCCTTGGTCACGAGATGCTCAGATGTGAGCTTGGAGAACTCGGAGAAGTATGGTTCTAATGCCTTGATATACCTTGGGTCATCGTTGCGTAGCTTTCCATAAGCACCTGTGGTGAGCCATAATGGAAAACCTCCGGCATTAGCCTCAGCATTGACATATGGACCAGGCCTGGTAATGACGTAGAGGCCAACGCGCTCCGCAATCTCAAAGAGTTTGGTGAAATCGTGCGCGCCGCTCTCGAAGTCCAAGGTCTGGTTATTTGCGCTATGGTAGGCCCAGTTGCCATAGAAGGCGAAAGCTGTGAAGCCTAAAAATCATCAGCTCCTACGACTCGAATGCGCCTTGTGGGAGTTGCGATACTTACCAGCTGCCTTGATCTTCTCCAGCAAATCTTCCCAAACCTCATAGACAGGGATACGCCAGTAGTGAATCTCTCCGGAGAAAACGAAAAGACGCTTTCCATTCACCTTGAAGGAATAGTGGTCCCATTGTACGACATCATTCAGGCCGTTGTCGTGAAGCGGCCATGTACTGGGCGTATTGTTCTGAGCAGCAACACCAGATCCATTTGGTATCGCCGCCAACGAATACAAAGCCGACAGCCATGAGAAGCCAACGAAAGTTTTCATGGCGTATAGGGACCGAAGACAATGAGGCCAATTAGCGCTGTGCCCATTATGTCGGGCATTTTGGAGATTTATGAGCACTAAGCAAATGCCATCACCCCGGTCACCACGGAATGGGAGCAAGACGCTAGCTATATTGTGACGGGAAACACGGTGAGATGTGGGGAAACAGAAGGCTTCCTAATGGTGGAATTTACATGTCCATGCTGGTAGAGACGAGCCACCGGGTGTGCCGAGGCGCGGGTAAACGTGTCGGTGGCAGCGAACGTATGTCGGGGCACGGAAGGCTTACTATTAGGCGTTAGTGCAATGGAGACATGGAATGATCTTCGTAAGTTCCAAGATGAGGAATAAGAGCATGGGAAATGGCGCGTTTTCTGCAAACATCATGACAGTTTGTAGGGTAAAAAAAGCTGGGGGTGGTTGGGGTAGCTGACGTATTACCGGCTAAAATGCACATGGCGGCTTGTGGGCTGTTTAAAAAACTAAACATTGCTTATAGAATGTTGTGACGATAAAAGAGATTTTTCAAGTTTTCGAAGAGTTAACTCATCATATTTACAATATCGTGCCTGCGAGAAGCCTGAAAATCCAAGAGGTGGAAATTGGATTCCACGGTTAGTAAGTACCTACGTATGTACGTATGTACGTACAGTACTAGCTCAAAAGTCTGTTCCCCCGAGCGCACGGGCCACGATCACCACTTTTTCCCATAACTTCAACCCCGTGCAGCTCCACCAAACCACGTCCAAAATTAATTTTGAAATAATCAAATTAAAGCTATTAATCTTAATATTTTGTTTGATAACCATGTGCAGTGCGCACGGCGTCGAGGCGTCGCGGCATACTCGAGATCAGTTTGGTAATCAAAGAATCAGGTATGGCAGACCAGGCCTCTCGCAACCCATTTTCAAACTGATCCCACTCCCTTTCTGTGTCGCCCATGTAGTCAAACTCGGGGTGCAGCTCATGGAGTTTCTTTTTGAGTGCCCACCAGAGGTGTTCGATGGGGTTGAGATCCGGAGAAAAGGGGGGCCAGTCAATAGTCTCAATGTTGTGATTCCTGAACCAAGTTTTGGAGACACGAGCAGTATGGATAGGTGCATTATCCCGCATAAATATCTCCCCGCGTCTCCAGTCAGGTATTAGCCCTTCCTCAAGTGCCTGCAAGTAGCTCCATGCAGTATATCCATGTCGTTGCCGTGTGTGATCTCGTTGCATGATCACCAGAGGACTCCTGCCTACAACACCATCTTGACCTATCCAAATTGCAGCCCACACCATACGAGCGGGCTGCCGGCCAGTGGGGACACCTTCTATCATCTCGTGAGACCATTTCTGCGCTGGTAATCTCCATACCCAAGTGGTGTTGTGGCCAGAACCGCGGGCGATACTACACTCGTCTGAAAACTTCAAAATAGTATCACCACCCTAAGTGAAAAAACGCCACCTCCGCGCAAAAAATAAGCGTTTTTTGGCAATAATCCGGGTAATAAGTGGCCTGCGCTTCGCTCTAAACTTATGGTAATCCATTCGAGCAAGTGCTCGTCGAATTGTGGCGCGAGAGACGGTGGAGGTGCCGGAGTCAGAGTCCCATAGGTTGGCCTCGCGATACAGCGCGCGGTACTCGATCTTGGGATCTTTTTTTACGGCTCGAAGCAGCTGTCGGTGATCCCTACTAGTTAATTTGGGTGGGCGGCCCATCCGATCGTGCTTGGTGTAGGTTCCTTCGGTGTCCCATTGATGGATTATTTTGTTTACTGCGCGGCGCGTGCAGCTCAGACGCGTCGCGATTTCTGACGTGCTGCATCCACCCTCCGCTTGGGCCAAAATATATATCCTTTGGGCATCTGATAATTCACTACCTGGCATTCGATTACGCGAAATTTCTGCGCAAAAAGATCTCATTTAGATGGAGTTACATGGTGTTGAAGAAGAGACTAGTCTGAGGAAATTGGGATGGTGGGGTAGGCCCGTGCTCGGGGGAACAGACTTTTGAGACGTGACTGTAATAGTACGTAAAGCACGGGCCATGTTTGCCGGTGATGTCCTCGAGACATCTGTTTCCACCCTCTTATTTTCCAGATAAATTCGACTACATCGTTAAGCGATGATGCCAGCATCCCAGAGAAAATTTTGTCGAGTAGAATTGTAGTAGATTCGAGCAGTCTACTCGTTCTCCGTGACATCGATAACAGTCGACTTGAATTTCCTGGCAGGAACTCTGCGGTTGAACAGAATGTCGAGCTCGCGGTAAGAGCGGTTCTTGAACTCGGGAAGACCAAAGTAAGCTGAGATGAAGCAAACGCAAGCCGTGCCTCCCCAGACATATCCGCACTTGCCGGCCATGTTCCAACCAGTTGGATTAAGCATTCGCGAAGCCAGGTAGATCATGGGAATCTCGGCAACGTAGTATGCCGCACGACCGACACCAGTACTCAGGGCACGAAGGCGGACCGAGGAAGCCTCCGCAATGATGGAGTACGTGATGGGGCCCATGGCCAAAGCGTATACGAACGAGATGATGACACCGAGACAAGCCTGTGCGTAGTTTGTCGCACTGGTCTGGTGAAGTGACCCGAAGATGCCGAGAAGAAATAGCATGGCGACATTCGTAGCCGTGCCTACGAGATAGATTGTACGGCGACCAAAGTATGCGCTCAGAGGCCAAGCAAGCATATTAGCAACCAGCTGCAGGGACGAATTGATCATGTTGAGCTTGAAAGAAAAGTCGGTAGACATTCCAGCCTCTACACAGAGTCAGTCATCTATGTTCCATACTCGATGGGGAGGTACTTACGCTCAAAGAAGAATGTGGCTTGGTTGGCAATCAAGTTACCGGCGAAGTTTTGCGACGCATAGATCAAGCAGGTAATCAGCGTTCGGCGAAGATCAACTCCCTTGAAGAGATCGAGGAATTTGGCATTACCGCCCGCATGAGCTTCAATCTCGGCAGTACGTTCCATCATGGCCAGTGTATGCTCAGCGGCTGCTTGAGTGCCATTCCTACGGCCGAGGCGCTTGATGGATACAAGGGCTTCCTCCCTACGTCCTTTGCGCACTAGCCACCAAGGACTCTCGGGAGCGAAAAAGATGAGCACCATGAGAGGTAGCTAAATTTGTCAGTTTTTGACATTTCTGAGCGAAGAAAGGATGCTTACAGGAAACATCCATTGCAGGGCCAGAGGTGCTCGCCACGCCCACTCATCATTTCGTTTGTTGAACGAGTAAGTGACACCAGCGACAAGAAGCCCACCGATGGACCAAGAAAGCTGCAGAGTTGCTGTGCAGGCACCACGGAGGACAAGTGGTACAATCTCACTAGCATAAGCAGGCGAGTTTCCAATAAACATTCCCCATGGAACTCCTTCTAATGCTTGCCCGACGACAAGCAAGGAGAGCGAATCGGCCTGAATGAATACCATCAGTCAGAAGTTTCACCATACTGCTCGGAGGTATACCACTTACGAAGAAAGAGACAAAGATGGTAGCATTCATAAGGACGAGAGCCAGGAGATTCGTCCAGCGGTAACCAAGACGATCGGTAATTGGACCAACAATGAAAACACCAATAAAGGCACCGCATTGGCCAGCCTGGAAGAGCGAACTCTGCCATTTTGTAGGGATGGCCTTGGTAGCCTCTCCCGGAACCTCGACTCAGTATCGTTCCTTGAAAGCGGTAAGAGCCACAAAATTACCGTTCAAGAACATGTCGAAGGACTCCATGACCTGGTCCATGTTAGCTATCAGCCTGAATGCAAATTCCCTCCTGAATTCACAGCAATTCAGTACTACCGGTAAACCGGGACTTACAATCGTAAAACAAAAGACAAAAGCCCAAAAACAAGCCGCTGGATGATCCTTGACAGCCTCCCATAGCCCCATCTCATGTTCACGCATCTCAGCATTTTGTGCATCAGTCATGAGCTCCTTGTTCTCGAAGACCTCGGCATGGTGGCCGCCGATGCTCTTCTCCCGCATCGCTTCGTCCACCCCGGATTTCTCATCGTACTTGGAATCGGCGAGGCCCGACATCTTGCAGGTGCGTAGCGTGGTTACTACTACGTATTGCTTGCGACGCCACGAAAAGGCAAAGAGCGGATAAGCAACAAGGCAAGCCGGGAGCCAAGCAGACGAAGGCGGACACTTGGAGAGCTTATATATACGAGATAAGCATGCCTGTGGGTCTCGGCACAGCAGGTTCAGACGAGCACATGTTGGGCCCCATGGGGCTCCGCACAAGCCTTTGGAGGGGGTGCTTGTCGTGCTTGTCGTATACTTGTCGATACCGTTGGGGCCCTTGTTAGGTGGGTCACCCCGGGGTGCAACATTACTGGTTCCCAGTGGTGCTTTGCGGCCTGTCTAGCTCAAAGTCAAAATATTCTACGGCGTTCTATTGATGCAAAAATTGAACGCTCGGGCACTTGGAAAGACCCTTCTGTTCGAGTCGGTAGTATGACCTTGAACGCATCTTCGGAGCCACGCGCTCGTGGCGGAAGTACTCCTCGATGAAGCTTAGCGAAGCTCAATGACAGGTTGTGATGACTACCGGGCTCTATATACTGGCAAGATGCCCGTGATAATCGTAAACTAATCACGACGAGACAGTCTGGGCTACCTTCCATGTCGAAAACCCCAAAGGTAGTTTCTGGAGTCGGACTGTGAAGTCGTCAATGTATGCATTCGACAACCGAAAACCGGGCAACACCTTGAAGTAGACCTCGACACCTCCGCCCAGACGATCAGCGCCATGCAAGATTGGCTTATAGGAGAATTACCACTATCCAAGATTCATGCAGAATTATCCTCAAACTATTACTGCGATGGCGTCACTGGCCCATGGAGCCACCTGTCACCCGTCAACCGATCTTGTCAAAAACGCCGAATATTGCCTCGTACGACCTTTGCATACCTTTGCGCTGAACTCCATGATCGGAAACTGATCAGACGGGACTACCGCCATCTCGGCAAGCGTCGGCGGTTCGGAGAAAATAGCCCAGTACGGAAGTGTCCCAAAAACTAGTACTTACCAGCATTTAGAGCGTTTTGTTTTCGTCTAGAATCGAGACGGGTTCTGCAGGTATAAACTAGAGACAGCATTTGCTGATCCGGCAGGGTGTGGTGGGAAAGCCAATATGTTGAGGAATGCGGGATACAGTATGCTTGCTCAAGGTTCACAGAGTGAAATTCTATGGGCCTGGGTTTTGATGCTGCGTAAGGCTTACTACAAGTGGAAGTGGCAGACTCCACTTCACGGCACCTCTTCGGTCAGATTACACAGTGGTGCCATCCATCCGGCCCTTGTGGCATCGCAGGGTAACATTCTTTTGAGAGGAGGCATCCAGTGATAATGAGATTTGCGCTACATGGCCGGGCTATCAATGTGGCAATCGTTTCATTGTTTCTGGAGGCATGATTTGACAGTGTAAACTACTACTTCATTGATTGGTAGGGTGTCAAGAGCATGCTTGATCGTGAAACGTGAATGTGTCGTGTGACATCATACCTTGAAATGACTACGGTTATTTACCGATGCTTGTCCAAATAACAGACGGCGAGCTGATTCATGGGCACGAAACCGCGGCTAAAAGTAGCAAGATACCCGCAATGTTTCAATGATGGGAGGCCTTGCGAAGAGCCACATAGGCCAAATCGCATATGCACCATAGCTGTATGGTGGATTTGGAGAGCGGGTAAGCTAATTGCAACTCTGCATCGGATGACTGATCCAACTACTATCCGTTGCCGAACTGTTCCACTCACTTGACTGCTTAGCGAGACGGCATCTATTAATTGCAGAGTAAATGCACCTATCTGCTCTATGCATGCGCTTAATCCCCTAGTTTTCGAAACGCAGATTGAATCTCCGCAATATTGTAAACTGCACTCGTTTCCGCGAGGCCAGAGATCGATCGAGTAATACAAGAAACAACATAATTGAGTCAATGCTAAAGTCCCTGCCAGGAACGAGTATTCAATACATGATCTTCGAGATGATGTTGTAGCGAGTAGTACCATGGGACGCGTGCTTTCACCACATAGCATTTTGGTTTGTTGATGTAAGTGCAACGTTATTGCTAGAAGTGTGAGAAAATTAGTGCCAATTTCGCAAGAATGAGGGATATATCAAAGCTGAAGCCTCTTGAACTCGACAAGTGACTAGATTTGGGTGTCGCTGACTTTGTCGGGTCTCGTGACATGCACTGAGCGTGTATAGATAAGTTGACGTCTTAGGTGTGTGAACAAGCCCGAAAGTTAACTGATCAGAAGGTTGTGAGTAAGACTGTTGTTACATTAGCAGATCCATCAGAACAGCTCAAAGAAACTTACAGTCGCGTTATTTTCTTACATTCTCCTTTTATTTCCCACCTGTTCAGACATTTGTAACTCAGGTGTCGCATGTAGGAATTGCTTCTTTTTTCTTCTGAGTACCCAAATTGCCCCTCGCTTTACTGAATGACAAGCTCAGAGACGGGGTGAATCATAGTCGAAAGGTGAAGATCTAGAAAGATTCGAGCCTAAGGGCCTTTGTTCCCTGAGCCCCTGACCGGACCAGCTCCACGTTTAGGTCTGTAAACAATTCGGTAATCATTACAACACGAACGGATACTCAACATGTGTATGGTCGACGAACTACCATGACCACTAGTTCCGAGACCGCACATAATTTACCTTTATACGCTTGCCCCTCCCATGTTTATCCGCATTGTCATCTCTCAAATCCTCTTCTTACCGAAGAAAAATTGTATTGACCTCGCGACACGTTCAATGTCTCTGTCATATCTCTCAAGAAGCACGAAGAAAAACATCATCGTTTTTCTATCCCTCGCCATTCAAGCAGGCGCAAACTGCATACCCATCTACACATGCGGGGACCCCTCTGATCCCCATTGCCTACCCGACAAGGCCAACAAATGCAATTGGGTCTGGAATAAAGATAAGCTGAGGGATTCATGTCCGACGAAGCAAGGAATGTGTTTTGATGGCGAATGCGTTAGTTGACCTGAGGTGCTAGCCGCTCTTGTAAAATCTTCTAACAAGCTCTCTAGCATGGTATCAGGACAAATCTGGAGTCGGAGCAGTTTGCCACCTCTTGTTTTGTCATGTGCTGCCAGAGCGAATCGGATCTTGAGAATATGTAAGGGGGCAAAGAGCAAGTTCGTGATAATGGTTGAGGTTAGTGGTGAGCTGTTTGTAGATTGGAAATGTTAAGAATCTGTCACTGTTGATTTCATGAACGCTCAGTTTATGGGGAACAAACGGGGTGTATTATTGGAGTTGTACAGTCGCTTATCGTAGGGTGGAATACATGCAAGAGGGATTTCAATGGATCTGCATTGATACGCAATCCTGACCTCGAAGCAGTCGGGGCTTCGAAGGTGCTTAGCAGCGATATAAAAAGTTAATGACTGTAGTATGCAATATGTGGGCGCACAGCGCAGTCGCTGGGTACTTGTTATGTCTGGATAGATAGGTACTCACGCCCCCGTTTGCTGATGGTTAATGTTGGCTCATTAAATTAGGAGAGCGTCTTTTTATTGTTTATCTATCTCGAGCCAGACATCGAATCTGATGGCTATGGCGCACGTATCATACAGGGAACGATTGGCAGTTGCGATCAATGGTGTAAGAATCTTCCATAGCAGCAAAGGAAATTTTGGTGAATTGGAAAAATCTTAAGCAGCGTCATTCTTTGTGGAGTAATTGCAGGATTCTATGTAGCATTATGATTGATCATAAGCAAGCATACGACGAAGGAAGCCTGAGTGTAGACGCTCTCCTGATGAAGATGAAACGGTGGCCGGGTAATGTTGTCCTATCGTTGCCATGTCGTCTTTCTGGTGGAGGGGTGCATGTGCATGTGTATTTAGCCAGTGTGATTAGCAGACTCGCTTGTGGGAAGGAGAGCCAAGATACATGCCAACACATGCATGTCGAATCATGTACAGACACTAGTTGGTTCTGAAAGTGGCCTCGCTTTATCCGACGCCGCAAGCTGTCGCAGTTAAGCGTTTAGGAATTAGTAACCACCTACTAACCACTTTGCTGATGAGCCTATAGTCAACTTTGCACGCAGACGCAGGCATACGACGCCTCCTATTCTCCGGTGTAGTGCTTATGTGTGCTGGATATATTTCGGTGACTTGGCCGGAGCATGAGTTGGTGTAATGTGTATGGCGTATTACGGTGATTAGGACAAGAAATCTATCCGAGTACTGTGGACATGGTCATTGCTATATGGCCTCGTCACCAGTGTTTGCAGATTTTGCTCTAGAATGCTGGAAACCAACAAGGGACGGGTTACAAAGACTACTAGCAGGTAAACAGGGCGGGGCAGCGTGTTGTCAATGCGAAGCCGCGTAAGCGAAAGAATAATACGGAGGATAGGCATCGAGTCTGCCTCGTGTGGATGGCTGTAGATGGGGTTGCGCCAAGGGGGCTTGGACGGGGCGCCGGTGTTCCTGCTCGGCTATGCCATGGGCCGTGGTGAAACGCAGTGCGACTGTGGATTGCGTCGATGCATCACAGACAGAATTTCAGGAGGTGTGGGAGGCGAGTGTGCGTGTGAATAGAGGCTCTCAAGCGAATGCGACGAGGTTAGTAGGGATGCAAGGGGAGGCGATAGATATGCCCAACCAGAAGACAAGAACGATTAGGAGGAAGAGTTCGCCCCAGGCGGGCATGGATGCTATTCATAGCCGTGCGGTGGGGGCACGTGTTCGTCATTGGCAACAGGTTCCCAATGCAAGTGCAGGGGTGCGCCCGTACAGCCTCACCGAAGACGCGTATGAGACCCAAAGAGCCATAACCTCATCGACGCCGCCGCTGTCGAACCCTCACTGCTGGCTCCTCGCTCCCGCAACCTTGTGTTCAAACAACCAGTCATTGTCAGATCTTGCTGCAGCAGCGGCATGACGCCATGTTAGACGAGAATCTCCCCAGTATGTCGTCTCGCCAATCGCCATCTCATCTCATCCCCGCATCCTCTAACCCTGTCCAGCCTTCTTTCTCAAGTCCTCGACGGAAAAGATCAAACACCACGAATCCTTCTACTTCACCCAGAATGGCTCCGAGGCAGAGGCCCAGTATGCCCTCCGCCACGTCGACCCTGCCGCCCCTGATGCCAGAAACACCTATGCGATAGCCTTGTTTGACTCGCGTAACCCCGACATTCTCTACGGCGAGGTCTTCTCTAAGCCGGGATGGTCATATCCTACCCTCTCCCAGGAAGAGATTCGCAAAAATGGCGGAGTCCCACCCCCACCTATGCCCATCTTCCCTACCGAGTTTGCCATCCAGCTGTACAACCCCGATATGCGCGTTGTAGTTAGCCAATCGACAGCCAAATGGAGCAGTACTGTCAGCTGGGAGTTCAGCCTGCCCCAAGTTGCCTTCAGGACACCGAGTAACTCAGATCTCGACCGCACAATGAACGACCCTAGTGCCGATGTTAACACACCCAGGGTCAAATTTGCGTGGAGAAAAGAGGGTAGGCTGGGCAAGGATATGACATGCTACATGGTCGGAAAGTCAACAGACCCTACGGGCAAGAAGGCTAAGAAGAGTAAGGAAGGCGACATTGCCGTGGCCATGTTCTCCGGTCTGAAAGAGCTGACAGTCATGGAGCCAAACCTGTATCGCGTCGAGCTCGAAGATTACAAAGGCCTGGAAGTCACACTACTCCTTGGCGCAGCTGTTATACGCGACTTGTTCTTTAGTGATCTGAATGAACAGTTTCACATCAATCGCATTGGCGCCCGCAAGAACAGTGGAGGACTCCGAGCCAGGAAAGGCTCCTCTCCCCTAGAGGCGCCAAACGTCACCAGACCAGTCATGACACCAGAACCCCCGCCACCCCCAGCTTACACGCCTTCTTCATCGCAATGCCCACCTGAGAAGGCACCACTACCAGATACTGGAGGCTCACGCCCCGACCACCAACCCCCACCACCCTCATATACAAACAATGCTGCAAAGCGTGCCTCGCTTCCACCTCTTGTTACAGGTCAGAATGGTCCGAGCCAACGTCCCCAACTGCAGCGGCCCGCACAACCCCCGCAGCCTGCACAACCACAACAGCCACCACGACCCACACAGTCCTTGCGACCCACACAACAACGCCAGCCAGGTCCACGATTGGATCCGCGGTCACAGTGGGAAATCGAAGCAGAAACTGCTCGTCTGAGAGCCCAGGTAGAAGCTGAGGAGCGTGAGCAGAAACGAAAAGCTGAGGCGGACCGCAGAGCGCGTCGGAAACGGGAAGAGGAGCAAGAGCTCAAGACTCTGCAATTCCTCGAACAGGAACGAAAACAGAAAGAACGAGAAGAGAAGGAGCGACAGAGGAAGAAGGCAGAGGTCGACAAAGAGACGGAGCGCCTCAAGAAGCAGTTTGGGGACCAGTCAAACTTGTTTCGTCCATCTCCACAGACCCAACGACACTCGGCCCCATTTGCACCAAGCGCAATGCACCAACGTCCCGGTCAGGCAGCACCTCGACCAGTTCCTGGTCCAGTGCAGCCTCTGCGTGTGCAAGTACAACCGCCTCGTGTACAAGTGCATCCACCCAACCAGCAGCAGCCGGTGGCAAACCAAACAAGCTTCCTCAGCAATGGTCTACCCAAACCCATCGCCAAAGCTAAGAAGAGCTTCTGGGGTCTTAGGTCCCAGAGTGAGTCGAGCGCAGAGAAACTGAAGAAGAAGAAAAGCAGCATGTTTTGATTCAAAAGTGTTAGTTATGAGCAGTGTATAGGGCCTATTTTTGCCTCCGCTAGATGCATCAGTGTTGATGGCCTGTATGATGTATATACCCACCTTGGAGTTTTTCTTTGTTTGTTGGTCAGTTTTCCGTCGGAAAGGGCGCATGGGATATTCGGCGCACTCGATTTCGGGGTTTTTTTTAACTACGTATATGATTTGGCTGTTTGTCATGGACAATATAGTTTGATACCAGCAAATGTCCTCTACAAACTATCTCTAGACTAAGTTTCACACGACTACATAGCACGAACTGTAAGCAAAGTGATACCGTGAATGGATGGGAGGTCAGCTATGCAGAAGCGACGACGCTAGCACTAGGTACCCGTTCCTACCATACTTAGGTCTAGCGTACCCGGTTCCAGCTCCTCGGCTCAAAAGTATCAATCGACACTTCTATTGTCCAACACGTCCCCACTCAATCTCACGCGAATACTGAACACGAAATTTAAAATTGAACCCATCTACATGTTTTTCGCACCACCTTTCGCTGTCCTCCCCGCATGTCCTTTGCTCCGTCTGTGGCTTGTCTAGGCTAGGTTGTGCCAAGACTAAAACTTGCTCATTGAGCACATTATCCTGGGGTCTGTCTGCAGGGTCGCAGCTATAGCTCGCGCCACAGCATTCTCAGAGCCAGGACAAGTGGTTCGCTACACCGTAGTCTAGATTCCTGAATGTCAGTATCGACTGTAATTGGTTCAATCCACGCAGGTTTCTTGTTGCCCCACGGTGTGAGTGTGAAAGGTCGACTGGAAAGAAACACCGCGACTACTTGGCAGCGGGAAGATAGGAACAAGCTCCGCTAGTATTGCGGGAAGAATGGCAAATTGGGCTGAGGAAAGCGGGATTGGAGCTTCATGTATAAAGGCCATGGCAGCTGCACGTCAGCTTCGGTACGCCTGGTGGATACATCAACCTCTGCCTCTCTCGCTTTCCTCCCTCTTTCACTGCGCTCTCTACCTGGATCCCTTGTCTTAATAATACCTTACCCTGGTATATTCAACCAAGATGCTGTCAAAAACTATCTTTGTCGCCGCCGCAATGGTAGCTGGCGCCAATGCTCATTTCCGTCTCCTCGAGCCCTTCTGGAGAGGCAGCTCTTTCGCAGCGCCAGCAAGCCAGTGGATCTACCCATGTGCCAACGTCAATGAGACTACCGATATGTCAAACCGTATGTGTACTCTTTCTTGAGATACTGATGGATACCAACTCACCAAACATGCAGGCACTGTATGGCCCGTAACTGGCGGCTCTACTCTGATCAACGGTTCCCACGAACATGCCCTCACTGCAGTCAACCTCGCTCTCGGCACCAACGTCACAAACTTCAACATCTCGCTCGTCGAAATGTTCAACCAGACCGGTGCTGGTCTTTTCTGCCTAAAGGAAACTGGCCGTGCAAACCTCGAAGCTGGGTTCAAGGCTGCTGGCTACTCTGGCTTCGACGACGAGCGCATCAACGGACTCATGGGAACCATACAGGTCATTCAACTTGGTCACTCCGGAAGCGCACTGTACAACGTAAGTGTTCACATATGATTTGTTATAAACCAAGCCGGTAGGATCTGACGAATATGACAGTGCGCCGATATCATGTTCAACTCGACTGCCCAGCTCCTCTCCGACGACAAATGCCAGAACAGCACTGGTGTCTCTGGCGTCGCGATTGCAAACGTAGGATCCGCATCGGAGAGTGAGGGTGGCAATGGTACCTCCGGTCAGGCTCCTCAGCCGACGGGTGCTGCAGGTCATATAAGCCCCGCACTTGGCACGACAGTGTTTGCGGCGGTATTGGCTTGGGGACTCTTGTAGAAGTATGTCACTACATAATATTCAACCAGTGTTGGATAGGATTAATTTGAAATGATTTTGACGAATGATACTTGCTGGCGTTTTTGCTTGGCTAATTGATAAAGCTGCTTGACCACATACATACGAACCGATAGCAGTAGCTCGTTGAAGTATCGCCTAGGTTTCTATGAGTAGGTACGGTTTCGTATATTAATATGCCAGGGGTATACGCCTAGTTTCATTGTCTAAGAGGGCTCACGTGATGTTGTTGATAACCCAAACCTTGCTCAGCACTACCGCAGGGACATAAAACAACATCTTTACTCCTCTTTTGCACACTACAAAAAGCTAGTAAAATAAAAAATAAAAAAGCTAGGTAGTGTACTAGCACCATGAAAGAATGTTTTCGTGCGTAGTGCTAGGTATATAAGGGTGTAGGCACAGAGTTAGTACCTCGCAATTTTACATACAAATGATTGTTAGTGCTTACTCACTTTGAGAATAATATTGTCGAGTATTATTCGATATAAGAGTGTTGGAGATATACGCAGTTGATACTTCGCTGGATGTTACACTGTATCAAATTTATCAGTAAAAAAATGAAGGTAGTATTCAAGCATCGTGATGTTTCATCACCTGCATGTGGTCTTTCTTTATCCTCATCTTCCCAAGCCCTGCATGTCTTCTCAGACCGTTCTAAATTAGTGCCCAGAAGCAATGTACTCTTTTGGTTAGCAGAAATATACACAAGAGATGTGCTTGACTCAATCAAGATCTTTCAGCGTCACGTGTGGACATTCCATTGGCTGCTGTGGCTTTGATTGGATCGCTACAAACCCACGTCATGTACTTGTCCCACTCCAGCTGTCAACCTTGCTTCTTCAACCGTACAGCCACGCAGGAGCGGCTACATCGACTTCGGTGTCACCGAGTAATGACAAGTCACTAACTACGTGAGTTGGATCCTACAAGGCGTTTACCGCTCTTTCAATGATGCTTTTCTACAAGTCTACAATCTACCTTTGCATAGCCGAGTGCGTAGGATTCGGCGACGTCACAGCTGCACCTGCATCATCAGGAGATGTCAAAAAATTCGAAGTGTCATTCGTTGTCGGCTGGCCTGCCGAGAGGTCAGCTCTGCACGATGCACATGCAAGAACGTTACCAGGCGGACTAATATCAAACGGAGAGCGGTCACACTGATAGTACACCTACATGCGTCCCAATCAACCCCTGCTCTTGGCTTCGCTTCTAGAAAAGACGGCCGGCATTTGCAAAGAGTTTTCCAATATCCAACGGTGATTGGCTAAAAGGCTCCAAGAGACGGTGAGAACATATCCTTGCCGCACGGTTGCATGCAACCTGCATCATATCGCGTGTAGGGCTGATCTAGGGCTGACATGTGCTTGAAACTCTCGCCAGCGATCCTTCTGCTGCACGTCGGCTTCGTTGCCGTTTTGTTGCTCGCCGTTCTGTCGCTCGCCGAGTCGTACGGTGGAGCCGTTACCGCTACTTAGCCCAGCATGGGCCAGCTAAATATGACAGTATGACATGGGGTCTTCACTTATGCAGGTGCGGGAGGATCGAGAGCAAAATTGTCTCCGGCAGCATGGAAGGTGTGAGACATTGCCAAAGACTCGGAGTCGAAAGGATCACTGACCGATGCTGCCTTCATGGTTTAGAACGTCAGCGGCCAGCGAAACCGTCTGTCGGTTACTCGGTAGTACGGAATGTCAATCTGGGCAGGAATCATGGCGCTGGATACTCGGCAAGGAAATCTTGTACAAGTTCCTATTGGAGTAACATGCCGAAAACTAGACAATAGGAATACTGGCCCGACATAGCCTCAACGCCAGCCGATGTGCATTTACGTGCAGACAGCGCCGACGCCGTAGTGTCAGCATACAGACTGATGCACGCTCCCTAAGCTACAGGTCCCCTCAGTTGATGGGGTGACAGGATATGAGTCGGTCAGGCTTTCAGCGAGAGAGGGCCAAAGCGGCTAGTAGCGCTCCGCCCCAAAGGCCAGTCTAGCCGCGTGTACTGGCTGGACATGTTCACTCTCCCACAAACAACAGCCCTGCCCGTCATTGTGCATCACCGCATGGCCGTCGGATTCGTGGTCAGCTCGTGGGTACGGCTGAAAACGTTGGGCCAATGCAGTGTCCTCCGATCCCCGTCTCACCTGGCTCTCCGCCCTTTGCGACACGCGGGGACTATTGGTGCATGGATTCGGGAGCGCCGCATGCAGCTGATTCGCAGCGGCATGTAAACCAGTAGCACCCTTGTTTCTGCATGCCCCACTTGTTTTCTGACCAGCTCCTAGAATACCTCACTATGCATGGCAGCTTGTGATGCCTCATTTGGGGGCTGAAAGGTACATTATCACTCCAAAATGTTTATAAGCCACCACTCAGCCCCTAATGGACGACATACGCTCCAGCGGGTATAGCTAGTCCCTAAATACTCAGGTTGTGGTGCTAAATTGACAATGGCATCGAACGGCACGCACAACGACTTTGTCAACATTACTACATCACATTCACGCGCGCCCAGCATGGTTCAGGAGGCACCCGCACTCTTGCCGCGTCCGCGGCTACCAGTCAGAAAGCAAGCGCCACAAAAGAATATCGACGATTTCTGGCACAAATTTACCACCAAGCACCCTGGAAAGATCTTCACAATATTACCCGACAACTTGTACGCCAAACGAGCCGCCGCACATACACCAAGAGGATCTATTCCAGGAGTTAACGCACTCGCATCCTACGAAGAGGCCAAGGAGGCTTGCATCAGGAAGGTCGCAAAAATTGTCAAAGAATGCCGCAGACTGAATCAAAAGTACCGAGATCCACATTTCGATATCGAGGCAGACTTTAAACGGTCACAAGCCTTTCCTGACATACCAGCCGACTGCTTGACCGGATTGAACGAAGAAACGACCACTTTCTTTCCTCAGTCAGTGAAAAGAGTAGAGGTTTGTTTCTGGGCTGTCTGTGTAAAATTCATCGCTGATTGCAGTAGGACATCTTTGACAACCCACAATTCTTTATTGAGGGCGCAACAGCAAATGACGTGCGCCAGGGCAATGACGGCGACTGCTGGTTCATGTCAGCGTTGGCTACCATATCAAACAAGGAGGAATTGATTCAAAGAGTGTGCGTCGCTCGCGATGAAAAGGTTGGCGTGTATGGATTTGTCTTCCATCGAGGTAAATCACCAGCACAATCGGATGTCTGCGTATGAGCTAACGACACCCAGATGGCGAGTGGATTTCCGAAGTCATCGACGACAAGTTGTATCTCATCAAAGAAGATTTTGACGAAGCAAAGCTCGAGCGTCATCATTGGCTAGAGCTACAAAACCGCAAGAGTCCCGAGGAGGAGTACCGCACCGTTATGCAAAGTGGTTCCAGGGCTCTTTACTTTGCACAGTGCAGTGATCCTAACGAAACATGGCTTCCACTGCTTGAGAAAGCTTTTGCCAAAGCTCACGGAGACTACAGTGCCATAGATGGAGGGTTCGTAGGTGAGGGTATCGAAGACCTCACTGGAGGTGTGACTTCGGAGATATTCACCACTGATATCCTCGATAAAGACCAGTTCTGGCGAGAAGAGCTTATGAATGTCAACAAGACCTTCCTTTTTGGATGCGGCCAGATGGGCGGCATCTATGGCTCACGCAAAGGCATCCAAGAGAAGCACGCATACTCCGTCATGGAAGCTCGGGAAATAGACGGCCAGCGATTGTTGAAGCTGCGCAATCCCTGGGGCCGGACAGAATGGACTGGACCTTGGAGCGATGGGTCTGAAGAATGGACCCCCGAGTGGATGCAGAAACTAAACCACAAATTTGGTGATGACGGCGTCTTCTGGATCTCGTACAAGGACTTACTTCGCACCTACCAACACTTTGACCGTACACGGCTCTTTGGTCCAGAGTGGACGGTTTCGCAGCAATGGACCAGCGTGAACGTCCCTTGGAGCGTCGACTACCTGGACACCAAGTTCAAGATACATCTTGCCAAGGGCGGCCCGGTGGTGATTGTACTGAGTCAATTGGACGATCGCTACTACCAGGGTCTTGAGGGACAGTATGAGTTTCACCTGCAGTTCCGCCTCCACAAAGATGACGAAGAGGAATACATAGTCCGCAGCAACGGAACGTACTACATGAAGCGCTCAGTCTCGACAGAACTCGAGCTCGAAGCTGGCAACTACACCGTCTTGCTGAAGATCAAGGCCACAAGGATTCATGAGAATCCAACACCGGACGAGGTCATTAGAACGACCTGCACCAAGCGTCGTGAGAAACTTCTATCCATTGGACTGTCATATGATCTTGCTCATGCCAAAGGTCAGTTCAGAGAGCAGGAGAAGGAGAAGCTCGCGCGTGATAAAGAAGAGCGTGTTGAGCGCAAAAAAGCTGAGATGAAACGAACACACGAACGTCAGAAGAGAATGCGCAAGCGAGAGGCGCTCCGTGACCAGAAGAAGGCTGCCAAGCAGACACATCGAGCGAATCGTTCCGGCGACATACAAGAAGTTGAGAGGAAGCTGCGAGTTCTTCGCGGTCTCGGCATCAATGCCGAGGAAGAACCCAGAACATCTGGGGATGAGGACTCGAAGCCCATGCATCAAGTCGTCACCAGGCACCATCGTGCGTCTAGCACTGGCGCGATCCGTGAACGAGCCGATAGTACGAGCGGAAGCTTTAGCGGTCGAGGCGGCTACAACAAGGGTAGAGATGGATACAATGCCGCGCTACCCAGTGCGCTTCAAGGACGAGGCGGCTACAATTACAGCCCGCAAGCCTCGCCTGGTATCCATAATCAGGGCTTTCAAGGAAGAGGGGGATATAACCAGAACATGCCGGGCGAACTACAAGGAAGAGGGGGCTACAACCAAAACATGCCAGGCGAACTTCAAGGAAGAGGGGGCTACAACCAAAACATGCCGGGTGAGCTACAAGGCAGGGGCGGCTACAATGCAGAGCTTCCTGGTGCATATCAGGGCCGTGATGGCTACAATGGCCGCGATGGATACAACGAGGTGCAATTGACGGAATCGCCTTTACCTACACCCATGCCTACGCCATCAGCTACAATGATGGACGATTTCCATCCACAGCGAACACATAGCCCCCGACACTCTCCAGCTGCATCGCGTCGTGCAACACTTGCACCTATTCCTGGTGTGCGACCTGGTATCCAGGTCAGTCCCGGACTTAGCACAGGCGAGTTCTCTCATAGGGCTCAAGATGGATTTGGATATCCCAACGATACGTCTGACGACTCGTCTTGGGACTCTGAGATTGACGGCCCCTGCTCGCTCGACTCTAGTATTTTTGATGGTGAAGACGAGAACGAATTCTCTGAGCAGAGGCCACGGTACGTCTGGTACAATGGTATGCGCTATCCTTATATCGAAGAGGTGGATGAATTTGAGCGGGATCCATGGAACGCAGTCTGCGTTGTTGGTCTACGTGTCTTTAGCAAGGACAACACAGACGTCACTATTGAGGTGCATAATGGCGAGGGCGACCATGCGAAGAAGAGTGATGGCGACGATTCGAGCATCATTAGCATGGCCACTGTCCGACGGAAGGAGAAGGAGCTTGATGTCGACGACAGCGCGGCCGATGCTACCAGTCCGTTACGTAAGAAGAACACGGGACTAGACGATGAGCTGAAATCTCGTGCGATGGAACGGGAATTAGTCGATCAGGTCGGCCCTGCACCTGCGGGTTTGGAGCTGAATCGGCAGGGGACTTTGAGTTGAGCTGGCTATTGGAAATGATTGCGGAATGGCGTTATGCTTAAATTGATCACGGAGGAATTCTGTTTGTTATAGAGACTTTGCTTTTATGCGCAGGACGCGATTTTGTATGAACAGGGATTGGCGGGAAAAGGCGTTTATTCATGTTGGCAATATAAAATCAGTTTGTCCCAGAAGACATAAACCTTGCGTGGTTGCTTAGCAGTGATTCCATGTCTTGACCATGTGGAGCTAAAAAAGGCTGTTGCCAGCAAGCTACAACCCCTCTTCCCGCCCCACCCCACCACTGACCCTGCATTTCGCTCTACGTCAATGATCAGCCCAACATGCGCGCCCAGTAATCCAGTTTTACCCTTGTGACATTTACTCCCAGCTCTACTGTCACCTTCTTCTTCTGCTTCTTCTCCCCAGTTCCCTCGTCATTTTCCATTCATGAAGTAGTTACCACGCGGCTGTTGGACACAGTCATCTCGTCCCTTTAGCATCGCATGCGTCATCGGTGTTGTGACCTTGTTGCGACTCTGCGCTGAGACTGAGAAGCATCTGCGCCTTGTCGCCGTCCTCGTTCTACAACATGGAGAGTAATCTTTCTGCCGCCCGGGCATCCCGTCGTTTCCTCGATGAGCGCATTCGCAACGACTGGGATTACCCGGATCCGGCGGTTGAGTGGTCAGCCTCTGACGAGCAAGTACGCGATGCCGTCGATTTCCGCGAACGATACTATGGCGAGTCCGAGTCTGGGGACTCAGACAACGAGGATCAAGATGGCACGCCATACAAGTTTGATAGTCCGGAGAGCATCGGTGACGCGGTTGCGCATACCCGCGAGGCGCGCAAGAGACGGCGCAGGGAGCGTATGGAGCGTGAGATGAAGGAAAACGAAGGCTTGCGTATCTGGGTAGAGCGAAGGGACGTATGGACAGGCGCAGCAAGCGTCAAGAAATACGGCACAAGTCGGCAGCGCCAAAAAAATCGACCGTCATCTGCAGCAGGCTATTCGTCTGAAGAACATGCCACCACTCCAACAGGCTCCGAATCGCAGTCCGCCACCAGCGCAGTACCAGAAACGTATGACCTCGTGCCTGTTGCACCCCGCCTCCTCGACCAGAACCCTATCCGCGCCTCCATCACCCCACAAGCATATTCCGACATTTACCAGAAAATCGTCGTCTCATCACGCACCCCTTCTGTCCCCATCAATCTCGCAGATATGACAAAGGCGTTAGTCCAGGGCTGGAAAGACGCAGATGAATGGCCTCCGCGCGTTGCAGCAGCAGACCCGCTTGCGGGCAAGAAACGCGTCATTACTGGTCCTCCGTCAAACGGAAATCATGGAGGCTTTATTGCTAGACACCCGCATCTAGAAAAGGGTGTTGATGGCATGAAGCGGATTTTACATCTTAATGTACAACACAATCATGAAAACGACTATGCGCAAGGGAAAGAGGGGTGAGATTTTAGGTTGCTTGATGGGTATGGGGTTGATGTGAAGAACCTCTCTTTTTTCTCCCTTTCGCACTCAGGACGAAGCATAAATATGGATTTCTTTTAAACCTGAGCTTATGTTTTCTACAAATAAGTGCAGCGGAGGTATTTCGCGTAAGTGTAACTCAGAGCATAGTGCAGGAGCGTGTATGTAGTAGCAGGCCCACCATTTTCCTTTTCTGTTTTCTTAAATAAGCAGGAGATGCAGGATCACCGGTATACCCCCATGAAATTTCATTTCCATAGCCTGTTTTTTTTTAAATTCTTTACTGCAATTCGGAAACGGGGGTTGGCAGAGTAAACAGGAAAACACGAATGTATGTATGACAATCTTTCCCAAAGGCCAATACAAACATAGTACTACCCGCTTTTTTTTCCCAACTACTAAGTCTCCATCTCAAGCATGTGCCACAAAGCACAATATAGCACCACACACTTCCGCATAATCCATGTTCCATTCCCACATCATCCCACCGCGGGCATCCATCGGCCCATCGGCCGCTGCTCCGACACCCACCCTCCACTCTCCTCTTTCTCCCCCCAATGGACCACTACGTGCAGCTTGACCAGAGACGGATCACAAACAACCCCCGGTACCGCCATTTAAGCGGGAGGTGAACCCCTCCAACCACATATCCCTGGGCCTACTAGCCTAGTGCCCGGCCCCATTTTTCGCTCCATCTATGATCTCGTACGAGGGGGGCATCCGGAGTCTTCGGGTTCCGAGGGCATGTCCGAATGCACCAGAGGGGGTGATGCATATGATGATGCGGTCACGAAGGTACAGCTAGGTAGGTGCGATGGGTTGTTTTGTGCGATGGGGAGGTATGACGATTGCGAGCGTCGAGAAAGGGTAGATAGAGTAGGGGGCAAGGGAGGGGCAGTATAAATATCGCAAGCCTCAGTCTTTTTTTTGTTGCAAGCTCATTGTGCAATTCGCCCAAATTGTTCTTCTTCTTCTTCTTCTTTGATATTAAAGGAGTTCTGAAGAGCAAGTATGCCCGGTGCTATATCCAACGATGCTGCCACGCCCGCGCCTGCGGAGAGGGTTTGTGGGATCTATCATATTACGCATCCGCGCTCAGCGTCGAATCTCTTCCAGAATATGATGGGTCGGCAGCCGGGGTTCCAGTACTCAAGCTACAAGTTGTTTGGAGCGGGATTTGGGGCGTTGACGCAGTTGCAGAGGGGGCCGCTGGGGGAGTGGCCGAAGGAGGATCGCGAAAGGTTGTTTGGGTTGTTTGAGGCGGGGTTTGAGGGGATGCAGGAGGAGGTTGAGGGGGCGGTGAGGAGTGTAAGTTTTAACTTTCCTGTTTCTTTGCTCTTAATATTTTTGGGGGGAGATAGGAGGAAGAGGAAAAGGAAAGAGAGGGAGAGTGTGTTGGGGTGGAGTCCTCGGGCCATATGTATGGTCGGGGTATTTACAAGCGATTCGGTGTATAACGGTGGCTCTTGCGAATCTCAGCCTCGAGATTGCGTGCTCCCTCTTGGCTCGCATGATAAAGCATCCGATCTTCTTATCGAATTGATACCAACTGACATTGAAATTGTATAGGGCAAAAAGCTGTTTATGAAAGAACATGCAGTCTTTCTCTCCGCCGCCGATAAACTCCTAGGCCGCATCTACAACAATGACAATGTTGCCCCCTTAGTCGTGCACGAGCGCGGTGTCGCACCCAACAAGTCGTCTCATACGAATCCGACTTCGCTGCCCGACAGTTTTCTGTTGAAGTTCCAGCCGATTTTCCAAATCAGACATCCAGTCCTCATGTTCCCCTCGCTTGTCCGCGCGCAAATGGACGTCAAGGTAGCGGGTCGACCCTGCGACTCCATCTGTCAAGTCATGCTTCAGCTGCGCGATTCACGCACTTTATACGACTGGTACGCTGCAAAAACTGCAAACACAGGAATCATCCCTCGTGTCATTGACGCCGACGATGTCATGAACGATGCAGCTTCCATGCGCAAACTCTGTCTAGAAACAGGTCTCAATCCCGATGCCATTGTGTATGAGTGGGAGGAGCGCGTGGTCGAGGACCCGATGCAAGCGAGGTTTTTGTCTACGCTGGCGAAGAGCAAGGGGATTTTGAAGGGTTTGGATGCTAAAGGGAAGAGTGTAGAGGGGGAGATGGAGAAGTGGGCTAAGGAGTTTGGGAGGGAGGACGCGGAGGAGTTGGCGAGGTTGGTGGAGAGGGCTATGGGGGATTATGAATATTTGTATGGTAAGAGGACGGTTGCGGAGGAGACGGAATAGGTGTGTATATGAGAGTTTAGTAGGAGCGCTAGAAGGAGGACTATAAGATAAAATGGTGATGGAGTGAAAGTGTAAAATTACTAAATGTAGTTTTGAATCATATCATAGTGAAAGCGACGAAATTTTCAGATAGGCGTTTAGAAATCAAAAACACATGAAACAAGCCTAAGTTTCTTTCCCTTGGGTATATCAAAGTGCTGCCGTTGCGGTCGAATTTGATCTTCTCCATCAGTAGCAGAGACCTTGTTTTTCGCAAATAGTTCTACTGCAAACTGCGATTTTGAAAATCAAGCATTCATCAGGTAACTAGTACCCTAGCATGCATCGTGACTTTAGTGATTCAGGATTGATTCACGGATGATGAAGTCCCAGCGGTTTCGTAAAATTCACAGGTCAGCCCAGGTAACAAGCAGTGCTAGGAAGGATATAGAGATAACTGTAGAAAAAAAAGGCAAGTGATATGCCTCACGTAGTATTACTTCGGGTGTTCTCGGCACAATTCCAACATCTAAAATGTACAAGACAAGATACGGATACTTGATGAGCCGGATGGCACCACTTGAGCTCACTTGCAGTTCTCGTAATAACATCAGAAGCCTGTAGAATGGTGTGCGATGCGTGAAAAATATCGTATTCGAGTCTAGGGCTCAATCCAGTCATGACAATGACATCTTACAAGGCACTCTCTGCAGCCCCACATTCCGATCGTTGCATAATATACGTGCGGGGCTTTCGTACGCACCCAAACCCCCTTGTTCGTGAGATCATACAATGCCAGAACGGGTAGTAACCGTGCCTAGTGTGACTTTGAAAAAGGGTTTAGCTTACGCGGATTTCTTTATTATGTGTGAGCTACGAATTTGTTCGACCGCCCTTCATCGCACTTGAATCGTAAGAGTGCTCGTAGCGCTCATCTCGGATCCTTCTTCTACCATGACAAACTCTGAAATAGATCATATAACGATGGTATATTGAAATCGTTCTATCGAAGCTAACAAACTTTGCAAATCGGTTACTGACAGCAGTGGCTTTCTATAGGATCATGTCATGAATTGCGCGAAAATAGTACGCACGACACCCAAACTCCTGAACGGCCTGCTTGCTCTTGAGAAGAATCTGATCTCTAAAAAGCACTACAGATGACAACAGTCGAGAAACGCCTGGGCTTAAAGTTTCAATAACGCACCTTTGCAGCGTTCGTGCAGCTGCAGTCTCCACAGCTTGTATTCGTTCAGTAAGAAGACTTGACCGTCTTTACCGAAACAAAAGTTGGCAACACCACCATCGACAAGAATCTTTGCCAGCAAAACGCCACCAGGAGACCAGATGTTCAGTCCATCGCCACATCCACTGTAGACATTGCCATCTAAATCGCACTTGATGCCATCAGGAACGCCAGTATCGGCCATGGCAAATAGCCGTCGGTTGGTCAAAAACGGTTGGCCAGAGTAAGTCTGCACATCAAAGGCATATCTACGTGCAACTTGTCAGAAAACGTCATCATAACCCCCAGACACCGGTAAACACGACTAACACGACTACTTCACTTGGCATCTTTTGAACGAAAGGGAAAGAAAAAAAGCACTTACATATGCGACACCCTCGTATCATCCGTCGACCCATCCCCATGAATCCAATCCGTATCCGTCACATACACAATCCTCTCATCAGGACTAAAACAAATGCCATTCGGCCTACTAAACCCATCCGCCACCGCGCGGATACCCCCCGTAGCAGGATCAAACCGATACACCTGATTCGGCAGCCTAGGTGCCGGCCGAATCTTCTGCTCCCACCCGTAATTTGGGTCAGTGAACCAGATGGAGCCGTCAGAGTGCACGACGACGTCGTTGGGGGAGTTGAAGGGGCGACCGTGGAAGGAGCTAACTAGCATCTTGGCTTCGTAAGTAGTAGTAGATGAGAAACCGGGTTTGCAGCACATGTATGCTATGCCACCAGGCGTATCGAGAGTGCCCTGCGAACAGAATAGAATGCCATCTTTGTAGTTTACGCCGCCATTGGCCATGTGTACGTTTTTGACGCTGACTTCGGCGTACTTTGCGTCGGTGCTGGCTGCGTCCGCGGGTAACTGGATGCGCGAGACGTGAATGTGGGTTGTTCCTGTGGCAGGGTGCTGGTACTGGTTGCTTGTTACGAAGAGGCAGTTTTCCTCGGGGATGAAGACGCCTGCTTCGTGGGCAAATGGGCACTTGTCATCTTCGAACAGCACTTCGAGTTTTGGACCCTGCCCGAAGAGGTCTTTGGCTGCCTCGTCGTAGATCCGCAACCACGAGGGACTGGGACTCATTGCTACGGGTGTGTCGGTTTTTTTGGGGGGGGAGGAAATAAGCTAGAACGGATCTGGGTGAATTAGTTTGGAATAAGGTTTCGGTCGTGCGTGCGGTTTGAGGCTTACCCCGGACAGTCAGCTTCGAAGAGGGCACTTGTTATAACACGCGAGCGGGCATGTTGGCGAGCGTTGAGTCGGCGTTTGAATGAGGAGGACACGATCACGCGACGGCGAACTGGCGCGGTTTTTGATGAGTCAATCGCCGAAAGGCTTGTTTGAGAGCTTGGTTTGCCGGCCGGCGCGGCGTTTGAATCAGGTTTTACGGTTTTGAAGGGTTCGTGATGCACTGGACCCAGAGCAACGCCGGAGGTTCGGTCCTGCGTCGGCCAGATTATAGAGGCAGGTTAAGCAGTCCACAAGCATTGGTTGGCTGAAAAACAGCTTACCCTAGGGCCGAATCATACGTGCAATACTCTTTTGAAACTAAGGTGGTTGGGTGACATGGCGGGCAGCCTCCATCTAAACTTTCCTACGCCTAGCATGTGCGTGTGGATAGCATGATCTAGTATACAAGACCCTGACAGGCCTCGCCCACCGAACTAGCCCAGTTACTAGCGACTGACTCGATCACCGCCTCGAGTCAACACTTGCCGTATGTAGCATCTCGAGGGCGTTAGACAAGCGGGCTAGACCCCAGCATTACCCCAGAGGCCACCAAAACCCGCGGGATATGCATGACTTTGCCGTACCCATGGGGAAGGGCCCCGCAAACTCACGATCGCGACCCATGCTTTTCAGAAGGACCGTTTCAAGGTCCATGTATATATATGAGATGAGAAGACTCCTTGCATGCACTTTGTGAAGATTCTTTTCGCATATTCCCCACTCAGCGGTGGATGTGAACTCGCACATCGAACAAACCGCTGTTGAGAAACCTCTTCCATCATGCCTGAACTAAAGGGCCGAGCGCTTTTGCTCACCGTTAATCTTCTCACCTCCCTCGGGTTCATGTTGATTGGTTATGACAATGGACTCATGGGCGGTCTGGTCGGTGCGCCGGCGTTCAAGAAGACATTTGATAATCCATCATCAAATATGATTGGAACCATTGTTGCCATTTTCGAAAGTAAGTAACTACGAATACTGTAGACCAGGATAAATAGTAACGCGTGACTACAGTTGGTTGTTTCGTTGGAGCCATGGCCACAGCCTTCTTCGGAGAGAACCTTGGTCGCCGCAAGAGCATCGCCATCGGAGCCGTAATCAGCATGGTCGGCGCCCTTCTACAAGCCACCGCATTTGGCCGAGCCCATCTCATCGTCGGCCGTATCGTCTCTGGAGTCGGACTCGGTATAATAAACTCAACGGTACCCGTCATGCAAGCCGAGTTCAGTCCGAAAACCAGCCGCGGTATCTACGTCTGCGCACAGCTTTCGACTTTGAACTTTGGTATTTTCCTCGTGTACTGGATCGATTACGGCTTTGTAAACCACACCTCGAGCTATGCTTGGAGGATTCCCACCATCCTCCAATGCATTATTCTCTTCAGCATCCTCTTCCTTACAACAGTCGTCCCCGAGACACCTCGATGGCTGGCGTCGCATGATCGCTCAGAAGAGTGTCTGGCGGTATTGGCACGCATCCAAGGTACCAGCGAAAACGACGCTGTAGTCCAGAGACTCCACCAAACCATTACCGAAACCGTTGCCTACGAGGCGTCGCGACAAGCTGGATGGAAGGATATCTTCAGGAGCGACCCTATCAAGTCGAGGAGGCGTTTCTTGATTGCCTGTGGCATTCAGATGTTCCAGCAACTCGGTGGTATCAATGCAATCATCTGTAAGTTCTGTTAGTAGCAAACTCGCCATACTCTACTAACCAATCTCAGACTACTCTGGCACTCTCTTCGAGAAGAGCATCGGATTCGACACCCACATGTCCGCCCTCATGAGTGGTTTTCTGCAAACCTGGTTCTTCGTCGCATCTTTCATTCCCTGGTTCCTGATTGACAGGATCGGCAGACGCCCGCTTCTGCTATCCATGATCAGCGTCATGGCTGCCGTCATGGCCGTGCAGGCTGCTCTTATCTACCAGGTGCAATTCAAGACTGCTTCAGCTCACGGCGCGGGTATTGCGGCAGCTGCCATGTTGTTTATCTTTCAGGGCGCATTTACCATTGGTTTCCAAGCCACCGTTTGGGTGTACCCGTAAGTTTCCCAGTTGGATATCCAAGCCGGCAAGAAACTGACTTGAAGCAGATCTGAAATCCTTCCTCTCCGCCTGCGTCAGCGTGGTTCAGCTATTTCGACAGCAGCGAACTGGATTTGTAACTACGTGAGTTTGAGCATATTCTGAACGATGAAACAGATACACTAACACATGGCTAGATCATTGTGCAAGTCACACCTCATGCTATCAGCAACATCGGATGGCGCACATACATCATCTTCGCCGTCCTCAACGCTTTCTGGGTACCCATCATCTACCTGTTTTTCCCTGAGACCAAGGGCTTGGAGCTTGAAGATGTCGACCGTCTTTTTTCTCACGGGGAGAGCCACTCCGAGTTGCTGGAGAAGAGCAACGATACGGAGCGAGTGGAGAAGATATCGGAAGTGAAGGAGGTGGAGCTATGAGCTATGACCAGGACTCGGTGTAATAATTATGGAAGTTATGATGTACATTTTGAATATCAACTCCTGTGGCTTTGATGCTACACGATTGTGATATGCCCCTGGAATTCTTTCTTAGTACAGTGAAATGTTTGCATTCCCTGGCGTTAACTAATGATCATGTGATACCACATCATTTATTAACAGCTGTGCGATCAAGAAACAAGACGAGAATCTTATCTCCGCATCTTACTAGCTGATTTTCTTGTGGGGTGCGGGGAGCGAAGCTATGTAGGGTTCGAGTTATGGCTAGGGTCAAGGGCATGGTTAGGGTCAGAGTTAGGGTTAGGGTTAAGGTCAACCTTTGGGTTAGGATTAGGATCAGAAATCCCACATATTATCGCGAGTATTTAGAAACATGCGAATCGGAGATATCAGAGCAACATCTCCACAAGAGTAGTACGACGCACGCCAAGAACAATAGTCCAACTTTCAGTCGTCTTGGCAAAACAACTGACACTATGCTTAATAAGTGGAGAAAAAACGGTACATGACTAGCTCCAGATATTGATTCTAAACCCAAATATAGTATGCCGTGTACCTATGATATCACGTGAGACGGCCTTGGAGATAATCAGACCAACCTACCTTTCCAACCATACCCTCCCCCTAGTCAACCAAAGAAGGTAGGACAGCGAACCTTCTCATCACAAACCACTCCTATCCCCCCCTCCAAACCTACTCACCACTACCAGCTTAGTCATCCCAAACGGGGTTTTTTTTCATCCCCGCCCCGCAGAAAAGCCAATAATAATAAAAAAGCCAAACTTCACATCTTCCTCACCATCCACACCTGCGCCAAATACGCATACCGCGTCAACGCCCGGACATTAAACCCATACTCCGCCTCCTTACTCCGTACTTCCCTCCCCTCAAACGTCAAATCCCCGCATTCGGGCCCGATATCTTCGAATGCGAAGCCCATCGCCTCTACCACTTCTATAATCTCTTCTAGACTGAGCTGGACAAAAGGGCCGGTGCCATATAGCAAGGGACCAAAATTGATCCATCGGCCACCAGGCTTCAGAAGTCGGTGTATGGTGTCGAAATACGCCATGAGGTTCCGCGCTGTGTCGATGAAGAAATGGGTGACGATGATGTCGAAGTGACCTTCTTTGTCGTTGAGGACGGTGTTGAAGTCGCCTTCAACGAGGAGGACGTCCGGATGGGGTACCGTGTTTGGTGCGGAGATAGGGTGGAGCATGTCTTCTTTTGTGGCGTGGTGGGACATTGCGTCTACAAAGGGGTGGAAGGTCAATGTGTGGGTGCTGGTTTGCGCGTCCATGTATCGGTAGCCGACGTTCATGAACATGGACCATTCGTTGATTGTTACTTCGAATCCTGTGGGGAGTTTAGCAGGAAGTATGGTGTTTGGAAGGGGAGATACGGACCCCCTAGATTGGCTACGTCGTGGCCGAGGCGACCCAATCCAGAGCCAGGTAGCAAGACACTGAGTTTGGTATCCTCCGCATATTCTGACTTGATGGTTTTTAGCGTGCTCAAAATGCACGGGAAGGCCTCATTCCTCTCCTTCAGCCCCTCATCTGCCCAATCTCGCACATAGTGTTTTAGTGTTTGCGACGTAGCAAACTTATCTGCTTGACGTCCGTCCTTCTCTGCCAGCGCCATGTGATCATCGAGCTCTTTCTGCTCAATGCCATAAAACTGCATGGCATTCTGAGCCATGTCCTTGCAAATGGCTGCGTTTACAAGAATCAATCCTTCAATCTCATCTAGCTTCTTCTTGTACCCAATAGTGTTTTCTAGTGTCTACAAGGTGGTTAGTCAAATTTCAGGTCTATGTCGGTCTGAATGGCGTGCCTTCATCTGCTTCTTGCTCACGCTCTTGTACAAGGTTCGCCATCGATCAAGCTCGGCCATGTGTCGCTCACGGTATCGGGTGTATGCCCAAAGTGCTTCGAGCAGTCTATATCGTGGATGGTTCGTTGTCCATTTCCCGCTCTTTCGATCCATCCGCTTCATCAGATGAGCTTTCTCATGTCTGTGACGGGCTGTCCTTGGCACATGACCTGATGGCATCGCGCCCATCATCAACGGGTTCTGTACTGCCTGTGCATTTGCAATGGTTGCCGTGACCTCGTCCATCTCCAGTGCCGGTACATTTTCGGGCTGTTGGGCTGTGCTAGCTTGGCTTGTACCATCGGCAGCTCCAAGCGAAGCCGATGCTACCCCAACTAGAATTAGCAGCAAGGACGATCGCATACTTTAATGAACCAGAGAAAACGTATGCATCCAGTGGAGGCCAGATGTGTTAATTGGGAAATCAATTTTTGCGTGCGTGAGGGAGTACCTTGCTGTCTGCCAAGCAGCCGTCTCTGCTAGGCTTTACAATGTTGCACTTGGCGGCCGTGTTGTCGAGTGTTCAAGATAGTGAAATTGCGCATCAGTAATATCGGAGTAAATGTGATGTTATTGCGAATAAAAATAGATGAGAGACTGTAGTATAGTTGGAAAGACAAGCCATACGGGTATGTAAAGCATACGGTGGATCGAGACCCGCATGCATAAGCGAAGTTTGGCTAGCGTCAGGGCATGACTACACTAATATGTAAAACTGCGATGAAGATACTTTTTAAGTAGCGTACTATACTCGATGCTCAGGTACAATCCATGGTTAGTGTCAACTCACTTCCAAACAGGCAATCTGTATCCATCGAGACTGGAAGGAAACATGTCGACAAAATATTAAGTCGTTCTGTTCGCTGCATTGATACAGAGAACGCATGTTATAATTTGTCAATATTGCGTGGAAAAGATTCATGCGCCAAAACAACCTATACTACAAAAAGCCGAACTTTTACGCCTAATTGAAAGTACGAAACCATACCACACCACACCACTTAGTATCCAACCCCAACCTCGCCTGGAAAACTGGCCCAGAATTCTTGGGTAGCATTCATCATCATTGCCTCGAGCTCCTCGTTTGTCAAGTCAAAGGAATCAAGATTAAAAGTCTCATCTGCTTCAAGCGGTGGAACTGCTGGTGGTGTGTTCCAGGACACGTTGGGAGTGTAACTGCTGGGCGTGGCGGCCGTGGTAGGCATTGGGCTGCTCTGCGAGGGGTTTGTAAGGTTTGCGATTATGGGTTTGCGCTGGCGATGGGGTCAGCAGGGTTGGTAAAATGATTTAGGGGAGCTCACATGAATCTGACGATCCGTGGGCGAGTGGACGGAAGGTGCCAAAGGAGACTCATGGACTCTAGAAGACTCATTTGGCTTCTGTACTGGCGATGGCTGCAGCGCGCCGTAATCAATCATTGCGTGTCGGAGCGCTTGGCGTTCTTCCGGAGACGCTGGGCCATCCTGGCCCAACACGGAGCGGTAGTAGGCTTGCATGCGCCTGATAGTGTCAAACTTGAGATTTTGTTAGCATGCATTCAATTGCCATTATAGCATGTACTTGCCCATGTTTCAGCCATTGGCCATTGTGTCTTCATCTCCTTGAGGAAGTTGCAGCCCTGGATGACGCTCTTTCGAGCCTTTTCCTGCCAGCGAGGGTCGTCGTCACCACTGGGGAAGTTGAAAGAGTACAGCATGGCGCCGACGGCAGTGTAAATGGTGAAGCCGACCCAAGGGACTAGTCCACGGAGGAAATAGACACCGAACGTGCGCATCTCCTCGAGCATGTCGAGGACCATGACGGCATCCTTGAACAGCTCTCTCCGGGAAGATCTCTCCCACTTCTTCCACATGTCGCGATGTTCATCGTATGCGTTGTGCTTCTCCTCGGCACCGGTGCCATTCTGGTGGGGGCCGAGAACGGGCAGATAGGCGCGATGCAAGAACATGTAGCTCATAAAGTGGATGCAGTGCATGTAACAGTAGGCCTGGCCTTGCTCAACAGCATTGTGGCTGTGAATGGTAAAGAGGTCGTACTGGAGGCGCTGGGGCAGGGACGACTTCCAGCCCTCGAGTTCGTAGATGAGCTGTTGGAACTGCGACGACGAGGACCAGGGTAGCTCCGTCTTGAGGTCCTCATTGCAGGCCCAGCGGGCGACCTTGCCCCAGATGTTTGCGGCGCGCATGCTATAGCCAATAATGCCGATTTCGCCAACGGGGAGGGCGACGGGGGGCATGCGCTTCGTGTCATCGAGCTGGGGGGTGCACTTGGGCTCGCCAAAGATAAAGTCCTCGCGCTCGCAGGGCAGCTGGATGGACATGTCTGCGGCAGTCAATGACCTCTTACGGCCCTTGCCGCCGCTCAGCAGCGAGTCCATGAGAAAGCAAGTCCAGGCGGTGCGGCGGCGGACCTCAGCCTCGATGAATTCCTCGCGGGTAGGGACGCGGTTGCGGGGGATGCCCGTCTCGCGGGTCAGGTCCATGACTTCGACGAGGCGGATGGCCATGCCAAGGTAGATCCAGGCGCGCCTGCCATTGCCGGCGCCCCAGTCGTGGCCTGTGAGCATGAGTAGGGCCTGGACGCGGCTGATGGAGGGCGTCTCGAGGTCCTGCTGCAGGATCTGGCGGGCATGGGCGGCGTAGGCATTGCTGGCCTCAGTCTGGGTGCTGAAGGGCGGGGGAGGGTCTTTGACGAAGCTACAAGGGGAGGGAAGGGAGAGTCAGCGGCGTGTTCGTGGTGGTGGTGGTGTTGGGTGAGGCAGGCAGGGCGGACATACCGGATGGCGAGCGCCAGCATCGCCCAGGCCATCCATGGCTCGAGGGTGCGGTCGCGGATGCGCAGCAGCAGCGTGGGGGTATGGTGGAAGCTCCACTTGTAGGAGCAGCGCAGATAGCTGTTCTTGACCTCGTCGGTCAGCAAGTCGAAGGGATCAAGGCCGTCGAGCAGGGCAGCAGCAGATGCCGCCGTCGGCGAGGCCTGTGTAGCGGCAGTGATGCCGACCGGCACGGGTACGTCATTGCGGCGGCTCTGCTGGGGCGCGGCGAAGGAGGTGGAGTGGTGTGCATTTGCATGTGCGAGCGAGGGCGGCGTGTCGCCTGCATCTTCAGAGTGCCGTGGTCGTTTGGGCTTGCGGTGGATGGCACTCGTTCCGGGCGCTGCTCTCACCGTCAGTCAGAATCAGAGTCAGAATACACATACGGCCCAGCAGCCTCGCCACGGCCACGGCCACGACCACGACCACGACCATAACAACCCACACCTACCTGGGAACTCGCACGCGTCGGCCCGACCGCTCTGCTTGCATCTGTCGCACGGCGGCCGGTCCTCGTGGATGCACTTCTGCTTGGCCGACCGGCAGGACACGCAGGCTACGGGATTGCGCATGTTGGCGATGCTGAGGGCATGGCTCAGCAAACGAGGACGACGAACGGCACCTCGACTGCCCACTGCCTGAGAGCCACGGACTCTGAGGCCTTATCCCGGCCGCCCGCTCTGCCTGCCCTGCCCCCTTTCCAACCAGCCCTCCTCTCCTCTTCTGCCCTCTGCCCTCTGCCCTCTGCCCTCTCCCCCATCCTCTCTTCGCGCCTTCAGCATCGCCATCGTCATCATTATCATCATCATCTTTTCTTCTTCTTCTTTTTTCCCTCTTTTTATTTCATTCCATTTCCTTCATCGCCTCGCTTCACCAACCCCTGGCCATCGACACTCACATGTTTCCTCACCCCTCTGCGCCGGCGTCCGGGCCCATGCTCTAGGCAAGGAGCGGCGCTGTGTGCTGTGTTGGGGTTGATTGCGGGGTTTCCCTTACCCCAAATGCTTGGGTTCTCTCTTTGTCGTCGCAGTCTTGGGATAGCGCACAAGGCCGGCGCACCCAATGTTTCCCCCGAACCCTCATTGGCGAGCCACCTCCACACTCACATTTGCCTTTCTTCACGCCTGCATTGTGTATCCCACGTCTTGCATTGCGTGAACAATATCTTGTTTGCCTTGCAGCCCTTGTTCGCTGTCATCTGTCACACGCTGCTCTTTAATTGCTGACCTGCACTGTGTCACAACACGGACCCACTCGCTAAGCCAGTCGCTCTTTCCCCAAAACCATGTCTTACCCTCACTCTCCACAAGCTCACTACATCCCTATCCTTTTGTGCCTCCTAATACCATCTCAGAGTACCAAAAAACCAGTCTCTTCAATATATGAATCAAAATGACCGACGAAGCTCCTCCCACCCCTGACAGTGACGCCAGCACCGACACATATCAGACACATGCACCTCTTAAGATACCTATCAAGAGGAAGCTGCAAGACTCTCTCTATGACTCCGTCTCCGTATGCTCTTCCCCCAAAAGCACCAGCCAGCTTACACTTCACTAACCAGAATTTCACAAAGACTGACCCCCATTCCTCACCAGCTCCCTCAAAGAGGAGACGCCACGACAAGGACGAGTATAACCCCAAGGTAACGGATACACTCTTCACCCCCCATCATCCTATTAACGCTCACTAGTATATGGCTCGCATGTGTTTTGGAGCACACATATTGCGCCAGCAAGAAGCTGGCATCACTGACTATACCTCGCATGCCCAACAAGACTATCAGCAAGATCTTACCTGCATGTTCGCCTATGCACAGTCCAAGGGGTATTTCAGGAAAGGTACGGCAGCCCGCCACTTGATCCCTCGTCTTGCAAATATCACTCCCCGATCTAGACATGACAAGATCGCACTAGTCGATGAGTTTGTCCAGCACTACGAATCGGTCCAATGTGACCTACTTTTCATCAAGGATATCATCACTGTTAATCCCCAGGTCGATCTCGATGTCGTCACTACTATACGTGATTGTCTCTCTGCTCTTCACTTGTCTTTGGCCAAAGGTGTCAAATGGCGCACCATCATGCCATACACGCCACTGCCCAAAGCCTGTCTTCCAATGTTGCGGGATTTCATCGCGAACCCCAAGCACTTCCGCTTTTTTGGTGATCTCACGCATACCGTTGTGGATCTCGAGACCTGGCTTAATCCCCCACCCCCTTGCATAGAGTTTTTGGCCCGTCTGAAGGTGTCAGTCATGGATACATCACAGCAAGAGAACGAGAAGACCACTGGGAATCCTCCACCAAGCCCACCGCCTCAGGATGATGCCGGTACAGAACCACTGGCAAAACTCATAGAACAAGGCATGGAGCAGGTAGGTTTAGTGACAGAAAGGGTAAGTCTGGTGACAGAGAAGGTAGATCTGTTGGCAAACAAGGTAGGTCTTTTGGAAGAGCAGCTCCAACAAGCTGAGATAGCACGTACGCGGATCACCCAAAACATCAGTGTGCTAGAGGTAACCTCTGCAGAACAAAAGGCAGAAAATACGTTGAAAGAGGAGAGATGGGTCGCGGCAGCATCCCAGATTCGAAAAGAACATTGCGAGCACATCGCCCGGCAAAACAGCGAAATCGAGCGAATAAAAATCGGTGTTGACGGTGAGCGTACAAGGTGCGTCAACGTCATGGCAAACACCAGCCAGATGTTGGCGGAAGCAAACGAACGGATTAATATATTAGCGAGTTTACCTAGTAGCCTCCCTACATCCCAACCTTGGAACTCCCCAGTGGACTTGGATCAGAGTTCTGATATGATGGACATTGACCAGAAAACCATCTCTAGTTCAAATGGTTTTTCAGCCCCAAATCTAATCGACCCTGGGAACAGTAACCCACTTGCCAGCTATCTGGCCCAAGACACAACTGCACACCAGCATGTAAATCCGTACGGACCCTTTAAAGAGGCTTGTCGTGACTTCAAACTGGGAACATGTAGACGTGGCAAGAAATGCCGGCTTCCCCATAGACCTTGCCGTCACTGGTTGATTGGCAATTGCAAGTATCGGGAGAAGTGCAATAGAAGTCACGACCCCTTCTTCCTTGGGCAACCTGATGCTCAAACCCAATCCTCCCAACATTCTGATGTAGACCTAATGAGTCTTGATGACTACCCCCATCAAGATCCGTATCCAATGACTGGACAGGGTCCATTTGGAAGCATCCAGCCGTCGACACTGAGTGAACATGCGCCTCCATTAGTACCAAGTGGGCCAAATGTGCGGTTCGCCCCCAGCACGATGAACTCCGGTAAAAAAGTTGCACCCGTACCTCATTTCCTTGATCCCAATTCGCATAAAGGTGGTCCTCATTTCAGTCAGCTAAGCGTCCCGTCAGGGTTCAGCCGAGGACCCTATCAGTCGGTCCAACTAAAAAAGCAGGCCTGTCAAGATCACTTGCATGGTAAGTGCAATGAAGGTCGAAATTGCAAGTATGCGCACAAACCGTGCCCGTTCTTCGTCAGAGGCAGTTGTAGGTTCACAGATGAAACATGTAATAACAGCCATGACCCGCTCTACTTCACCCAAGCCAATTCTAGCAACACCTCACAGGGGCTTCCACCTCAATACACGAATCAGCCTGTATCACACATGAATCTCGAAGAACAATTGCAAGGAATCATCCAAGCCGCTAGCAAAACAAAGAACCCGAGGGCAGTTCCCACATCGAGTAAGATTTGTAGGTGGCAAAGTAGTCCCTTTGGCTGCACAAATGCTCGTTGCAAGTACGAGCATAACCCACCAAAGCTGACCTTGGAACAAGGATAGAGTTTTCATTCTTTCTACATTTCCTCAGCTTCATCTCTCAACCTTTCACCCCCGCATTCACGGCTTGAAGCTCTATGACCTGTGCCATTTCCATTTCTATTCAGTGTTTACTCGATTGCATGTATGCTATAGATTGTAAAATCGCAGGCTAGAATCTTTGTTTATAGATCACTTGCTTTTAATTTGTCGAATACCATTTGAAGCATATTACAAAACTCGTTTCAGTGGCCCCTCATCATTTGCACAATGTCTCTACACGCTCTCATCACTCGGTCTCAGCCATTTTCCCACAATGACCCAACAAAGCCGCACTTCCACTCCAACCCACGAACAAAGACCAGCCTCGTCTTACAAGATCTCTATATCTACCCTTCTTTATCTCAACCCCAACATCTCTCCAAAACACAAAAAAAAACCCTCACAACAACCCAAACTCCCCGCTCAAATCTCCACAACAATCCACCCACAATGGCCACAACAACACGGCAAACCCTCCACTCCATCCGCCAAAACTGGTCCATTCCCCCTACAGACCTGCACCTCATCCCGCCCTCCTTCCTCGCCGGCCTCCCGCCATCCCACCTCTCGCCCACCCTGCTTGCCGCCATCCACCGCCTCTCCACCCTAACCCTCGGCCAGCGCGACCGCGCGTACAACCTACTGAATACGTATTTCCAAGCGAGGATGAGGGAGAGGGGCAGTGCTGCTGGCCAGCACGACGGCGGGGTGCTGGAAGTAGGGGATGTGGAGAAGGCGTGTGGGAGTGCGAAGAAGATGAGCTGTGTTGGTGTTATGGTTGAGCAACAGGGTAGAATTGACTCTGTGTACACATTGGACTGTGTGGGAAATGGGGGGCAGGGGGAGAGTGTACGGGATTCGATTGAGGAAAGTAGAGAAGCGCAGGCGCAGGCGCAGGCGCAGGGGTCTTTGATGCAGAAACGACGGGTGGAGCTGGCTCCGATTGTTACGGCGCAGAGTTGTGCGCCGGTGATGACGGTGGCTGGGGGGGAGGGGGAGATGGCGGTGCTGAGTAGCTTTACGCCGTTGTTTAGAAGGTTGCAGAATGAGTTTGCGGGTGCGGGTGCGGGTGCGGATGCGGGGGGGTGTCTTGATGGGTGGGAGAGAGGGGATGGACAGCAGCAGGGGTTTGAAGGGTCGGAGGGAGAGACGAATGTGAGTGCGGCACAACGTGCTATGCACGAGTTTAATGCCAGGAGGTTGGAGATGCAGGGGAAGAAGAGGGAGTATGAAGATGCGGTTTGGAGGTTTGAGGAGGCGAGGTGGAGGGTAGAGAGTATGAGGGAGGGGGGGAGCAGAGGGGATGAAATGAAAGTGAGAATGATATCCAATAGATGAGGGGGATGAGAAGATGAGTCTGAATTAAGGAGAGTTGGAAGTGTGTATGTGCTACATTTATCAGGAACATGTTACATAGGACTTTTAATCAGGAGATTGGCCTGCCATTCTCTTCTGAGGAATAACGTTCTGATACGCTAGATCCTAAAACGGAAATAAAGATTTCACGTAATAATTCGGAGATGGTGGAGATATATCGGCTGCAGACTATCTTCTGGTTCTCGCCCGAAAGAAAAGAGGTCAATTCATTGAGGATAAGAATGTAAGGCCCCCCCCTGTGTCACGCAAATCCCCCCGTGCCGCAAAGAATCTGCGATTTTAGTATCTTCAAACTCACGCTATCGCTAGTATTGCACCGCGATAATGAGACACTAATTCTCAAATTATTCTCTACATACTCACAAGGCCGGTTGAAATATTACAGCGTGTTTGGTCCTGTCGTCGCGCATTCCGTACTAGCAAGTCTAGGGTTGATTGGCTTCACACCCCTGTCATAGCACGATATATGCAATATTTCTACATATCAGTAGAATTAAACGAAAAACCCGTTACAGAAGAAGATATCTCTACACTCATTTAATATATCGTCTTTGAAGAAGTTGCATTCCGGATTTATCCGAGTTCTCACCGTGATCCTGTTCCATTAGCTTGTAACTTTAGTGTGCTTACGTGGATAGTATATCAGTTCATACTAGGTCGGATCGGGCCAAAGTGTGGCGTTCAGTTCTCGAGGCTTCCGTCTAATCATGTGCTGGCCTATTTCTGGCATCAGAGCGAGTTCCTTTGTCTTCCGGGCGGCGCGGTAGAGAGAGTGGTGTCGGTGTCTGTCGTGATGGCCTCAGTGGCAGTACTCACAACATCACGATCGTAGACATGGCCCAATCAAGGTATATGTTGACACAAGCCATCCCGTTTGATGCACCAACAGCTTGGACTTCCCCATTGCAAGATGATGCTATTCCGTATCATACCCGGTACTATCGTAGGCGTAGACGGCCCTCTATGCAGGAGAAGGCCCAAGGCCAGCAATATCTCACCCCAGATGAAGAGAAAGCTCTTGTTGCGTATCTTTTGCTAATGTCTGAACTTGGACAGCCCGTCCGAATCAAGTATATACCCTTGTTAGCCTTTAGTCTCGCACGCCGGCGGACGACGACGACGACCGGCAAACCCATCAAGCCCCCGGGAAAGAACTGGGCTCGGTTCTTTGAGAAACGCAACCCTAGACTAAAAGGGAGGAAGGTGAAAGCAATAGACTGGAAACGGCATGAACAGAATATCTACACTAAGGTTACACACTGGTTCGAGGTAATTAGAGGAGTTCTACAGGATCCGAGAGTACGGCCTGAGAATGTAACAGGTCGCAGTAGCGTGCTCAGATGTTTGCATGCCGCACAACACACTGGCTAACGTCCATCCAACCGTAACGGAACAACCGCCGTAGCGAAAAAAAAGAGTACTTCGTTTCGAATGGTTGATTTCATCAGCGCGCCTCGTTCACTTCATAAGTTCGTTATTGTATAGCTAAATTTGGGCATTCTTTTGTTCTTACCTGCCTTCCTATCTAAAATCTACGTAATGCTAATGCTTTCCCCCCAAAGTTACGACTATTCGTCTGCGAAGCCCAAACAAGTGCGACTCTCCACAGAGCCACCATGAGGCGTATACTCATAAGAAAAGTCATCGAGCGCTTGCGCGTGCATCTGAGATCCGGGCAATATCGCAAACAAGTAATATTTAGCCGCATGGCTGCGAGTGTTAATTGTTTTGTGCGGGACCGGATCCCTGTCGATACTTCAAGAGAGCAGCGTTCAATCAAAATGATCCGTTTTCTTTACCGCAATGGCCATACACGCCCGTTCGATACACGGTGATTTTAATGAGGTAATAGTCAGCTGCGCAAGCTAACTTGAGGCTGGTGCAGCACAACTCTGCCAGTCCACGTCGACGCTGCAGCGTTCAGCCGCAGCCGCCTTCTCAGCCTCGCAGCACCAAGATGAACGGCAACATCTCCCACCCCTACGTAGCGACCTCGCCGCTTTGCGAGCCTCGCGAGCTTCTGTCAAACCCTCTACAGAACCACGTCCGCCGCGGGCATAACAGCGCCCCGCACTATGGACGGCCTTTCGGGAGCGGCAAGCGTGATAGCTGTCATCGATATATCTACTAAAGTTGCGTCTCTATGCTACCAGTATTCGGTCGAGGTCAAGCACGCGAAAGGCGATATCGAACGCCTGCGTAGTAAGGTCAACGACACCAAGACTGTACTTGAGAAGCTTCAACAGCTCGAGCAGAACAGCCCGCAGCTCTCTACTACACGCAAAATGGTGGACTCACTAAAACAATGCCATAAACAATTACAAGGGCTCAAGGACCAACTCGAGCCTGGCCGAAGTCGTAAAGCAATGCAACGGTTTGGCATCCGAGCCCTGAAATGGCCTTTCACAAGCAAGGAGGTGGAAAAGACGGTGCAGAATATTGAGAGCTATCAGGCCACTTTTAGTCTTGCGCTTCAGACAGATCAGACGTAAGTAACTTATGTATAAGGAGATTGGCATAAGCTAACGAATGATAAACAGAACGCTTGTTCTTCGCATTGACCGGAAGACCGATAGGCTCTTGTTACCTATCGCCGAAGGCGCTTCCTACGACGCGCACGCCGAAGAGCACAACGCACGATGCCTGCCGAACACCCGTACCGAGCTACTAAAGACCATTAGCACATGGGCAAATAACAAGGATAGTAAAACCATATTCTGGCTGTGTGGCATGGCTGGCACAGGAAAGTCAACGATTGCGCGCACCGCCGCCCAATCGTTTGCTCAAACCAGTCAGCTAGGAGCGAGCTTCTTCTTCAAGAAGGGCGAGGGCGAGCGCGGTAACGCCTCCCGGTTTTTCACCACCATCGCTACTGACCTAGTTGCCCGTGCATTAGGCATGCTCCCTAGTATCAGGAAAGCACTCGACGAAGACCCGGCTCTGTCACAGAGGGCATTAAAAGATCAATTTGAAAAACTCATACTCCATCCACTTTCGGGGCGGCAGCCAACACACCCAACTATCCCTGCCTGGATAATCGTCGTCGACGCGTTAGACGAATGCGAGAGGGAAGAAGACGTACGCGCCATACTCCAGCTTCTTACTCGCGCCAAGGACATGCAGCCGGTATCGTTGCGAGTCTTGGTAACGAGCCGGCCAGAGCTCCACATTCGTCTTGGCTTCAAGAAGATGTCGAACGGAACGTACCAAGATCTCGTCCTTCATGAGGTTGCAAGAAACACTATCGAACACGACATCCGCCTTTTCTATGAGCATGAGCTTAGTGTGATACGCCGAGCGCGCATGCTGTCTCCCGACTGGCCGACAGCAGACCAGATCCGAGCACTAGTCGAGCTAGCCGTGCCGCTATTCATCTTTGCTGCCACCGTGTGCCGATACATCGGCACGAAAGGAGGCCACCCCGAAGGATATCTAAGCAAGGTGCTAGCATACCAAAAGTCCACCTTTTCACAACTTGATCGGACATACCTCCCTATTCTGGAGCAGCTGCTTGTCGAACAGGAGGAAGACGAGAGGGAAGGGTGGCTCCAGGCGTTTCGGAAACTCGTAGGCAGCATTGTTGTTCTAGAGAGCCCGCTCTCTATTGCCTCGCTCACACGCCTCCTGCAAGTCCCGCAGAAAGAGATAGAGTGTCGGCTAGACGCTTTGCACTCTGTACTCAGTGTTCCTGACAGCCCAGGCATCCCCGTCAGACTACTTCACCTGTCTTTCCGCGACTTCCTTATTGATCGCCAGAGACAGGAAAAGAGCCAGTTCTGGATAGACGCAAGAGATACCCACAAGAGTCTCGTGTCTTTCTGTCTTGAGCTTATGTCTGGGCCAGATGGCCTACACCAGAACATATGCAACTTAGCAGCACCTGGAACTGTGAGGAGTGAGATTGATGAAGACACAATCGCCAGCTATTTGTCACCAGAGCTACAGTATGCGTGTCGTTACTGGGTCAGTCATATTGAGCAAAGTCAGCAAAAGATAGCTAATGGAGATGCGACACACCTTTTTCTCCAGAAGCATTTTCTACATTGGTTCGAAGCTTTGAGCCTTATAAGAGAGTCAAACAGATGCGTCCAGTTTCTTACCAGCCTCCAGGCCTTAGTAATTGTAAGATTTCTATTAGTTAAGGGATTCAATCCTTATGCTGACGTCTAATGTAGCCATCAGCAAACACTGTTTCTAATTTCCTATCAGACGCCGAGCGATTCGCGCTACGGTTTCAACCTATAGCAGCAGATGCTCCATTGCAGCTTTATTCCTCTGCACTTACTTTCGCGCCAGAAAAGAGTTTAATACGCCAAGCTTTCGAGAAGCAAGGCTCTAATGATATCAAGATATTGTCAAAGAGGGAAATAGATTGGGATGCGTGTCGCAGTACGCTCGAGGGCCACTCTTCTTGTGTCAGCGCGGTGGCCTTCTCGCCAGACGGGAAGCTGGTCGCGTCCGCCTCGAGGGACGAGATGGTGCGGCTCTGGGACGCGGAGACGGGAGCGCACCGCAGCACGCTCGAGGGCCACTCTTCAGAGGTCAGCGCGGTGGCCTTCTCGCCAGACGGGAAGCTGGTCGCGTCCGCCTCGAGGGACAAGACGGTGCGGCTCTGGGACGCGGAGACGGGAGCGCACCGCAGCACGCTCGAGGGCCACTCTTCAGAGGTCAGCGCGGTGGCCTTCTCGCCAGACGGGAAGCATATTCAAACAGATAGAGGTGACATTGCTCTACCATCTTCTACGATGCCATCGCCCTCAGTCCCGTTACCGCAGCCGTCTTACATCTTCGTAGAGGACCAGTGGATCTCTATAGGTCAGCAGCGGTGGCTCTGGCTTCCTCCTGAGTTTCGGCCAACTTGCTCTGGAGTCAACGGACAGATGGTCTGTTTAGGCCATTCTTCAGGTCGTATGTCTCTCTTCAACCTTTCTATACCGTGAGCTCTTCATTGTCCTTTTCTCTTCTTTACTTTTTATTATCTTTATTTTATAGATAGGGCCGGGGAGAAGAAAGTGTTTACATGTCTCGAGTGTAGCTCTAGAAATTTCTAGATCGTACTTGCTTTGCTATTAGTAGTGCAACTGGAGATGACCATATTAGCACGTGAATGCCAAGATACACAATATAGTATAGCGCATCACCGATACCACGTGATCTTCAACGTGCAGACAGGATTACAGAGTTTACACAGCCACAGGGCTTCGAAGCTACAAGCTTGGCGCGGAGAAAACTACGCCATAGACGGCCCTATACTAACTATATGCGGAAGCTGCTCGCTGGAGAAGTACCGACAGGGGTGTTGATCACGCGTGAATATGAGCGCCACACCGCTCCAAGGGCTGGGATTGGCTCCCCAGCATAGCTGAAGGTTTCCTCAGTGTATACAACTCCATTCGTTAGTATAGGGGCTGTAATAGAGCTTGATAGAGGCTATCTATAGCGGTGTCACTGCTTTTCTCTAGAGAAGGTGTCTTTTGCGCATCAGCGCGGATTTAGCAACAATGGCGTATTTTTTGTAAGGAGAGGTGTCTACACCTATAGAAGAAGGTAAAAAATATGACATATCTATGAAGAGAGCATAAAAACAACGCGTGAATAGACATATCATATCCCAAGGATAAAGTACTCATCTTTTCTTGCGGCACGGGGTGATTTGCGTGACGCAGGGAGGGACGTTAGTTATTCTTTTATTCTATATATCACACAATGGGTGAGATGTCTAGGTACCGAAGAAGATAACTTGTGGCTTTGTTAGTAAGCACCGAAGTCCTTTTCACTAGGACCAGTCTCCATCATCTTCAATCTCCTTGCCTTGTTCTTGAGCTTCAAGGAACTCCGTCACAGTCCACTGTTTGAAAGTATGCCTTGGTACGAAATTTGAATTCTTGAATTCAGTACTGTGGAGCAGATGGTCTGCGCAAGCTTGGAAGTTGTCGTAAGCGTACTGCACGGGGTCGTGACGCAAAAGCCACTGCCCAGTGAAGTTCCCAATCCTATCTGGGTTCTTCTCAACCCTGGTCGAATCGGAATTATGAAATTTCTGGCGATTCTTGAAGCCCATTTTTTGAGCGCATGCAACACGCTCAAATCTATTATGTTTAGTACCTGGTAAAACCCCCTAAAGTAGAAACAACGAGTTGAATGCTTACCTTAACTTGTTATGAACTCGAGTGGCAAGAGGTATGCCATGCTTCCCGCCTATCTGCAGACAAGTTGCGAGCGAGAAACCATCCTCCATAGCCATACTAGCACCGCTTGCAGAGTTAGGTAAGAACGTGTGTGCAGAATCCCCAATTTAGACTACACGGCCCTTTGGTGAAGTCCATTTTGGTTGTGGGTTGCGCCACATCAACTGCTAGTCAATGCACGAATTATCTGGCGTAAATTTTATCATCTCTTTCACGAACGGTGACCATGTCTCCACGAATGGTAGTGCATCGCCTGCTGAGGTAGTCCACCACCAATCTTCCTTTGCATTTCCAGTGTCCTATAAATGTGTTGGCATTAGAAAAAGAAGTCATAAGCTAGTTCTAGGGGACGACGTTACTTTGTGAGTCAATGCTCAGGAAATACGATCCTGCATTTTTGTTATAACGCCGTGGGCATTTGGTCCAAAATATAGCTCCATCCTAGTTTTCGCCCCATTGTAGTGCTCTACAATGATGGGGTTTTTCATAGCATCGCCAGTAGGAAAGTCTGCCCTGTAAATCGCATACCCTGAGCTGACAGGCTTCTCAAACTTGTCGAGAATCAACTTCCAGGACCCCGAACCAACACCGTCGGCTGCGACAACCATGTCTGTAGTCAATTTGCGACCGTCTGAGAGAATGACGATCCCGGCATCATCGGTCTCCGTATACTCAGTAGCGTGAGTTGAGTACTGAGTTTTAATCCCTAAATCTTCTGCATATTGCACAAACTCGAGGTGCATACCAAGTCGATTAACGGCTAGAGAGGCAAGCTCTGGAGTTCCAAGTGGGAAGTTCCCCAGACTCTCTCCGTTGTGCTGGAACACATGGATTTCAGAGGGTGTAACTGTGTGTTTATGCACCTTATCTAAAAAGCCTGGCCATGCCTGGAAGTCCTTGTAAATTGGCGCCTGAAGTATCATGGCCTCACTTGTTGTGCCAATCCAGTTAGACTTGTTTACAAACAACTACTAGGAGCTTACCAAAGTCTTCAATTTTGGGTCGCTTCTCCATAATCTGGACATCATGGCCTTGTCGATATGCTTCAATTGCAAATGTTAGGCCTCCTAATCCAGAGCCTACTACCAGCACGGATATTCCTGTGGGAAGTTTATGCTGCATATTGGATGCTGCTGTTTTAGGCTCAAAGATTGCCAGTGAAATGTATTGATAGTGCGCGTTGTGTGAGTGTGCGACAATGTATCAGGAAACAATACTCAATTCTGGTGTCACAGCGAGGTTTATATGGAAATATCAGATCTAATGTATGAATAATTTCGCATCTCCGAATATGATCCGAGTATCAGTGCATGATCATGGAACTGGTGAAATTCATCGTTAGGTGTCTCCACTACTATTAAGCGGAGTCGAAAACAGGAAGATCTGCATGGCCAAAGATACCAGGAATACTTGATTCACTACTAAGGAATCCCTCTTGTTACTTGTGACAACTCCCTATCTGGCCATTTTCCCCTGAATACCATGATTACGTTTGGTATAGCGTGTAAACTCGAACAGAATAATAACAACTATACGTGGTAAACATAAATGATGTGAACTGAGAGACTGGTTGATAGGTAAACGCTCTGATCTATCCTCGGCATTATTCGGGACTGGACCATCCCCTTGGGTCTTACGACGGCCGTTGATCGTCCAGAGAGAGGGCGAAAAGTAATAAAAACATACAACGGTGTGTCTTGTTTGGGAAAGCAAGACGTAGCAAGTGTCACATCAGCTGCCGACAATATCCGACATGTTTAGTTGGGACGGCGTACTTGTCCACAGCCGTTGGCTGATACCAGCTCACCGCTCCTAAGTCTGTATAATCGGATCCGAGACTTGGCTTAGTTTGAACATTTTGTCATGAGCCTGCTCCAACAACAACTAGATCCACCTCAGTGAAACTTTAATCATCGCTCATTTGAGATTTTTCCGAAGTATTTACAAGAGATTCACATAACAACTACAATATCCACACTCTATACGAGCGAATCGGCCATCCATTGTCAATCTCTTCAGCCTACTCCGAAGCTTTACCTGTTCCCCCTATCGTCCGCGCACACAAACACTTATCTCAAAAATGCGGCTCTTGCAAATCAAAAACAATGGGAGCCTCGTACTAAAGCAATTCGATACACGTCATGAGATCCCTCCATATGCGATCCTTCCACACACGTGGGGAAGAAGAGAGGCACTTTACGATGATCTTGGAAAATCCAAAGTCGCACAGGATATCAATAGAAAATTCGGAGCAACCTGGCAAAAAGTCCAATCTTGCGTAGAACAAGCCAAAAGTGATGGTCTGGACTACTTTTGGCTGGATACTTGCTGCATCGATAGGTCAAATGACCTGGAGGTAGAAGAGCAAGTGGTTCACTCGAAGCTAGACGGTTCCAGAGCTTCTAGCTCCCGCCTCTATGAAATTCTTTTCTCGATCTGGAACGTAATTAGGAGACAAGGGGTCGCTTAAAAACATCATACACGAAGTTATACGAATGCCTGTCAAGGCCTTGTCAAAAAACGACATGTCGGACTTTGGCGTTATTGAATGTCTCTCTTGGGCAGAAGACCGTCACACAACACGCGAGGAAGATAGTGCATACTGTTTACTCGGCTTGTTCAGCTGTTCCATGCCAATAATTTATGGTGAAGGGAGAAAGAGGGCATGGGAACGACTCAAGTGGGTGATACAAGAACAAAGGTCTGACAACATTTGCCGCTGGCTTTCGCCGTCCGATCCTTCTACAAACTATCAAAAAGCACGCAGGCGGCAAGTGCCTGGAACCGGAGTTTGGTTAATAGAGAGCCCGGAGTTCAAGCAATGAAAGTCAAGTGTAGCTTCGTCGCAATTGTGGCTGTGTGAATCACAAATATGAGAGAGAACCAATGTGAGCTCTACTGTCATCGAGCATCTGCAGCAGCACTGCTATGCCGACATAGACATGGCAACGATATACTTCTACTTCGATTCCAATGAAAAACATAAACGGAGGCTAGAGCACATGCTCCGTTCGTTGCTCTACCAGCTTCTGCGATATTCGGCTGCAATACCGAAGGGCTTTGAGGCTTTGTTTTTATCACACCAAAAAGGGGAACAACAACCGTCGATACATGCGCTTATGGAAACGACAAGAAAGGCTGTGCGGGATTTTACCCAAATCTACATTGTTCTCGATGCTCTCGATGAGTGCACAAACCGTCCAGAACTGGTATTGGACTTTGTTCAAGCAGTAGCTGGGTGGCGGGCTGATAACCTACATCTAATTATGACAACGAACCAGGAATATGGTATATGAACGCTGATCTCAGGAAAAAGATGGAGTATACATGAGCTCTTGGGGATGAAGGGATGTGAGTTCACTTAAATAACCCATCCAATGCCAAGCTATCTCTAACATCCGCATAGACCTCTATTGAAGAAGTTAGCCTTTGACATACCAGTATTTTATGGCGAACGAAATACGCTGCTGTCGTTAGGCACTAGTGGCTCACAATTCCTGTATGATATGTACCGCTACACTCTTTCCTCTATAGGCAAAGAAGATTCGAAACTCATAATACCAATATTTCAGTGGTTGACATTTTCGGAGCGACCGCTGTCCGTCGAGGAAATAGCTGGAGCTGTCGCGATTGATCAAGCATCCAACACCAAGATACAACTAGAAGATATATTAAGGGTGTTAGTAGCTTACCCAAATCTGTTCACGATCACATCAGGGAAGGCGAAGGGAGCTGAAAACCCATTTCAAGAGACTGTCTTTCTATCACATGATGAACTCTGGCAGTATCTTGTTTCTGAAATACACTAGCCCCAACTGGAAGCTCAATATCACATGCAAGGACAGCAATGTCACTACATACTCGCAAAAGGCTGTTTGAAGTATCTGATACAATTCCAACAGCCACTTTCAGAAGATGCCCTTAAGTCATCTGCTCTCACAAGATATGCAACGGAGTTCTGGAGCAGCCATCTTCGAAAGGCACAAAACGTCGGAAACGAAGTGAATCAGCTAGCGGTGATGATCTTATCAAGGAAAAACCCTATATACCTCAACTAGATCCGCCTCTATAATCCCGACCATCCCCATAGAAAGCCAGACTTTGGACGAGACGCAGAGAGTGTGGCGGTACCCCTTTACTACGCAGCTTTGTTAGGTTTGGTTCAAGTCACAAAACTACTTCTCAATAAACGATGTGAAGTCAACGCTCTTAGTGGATACTATGGCAGTCCACTACACGCAGCTGCAGCTAAGGGTTGTTCGGAGATAGTCAGGTTGCTGCTTAACGCGGGCGCTGATTGCAACGCTCTCAGTGGAAACCATGGCACTCCGATACAGGCAGCTGTAGCTGGAGGTCATCTGAAGGTGTTCAAGATGCTTCTTGACGCAGGCGCCGATCACAACGCTCGAGGTGAATACCATCACAATGCATTACAGGCGGTCATAGAAACGGAGAACGATCATATTGCAACCTGTTTTTGAAACTTTACTAGCAACACTAGTAGACTTCGAATCGAACCGAGTGATTCTGGCTATGCCTCCCAAAGGCAATTGGATAGTTTGCGTTCTTAGTCGGTACCTGATCTGGAATCTCAGAAGGCCTTGCATCCCAAGGACAACCCGGTCATCCAAATGCCAAACGCATTCACCGAAATTCCAAATCCTTTCTCCGAAGGAATACCAAACTCTTTCACCAGAGAAATAAACATAGACGATATCCGATTCATAGACTCCGATATTAGAAGCATAAGGCCGAAAATCCCAACAGACAAATCCCAAACAGAGCCCTTTGCTGACAAGTATCCTGCATCTTTGTTCGTACAAAGAGGGGAACTACATTCATTACACGAGACAGCACTCCAGAACATTGAAAGAAGAAGGTTTACAGAAAACTATGGAAGGATTCTTAAGTCATACTATCGCCGGCTCCTACATGAAGCATTCAACGAAACTGAAAAAGGGGTCACCAAAGTTCTTCGATCGGGGAGAAATAGGGAGAACATAGCTGAGGGGATTGCAGATCACTTGAGGTTCGAGGAGAAAGAGATAGTCCCTTTCAGTCATCTTCATACGCAACCAATCGGAGAACGGCTCTTTGATAACTGGTTGAAAAGAATGCAGGATCTGGATTACGAAAAACTATCTGAGGCCCGTGAAGAGCCTTTTGTTGATGATTACCAACCCCAGAACGGTGATAGCGACAACGAGATCTATTCAGACTCTGAACCTGATGCTAGTGATGATTTTTCCAACATTCACCGAGCCGAAAGATTTCTGCATCAAGGATCAGCATTTCGCAATCTCGTGCTAGGTATCAGGCTGTTAATACTGCCGCATCGTCTACGCCAGATAATTGAGACTACGCCTAAGAATTCAGTAGCACTAATCTCATACAACGACATTGGTTGGATCAACAACATAAAATCTCGTCTGGAAACATACACTGGGTATGTTTGGGATTGGTGGCCATTGGCACCGCGAATTCCTAACTTGGCTATCGGGGAGCAACATCTTCAGTGGGAGGTACGTCTTCCAGATTTTACTAGAAATATTGCACGCTAATTTGATTGCGGCAGCTCGGTAGGAGGAGGCTATATGTGAGAGTAACTCAGGAGCATGCAGATGCTATAAGTGAGATTCTGAAGATAGCAGACAACCATCCACCGAAGTGTCATTGCTGTGTGACAAAACTACCAAGGGCACCCCGCGTGACGTTAGGAAGCATTTTCAGACCGGTATTGGACTTGTTAGAAAACAACAAGCAAAGAAGCGCCGTATCCGGAAGCTCCTCTTCAAGGGCAGCTATGGCTTACACGCCAACATTCAACAATACATCAGGAGCCTCATCTTCCAACGTATTGTCTAACGCAGGATTATCAAGCGCATCTGGTGTATCGATGAATAAAAACGGTAATGCTGGATCCAACACTACGCAGACACAAAGATGTGGTCCAATGGCCCCCTCCCTAACGACACAGCCAGCCCCTACACAAATCATCTTTGGAGTTCAGGGCCTACGAAAATCCCTTGAAATCGAACAAATCGAAATTTGCAGCCAGATGAATGATCAACTCTTCTTCCCAGAACTTAAAAAGCGCTACCAAGAAACATTGTCTAATGGCTTCAAGATGGTTTTCGCCCTTTCAATTTCACTACTGCGATTTCGTAAGAGTAAGGCACCCTCTTCTTACTACCTTCTTGCCCTCCGAAATACTACGGGACTAATTTTTTTTTTCCAACGAAGTTCCGAAAAATCAGCGTCAATCGAGTCTTCTTCTCGTGCGAAGGGCTACCAGAAGATGTAGTGTTTGCTAACGAGTACGAATACGATCCAAAACCTCCATTGGGAAAGATACCGCTGATAGAACCTGACGTGTTTGCCGCGTGTCTGCAGTCTTGTGACGACGGCTGCAAATGGTCAGTCCTTGGACCATGGCTACACGACTGCTTTCAGCTGCAGCCCGACAAGGAAAGAATAACTTGTATACCGAAAAAAGCGGAAAGAATTTGCTGTGAAATCGAAGCACGATGCGGAGAATCTTGTGTGGGGTATTCAGCCCGGGTACGCCGTGTCTCTTGTCATGATTTCCATTTACACTCTCGTTCCATTGTTATCGGCTTTCGGCTTCTGGATATATTGGTTGGCACGCCATCCGGGGGACTGGCAGAATGCTTCGGTTCCAATGGTGACTGCAGTGACGCTTGAGACGCTTCTTTTGTCACTGCTGGTGCTCAGTTCGAGGTCGCATTTGCGCGATGAACGGCGTTGATACACTACGGCAAATTCACACTAACTACCTGCAAAAGTTAACAAGTATTCAACTTGAGTTTTTAACAAAAAAATGAAGAGAATTATTGAATTGTGGGCGTGAGACATCATGTAAGAGAACGAAAAGAACACATCAAATACACACATGAGATAGAAAGCAGGCCAAGAGTGGAAAATGTTGGAAACACAAAAACTTATAGTTATGCAGCCTGCCTATATTCTTATCAAATCATCAATCATCAGATCCTCAATTGTACAAGCCCCAGTTCTAGACTTGCATCTCCTTCCCTAATTACAATTGAACTCTTGTCAATCACACTGCCAGACACGTAACATGAAATTCACATTACCGCACAAATATCTTCACGTAAAACCCACCCAGCAAGCGCACACACGAGAGTAAACATAGATGTTACTATATTATTGATTCATGATACATATCTCGAGTTTTCTCTATTTTTACATATTTTTCCTCATCTTCATGACAAGTCTAGTTCTTGGGCTTGTAGTCGGAAGGGTTGATCATGAGCTCTGGTCGGACATACTTGTCAAAGTCGGCTTCACTAATGACCTCGAGCTTGAGGGCGGCCTCCTTGAGGGTGAGGCCGTTCTTGTGGGCGTACTTGGCAGTCTTGCTGGCGGCGTCGTAGCCGATGACGGGGTTGAGGCAGGTAACCAGCATCAGACTGGATTTGAGTTAGCATAAACGGTGGATGAAGAAGAAAATATGGCGATGGTACTTACCTCTCGTTCATGATGGAGCTGATGCGCTGCTCATCAGCCTCAAGACCAGCAACAAGGTTCTTCTCGAAACTCCTCATGCCGTCGGCGAGGAGGCGCGAGCTGTGCAGCAGGTTGCGGATCATGACGGGCTTGAAGACGTTGAGCTCGAAGTTACCCTGGGATCCGGCAAAGGTGGTGGCAACCTGGTTACCAAAGACCTGGGCGCAAACCATGGTTAGGGACTCGCACTGTGTAGGGTTGACCTTTCCGGGCATGATGGAGGACCCGGGCTCGTTCTCGGGCAGCTTGAGCTCACCCAGACCGCAACGAGGACCTGAGCCGAGGAAACGGATGTCCTGGGCGATCTTGAAAAGTGAAGTGGCCAGGGTGTTTAGCTGGCCGTGGGCCTCGACAATGGCATCGTGGGCAGCGAGAGCCTCGAACTTGTTGGGTGCAGTGACAAAGTCCTTGCCAGTCATCTTGCTGACCTCTGCGGCAATATCCTCGGCGAATCCCTTGAATGTGTTGATACCGGTGCCAACAGCAGTTCCTCCCTGGGCGAGCATCTTGAGGCGGGGTAGAGAGGACTTTATGCGCTCAATACCAAAGTCGAGCTGTTGTACGTAGCCAGAGAACTCCTGACCCAGAGTCAGAGGGGTGGCATCTTGCAAATGTGTCCTTCCAATCTTGATGAGGGTTTCCCACTGGTCGGATTTCTTCTTGAGTGCGTCTCGCAGGCTGGTGAGGGCGGGAAGGAGCGACTCCTCGAAGTCGAGAACAGCGGCAATGTGCATAACGGTGGGGAAGGTGTCATTGGATGAAGCAGACATGTTGACGTGATCGTTGGGGTGGACAGGCTTCTTGGTGCCCATTGTGCCGCCGAGGATCTCAATGGCGCGGTTGGAGATGACTTCGTTGGCGTTCATGTTGGACTGGGTGCCCGAGCCGGTCTGCCAGACAACGAGGGGGAAGTGGTCGATGAGCTTGAGCGAGGCCACCTCTTCGGCTGCCTGCTGGATGGCCTTTCCAAGCTTGGGATCTGTGGTAGGGTTAGCAGTGCACTGCAGGCTCGGGCTCGTTCAACGGGACGTACCCAGCCCAAACTTCATGTTGACCGTGGCGGCAGCGCCCTTGAGGATACCAAAAGCCCGCACAATGGGCGGAGGCATGCGGTCCTGGGGCTGGTTGATGCGGAAGTTCTCGAGGGAGCGCTCCGTCTGGGCGCCCCAGTACTTGTCTGCGGGCACCTGGATCTCGCCAAAGGCATCGCTCTCTGTTCGGGTGTTGGCCATGACGGCAGTGGTGGCACTGAATTGGCGGCGCTGGAAGGCAGTCTGATGCTTGGAGAGCGAGGCTCTGGTGGTAGAGAGCGGCCGTGTAATGCGGGCACAGCGGAAGGAGGGGTTGCTGACCTTCGCATGTGCCAGTGATTGCAGGGCGCCGGCCTCGGCAGCGCGAAGCTTGGTCGCGCTTCGGAACATGGTCGCAGCTGGTGGTGGTGGGGGATAGGGGGGCCAATTGGTGGGGGAGGATGGATATGGATGCTGTGGAGGTGCGCAATGGACACTGGAGGCCAGCCAGAAGACGACGGAGAGACAATTGCTCGAGACAAAAATACAGGCCAGCGCTCGAAGCTCTGGCCTCCGCCGCCACGGATGGGGACGTGGGACTCGCCTCCGATCTGTCCCGCGGTCGGACGAGTCACGTGACGCACCACCTGCCAAGATGCAGGCGGAAATGTGCGATGGTGAGGGCGGCACGGCGAGACGGCGAGACGAGATGGTGCAAGGATTTTTGATACCTCGACCGCGACCGCGACCGCGACCGCTGCAGAGCCCTCTCCCCGTCGCTTCTCTTGCCTTTCCAGTTCCATTTCTTGGGCCCTAAACTCGGCGCCAACATTCTCACTATCGTCATTAGCCCGAGCCCGCCGCGCGCATGCAACTCGACATCTTGGACTCGTCTTCCCGCTCAGCCACCAATTCCACTCGTTGTCTCTGTCGCCGTCGCCAAAATGCACAGGCAAAGACAGCCGGCCTGGCCAGCCGCCGCTGCTCGAGGTAACGATTCGCGCCCGCTGCCGGCTGCAGTGCCATAACACGACAACTTAGCTGCCCACATGCCCTCTGCTTGCTTGCTGCTTGCTTCCTTCGGCCACCCTAGTGGAAAGTCTGCATAGTCACCGATCAAACTTCGGCATGATCGGGCACACCCTGTTGGGTGAAACCCTTCGCGCCCATGGTCCTTTTTCCGCTGAACCTCCGTACGCTGTGCCGTGCTGGGTTCTGCTCCAATGTTTTGGCGGGCTCATTGGTGGGCAATAGCCATCCATGCTGCCCTCCTCTCCGCAGCATGTTAGAGCCGCATAGGCAAACACGCACGAGTACAACAAGCAACTAGGTCGCACCGTGACGCCCCGGCTGCCTGAGCCCTGCGCCCTGCGCCTTCCGGCCTCCGACGACTGGTCATGATTAGATTAATGCAGGCGAGTCAAGTCGAGGGCACCTGATCCGTCTCCACCGTTGTTGCAATCCATGCTGGCTGCTCGCTATTGAGCGTGCCAACGTGACAGCGAGCTAATGACCCCTCACCTTCATTCACAGCCTGGTTTCCACCTTGGGCAAACGATCCTGCCCGACTCTGTCGCTCCTCTAGCTATTGCCCTCTCGCACCCTTCCACTCAGTCCTCGAGCCTGCTTCACCTTTGCCCCCCATTCACTTTCGTGCACCATCGGTACCATCCCAGGCCGCACGCACTTGCTAAGCCGCAGATAAGGCTTCCATGACGCTGTTCGACCCTTCTGCCCTATACTCTTCTACGCAACGACTACCAGAACCGGGAGCGAGGAACCATTTCCACCTCTTCTACACCTGTTCCAACATCTTCTTTAACCATCCCGACATTTGCCCTCCTCACTTGGCAAACTCCCCGCTCTCCACCCGCTGACACCGCTTCAGCTTCAACTTTTACCCAAGGACAACCCCCCCCCCCTCTAACCTCCAAATAAAGCTCGTATGGCTGAACCTGACTACGGTGCCGCTTCCTGGGCTCATGTGACGACTGGTTCCGGGCATCAGGGTGCAGAGTTGGCTGCCCCACTTCTCTCTGCACATGCCCCATTTCAACAACAACTCCCGCCTCTGTACGGAGGCGCATATCTGCCCATGAGCGACCATCAAACACCCCAAAATAGCAATGTACCAGATGGACCAGCCAGCAATCCGCTCCATGACCGCTCTCCGTATCCATCTGCTGGAGTCCGCTACCCATATTACCAGCCGCACATGTTCCCGTATCAATTCACGGGTCATCCACGACCGCCACCTTCTTTCTGGAACGGAGTTGACCATGTGCATCCCGATCAGTTGTTTTCTAACCCTAGTAACACGATGCAAGGCCATTTACCTAGTCAAAGGATAGGAATACCACATCAAAATAACCCATTAGCACCGGCTGGGAACGCAGGAATTCCGCCATTTATTCGACGCCGCAATGAGCACAGGATGGCAGTCGAGGCAATCTCACGGAATTCCCATGCGGGGGGCATGCGAACCCCTCACCAAGGTCATCGGGATTCAGCACATCCGGAAGTGCGGCTGCAGAGCACTAGATCACAGCCCCACGAACACCGTCAGCCGAACGATCCAATATCTCATGGATCAGGGCACCGCCCGTGGGCATCGCCTGGAGGCCATGGTCGCCGTTCAGACCGTAGTATCTCTCCACGAACATCAAATCGCCGGAGTTTTGAGAGGTATTCGGTTGACCTCTCACCTTCGAGCACGTCATCTGACGCAGAAGAGGCGGCTGCCAGAGCGCCACCCCCGAATCGCTTGAGAACCCGAACAAGAGACGTGCGTCCACGATTCACGGGCTATCGCCCACATATTGATCCCAACATTGCCACCCCAAGACAGATCCAGGAACTCAAAGACGGTCTTCCGCGGCGTCTGCCAAGCGAGCTTCCCGACGATGCATCCAAGTGTTGTGACATTTGCCAAAAAGACTATTCGGCCTCGCATGTTTTGCCTACAGAAGAGGAGGAAATTGCAGTAGTCTTGTCCTGTGGACACACATTCGGAGAATTCTGCATTTTTCAATGGGTGAGTCTTGACGGGTGTAAAAGTGACAATGGTTGCTGAGTCCAAACTAGCTTGATACGTGTAAAACCCACAAAAACAAAGTAACTTGCCCAATGTGTCGGAAGCAGCTGATCGAGGCACCACGATATCTCCAAAACATTATGCATGCCTTTCCTCGCAATGGGCAAGCATTTGTTGACCTCTTGGCTCGCGAGCAATTTCTTGCTAACGGAATACCACGTGAGTTCCACGATTTGTAAAAGGATGCTGGGCAGACACAACGTGTGGAGTTGGACGACAACACGGGAAGGGTCATGTGGTGTGATAGCATTAACTAGCATATGTTGTTTCCATGTTATCGCGTTGCCAGGGCGGATAGAAGTGTGGAACTATGATATCATTCTTTGGCGTGGATTGCCTGTTTGGGGCCCCATGTACGGCGTTTCTGCGGGCGGGGTATGGTGTTTTTCCGGGCAGGTCGACTTACTGCAAGGTTTGAATTCTGGATATGCGAGGCAGGCATGGTTCTTGAAGGGATCTGTACATAATATATGACGAGAAATCAAGACGGCGACAGCACATTTGATATACTACTAAAAATGGCAATCTTGACCCATGACGGCGATCGGAGAAGGGGGTTCCACATGCCAGGGAGCCTGGATTTCATCGTTGCCCGGAGCAGACTTAGCCCAAAACACGCACCCCACCATCAACACGAAGCTGAGCGCCAACCGCCTGCATTTGTTTTGTCGCAAGCTCTGCAAGGTACCGACGCCTGGTGTATACATACATATACATAGGCGATTGTTTGCGCATACACTGCAGATTCAACGCTGGCCTGCTCCTTCTTCTTGTCCGTCGTTGCGACGACAGCCCCCACCTGCGCAACTGCAACCATCCCCTTCTCCGTCGCTATCGGGTACTAGACGAGCATGCAAGCCAACGACAACATCAACAACAGAGACGGAGACGGTTTTCAGTTACCTGCCCCTCCGCCGCTACTTCACACCCGTGGCAAGAGTATGGACCGTCCAGGCACGCCGGCCGAGGCCTTCATCAGCCCGCAGCAGACGCCTCAGGGCAGCCCCAGTAAACACCACCAGCCGCCCGGCGCATTTGATCTGCCCCATGTCTTCGAGAATGCCATGAGGCTACTACCCACCATTGGCTCTCCCAGAGCGAAGCCGACATCGCCGACATCGCCCAACAAGTTGAAATTGGGCAGCGGCGGCGAGGATGGAGATTATGCGGGGCCAGACTCGACTACTGTCGCATCGGGCTCTCCAACGCGCAGGTCAAACCAAGAGAACGCACCCCCCGGTGGACGCTCTGCTATACAAAAAGACAACGGTCACATTACACATGCAGCACAGTCGCGGCAGGAACCCTACCGGACGCGCGAGGCAGAGCAGTCAACGCGGTACTTGAACGGCCCACAGCGCCTCTCTGCCGAAGATCTGGAGAAGGCGAGGAAGCCAGCAGTAAAGCGTCTCGCAAACGTCACTCAACTATGTAGGCCTGCCGTCCTCTCGGATAGCAACAGCACTAACCAGCCGTGAAGACTTCCTCGACTACTATTACGACCTCCTCACCTACGTACATACCCGCCAAAACCGTCTCTCCCAGTTCAAAGCGCAGAATCCTCCTCCACCTGAGACGCCCGAAGAAGAGTACAACAATGCTCTTACACAGTATCTCGGTCGTGAACGTGCCAACCTCCGCAAGCGACGCACTAGATTGAGGCAGGGCGACTTCCAGATTCTCACCCAAGTTGGCCAAGGTGGTTATGGACAGGTGTACTTGGCTCAGAAAAAGGACACCCGTGAAGTTTGTGCCCTCAAAGTCATGAGCAAGAAGCTGCTGTTTAAGCTGGACGAGGTCCGTCATGTCCTGACGGAGCGCGACATTTTGACCACTGCTAAGAGCGAGTGGTTGGTGCGATTGCTCTATGCGTTCCAGGACGACAAGAGCATCTATCTTGCCATGGTGAGTGATATTGCTGAAGAAGTATGATCATGAGCTAATGTTAGCAAAGGAATATGTTCCTGGAGGCGATTTTCGTACCCTGCTTAACAATACGGGCGTTCTGCACAACCGACATGCGCGCTTCTACATTGCTGAGATGTTCACATGTATCGACTCGCTGCACCAATTGGGTTACATTCACCGAGACCTGAAGCCTGAGAACTTTTTGATTGACAGTACCGGACACGTCAAACTGACCGACTTTGGTCTTGCTGCAGGTATTCTTGCCCCCTCCAAAATTGAATCGATGCGTATCAAGTTGGAGTCTGTGAGCGATGTTGTCTCGCCATTTGGCCGGCCTATAGAAGAGCGTTCTGCAGCGCAAAGGAGAGACAATTATCGCTCGCTTCGCGAGAGAGATGTCAATTACGCAAAGAGCATTGTAGGCAGTCCCGACTACATGGCGCCTGAAGTACTCAAGGGTGAGGAGTATGATTTCACTGTTGACTACTGGAGCCTGGGGTGCATGCTCTTTGAAGCATTGGCCGGATACCCGCCTTTTGCTGGCGCTACAGTTGATGAGACGTGGCAGAACTTGAAACAGTGGAAGAAGGTATTGCGAAAGCCCGTGTACGAAGACCCCTCATACTTCCTGTCCAAGCGCACTTGGGACCTCATCGTGCGTCTCGTAGCATCCAAGTCGTCTCGATTCCGCAACATATCCGAGATCCACGCGCACCAGTACTTTGCTGAGGTAGACTGGACAAAGTTGAGAGAACAAAAGGCACCGTTTGTACCAGAGTTGGACAGCGAGACCGACGCCGGATACTTTGACGACTTTGGCAATGAAGCCGACATGGCCAAGTACAAGGAGGTGCACGAGAAGCAGGCTGCTTTGGAAGCAATGCAAGACCGCAACGTGCAAATGGGCAAGGGTCTCTTCGTCGGATGTGAGTATTGCCACAAACATGGGCTATGTCGTCTCGCTAACATGACTATAGTTACCTTCCGCCACAAGAAGCAAGCCGAAGAAAACGGCAAGCCATCAACCCCCCGGAAACCACTTCCTATGGTTGACGAGAATTTTGATACCATTTTCTAGAGGCATTGTCCTCGTTTACCACGCCGTGGCACTGGTTGCGACGGCGCTTTTGTGCGTTTAGTGAGGTATGGGTATTTTTTGAAGCACCTGACACTTGTCAATCTGGGACAAGCAACGAGGTGAATGCATATAAGGAAGGCTTTCATGACTTGGCCATGACAGCATGGAATAGTTTAGATTCGGCGTTTATTGTGAGCCATGGGTATTTATCTTGGCAGGCAATCGTGCGGTATGCATTCGGGGAATCGTGTATTAATAGTCAATAAATGCACGAGTACTGTGACTGTTTGTACTGTTTGTATTGTTTGTATTCGGATTGCTACGCTGCTTGTTTGCACAGCTGTTACTCGACGAACACGCTCTCACGTGATAGCGTCTCGCGGTTCAACGCATGGACGCGAGATGTTACGCTAACCGGCAATTCCCGTTCATCCATCATTCCCCTCCTCTAGAGGCAGTGCACTGGACAACCAACCCCCACCAACACGCATACGCCACGACGATGCCCGGTCTAGTCCGAAGAAGGCGGAAACGTCCATCGCTGGCCGTCAGCGAGCAAGTCGACGAGCAGTCTGACGAAGGCTCTTCTACGTCGAGCAGCAAACGCGCCCGCCATGACCGGGACGCGTCCGACAGTCCTTCCCCAAGCACGTACACGCAAAACAACGATGCAGACGGAACGAGCGCATACGTTCAAGATGACTTCCAGCCAGGCTCTCTAGTCAGGGTAAAGCTGAAGAACTTTGTCACATACACAGCTGCCGAATTTCATCTGGGCCCTAGTTTGAATATGGTTATTGGTCCAAACGGGACAGGAAAGAGTACGCTTGTGTGCGCTATATGCCTGGGTCTTGGATGGGGTAGCGAACATCTGGGAAGAGCCAAAGACTTGGGTGCTTTCGTCAAACATGGTGCTAGCGAAGCCATTGTCGAAATCGAGCTTGCAACAGGCCCAGGCAATGGTTCGAATCGCATTATCCAACGTACCATTCGCAAAGAAGACAACAAGTCTGTTTTTTTTCTCGATGGCAAGCGCGTTTCCCAAGTCGCTGTAACAACCATGGCCAAACAATTCTCCATACAAATTGATAACCTTTGTCAATTCTTGCCTCAAGACCGTGTCGTCGAGTTTGCCAAAATGACCGATGTCGACCGCCTACGAGAGACTCAGCGTGCAGCGGCGCCCCCGCACATGGTTGAGTGGCATGACGAACTCAAGGCCCTGCGTATTGAAGAACGAAATGTCCAGAAAAAGGAAACCAACGAGCGCAATCATTTGGAAAAGTTGGAAAAACAGCAAAATGCAACCAGAGAAGATGTCGACCGATTTCATCAACGTGAGGGCTTGTTGCGCAAATCAAAATGTCTGAAGAAGGTCAGGCCCATGATTGAGATCAAGCTGCTCAAAAACGACATATTGAAAATGAAGGAAGAACGGAGGCTAGCCATGTTAGAGCTGGATCAGATCAAGGAAGACATGGAACCAGCGCGTATAGCCTTGTCAGAAGTGGAAACATATCGTAATCAGATTGAGCAAGTTGTGAAGCTCCGCAAGAACCGTGTCGACTTGATTAAGACACAAGCCGACAAGCTCGTGAAAGATATCGATACAGAAAAGGCCAAGGCCAGCGACTCCACAGAGTTGATCAAGGTCGAGCTGAGAGCCAAAAAATCGCGTGAGCAGGATATCGTCCGCATTACGGCTGATATCAACAGGCTAGAACAGAAACAACAGAGTACGGCTGTGCAATACGATGCTGCGTCTTTTGAGAGTCGCAAGGCAGAAGTTCGAGGTCAAATTTCAACCATCAGCAACAGCGTAACGGATAAGCAAAATTCGATGTCGGGTCTACGGGAACGCGCGCGTGCAATTGCAGACGAGAACGCAAGGCTGAACACACAGCGAGAGCAGTTAAACACACAAAGCGGCAAACAGGCAAGCCTTCTACAGAGACTCTCTCCCGACACTGCGAAAGCTTGGAAATGGATTCAGGAAAACAAGCACACTCTGAATTTCAAGGGTGAAGTCATTGGTCCGCCAATCCTGGAATGCTCCATTCCAGATACCAGATATGCTCAAGCTCTAGAAGGCCAGCTGAGGAAAGGCGACGTCATTGCAATCACTTGTACTCATAGCGATGACCAGCAGTTACTGTCGAATCTCCTCATTAGAAAGGTAACCAATGGGGGCCAAGGACTGCACGACGTCCATCTTCGGACGTCCCCCAAGCCCCTCGATTCATACAAACCACCCGCCATGAAAGAGGACTTGGAAAATTTTGGCTTTCAAGGCTACATGCTCGACTTCATTCAAGGACCCGCCGCTGTTTTGGCCATGCTTTGCGACAACAACCGCCTGCATCAGATAGCTTATTCCCCGGCCCCAATATCAGATGAGCAGCACGCTGCTGTATCAAACAGCCCTATCCGCACCTGGGTCAGTGGTACGGAGACCTTTCGCATTGTCACGCGTAGAGAGTACAACGCTTCCTCAACATCCGTCACGAAACTTAGGCCTGCCCAATGGTTTACGGACCAACCAACTAACACAGAAGAGGTTCGGGCTATTGAATCAAGAATAACAGAACTGGTGCAAGAGAAAGAAGAGATCCAGGAAAATTACGCCATTGTGACGAACGAAATGAAGAACCTCAAACAACAACTCGAGGAGCTCAAGGAGGCGAGGGTATTGACTATTCTACAGTGTATCAATGTGCATCTCTGACATTGCACTAGGAAGCGATACAAACAGAGCAAGACGCTACGAAAAAGGCTCTAGCCGAGTGGCGGGCTATCCCTGATAAGATCGGTAGGTTTGCCTTTGTAAATCAATAGGGTCGTCTGCTGATGCACCATAGCCTCCAAACAGGCCCAATTAGACGACCACAAGCAGCAAAATGCAGAAACGAATGAGCGCATCCGTGAAATCAAAGCACAAGCTCGTGAGATATCATTACGCGTAGCGGCACTCGCTCTAGACTATGCTGTACGTAGTAACTATCTTGCTTATCATACTTTACTGACGGTCATGCAGAAAGCTGTGACGCATATGCGCACATTTCATGAATCGCTCATTGAAGCCGAAATACGGTTCATAGAAGCCAAGTCAGAACTCAATGCACTGAGAAATGAAAACAGTGCAATAATCCAAAGGCAGCAGACGAAAGAAACCGAGGTCCAAGAACTTGGCAATCGTATCAGACATCTTCGCGACGAGTACACAAAGAAGACAGCAGCTACTCAACAAGACATTGAAACTTTGACCGAAGAGGAGAAGCAGATTGTTTTGGAGTATCGCGAGCTCCCCTCATTTGACGATCTCGAGCAGGAAGTTCAAGCCGTTGCCGCACGGCTGGAGATGATGGCTGAAGGCAATCCTGGTGCCATCAGAGCTTACGAGAAGCGCGAAGAGGACATGAACAGAACGCGAGAGAAGCTAGAGCAGTATACAGTTAGCCTCGGTGAGATCAGGGAAAAGATTACAGAGATTCGCGAACAATGGGAGCCACAGCTTGATGTCCTCATCAGCAAGATAAGTAATGCCTTTGCATACAACTTCCAGCAGATTGGGTGTGCTGGCGAAGTCGCTGTGTTCAAGGATGAGGAGGACTTTGATAACTGGTCTGTTCAGATCTCAGTCCGCTTCCGGTATGCCTCAGCCATTTCATCTACATGCACATATCGCTAACACATGCCAACAGTGAAAACGAGCCCCTCAGTGTTCTCAATTCTCACCGCCAATCCGGTGGCGAGCGCGCCGTCTCGACCATTTTCTACCTTATGGCTCTCCAGGATCTCGCCCAATCGCCTTTCCGCGTTGTCGACGAGATCAATCAAGGTATGGATCCACGCAATGAACGAATGGTGCATGAGCGCATGGTAGACATTGCCTGCCAAGAGCGTACAAGCCAATATTTCCTTATCACCCCAAAGCTCTTGAATGGCCTCAAATTCCATCCCAAGATGAAGGTTCATGTCATCAATTCTGGAGAACATATTCCTGACTCGAAGACTGTCAAAGGGGGTTGGGATCTGAATGATATGGCCAAAATTGCGCTGAGGATAAGGAAGGGTATTACGGTTACTTGATTGGGGATGTTTGCTGGTGTGAGCACTAAGCAGATCGGCTTCGCTTCGTTTTTCCATCTCTTTCCGCGTTTGCTTCCATCAAGGCTAAGATATATCACATCACGTCAATGCTCTCAATGCGGCGCAGTCCTAGCCATGAACCTGCCACAGCTCAGACTTCCAAGGAACACGCCTCCGAGCACCGACATGAAGTATCCCACATTCATTGTCATGACAGCTATCATGCTGAGTAATGTGTTAATATGCGGATCTTGCGATAACATTGGTGTCGCGAAGAAAGAGAGAACGGAGAAGCAAGAGGAAATACTTACAGCAGATACGACACCCCAGCAAGGACCACATCGAGGCTCGCAATCCAAACCGCCTCATCGGCTCTCCAGCGTCTCTTTTCCAGTCTTGCTTTATCTTCAATCTCTGGCTGTCCCTTGGCTTGCGCTAGTACCGCGAATAAGTTGAAACGGACAGCAACCAAGGCGCGGAACAGAGCTACAAGTGCAATAAGGAATATACACGTTCCTGCGTATTGGCCCGGGGTGGTGGGGGTCCAGGATGCGGAGAAGAGGGACGTGCTGGTTGAAGTGAAGAAGGTCATGGACATGGTGGACATGTGCATTCCCGGCATCCCTGACATTGTGGCGTTGGAGTCAGTGGACATTGTTGGCGTTGACATGTGCATGTTGGTGGCTGTTCGTATGGTTCTTCTGCAGACTTTTCGAACTTTTGATTGAGATGCTCGAGATGGTGGTGTGTAGGTAAATCAACAGATGAAGCAAACAATATATTACTACCTGAACAAGCTTTTGCTCGCCAGATACCCTTGTTCCGGTGGTATATGCCAGATAATCGTCGTTTGAAGAATCACTAAAAAATATACACAGTTAAACAAAACTCACCATCGTCGGGACACTCAAGCCCACTGATATACCCGCACCATCTTGCCAAAGTGGACAAGCACGAAAACAACCCTTCTTTTAGTTCCATGCATCCCGGCTCCAAAGATCCCTCTCGGTATTCCCGCCTGCACACACGCCACCCCACCCATCCAACGCGGAACCCGAACGCCGCTGAGAAAACTTGCTCAATCGTGCTCGTAAGTACGCTAAGCACCCCGCCCTCATTGGGCCATCACCAAAAGATAATCTACACATCCTGGTTACAGAATGCAGAACTAAGCATACGCAAGCAACTGCTTTAAGCTTTGATAAGCTTATTTGCCGTGGCCACGACTCTCTGGCTGCATGAAGGTAGTATGGCGGTGGAGGGGATGGGGGAGTATGGGGCAGGGCAGGAGGTTAGGTAGACTCCACCCGACACATATGACTGAAGTCTTGAACTTCCTTTTTAATTCCTTGTCAGCCTTGAGGTTTACGTATCTATTCATTCCCCTAAGGGTTTTTCCGATTCGATATACGTTTCTGTATTTGAGGGAAGAAGAAGACGACGACGACGACGACGACGACGAGACGATGAGCGAAGCATGGATCTCAATCTCCCCCGGTATCTCAGGCATGCGCATGTTCGAGTGTGGGGGTAAGACTGTGGAGGAGTGTGCGTGGTATAAACATCGGTGGCATTTTTGGTATGTAGCGGACTATGTGTTTGCGCTGCCGACTGTTGCGTTTTTCATGAGTGGGATTGGGGTTTTCGTTGTTGCGCACGTTGTTTCTGGTTTGTTTTTACGGCAGAGGAAGGCAGGGCCGGGTGTGTTGGTGAAGAAGGTGTTGGCGGGATCGAGGTATTTGGCGTATCGGGGGTTCCATGTTAGGCGGTTCAAGTGGAATTCTGCGCCGGTTGGGGTGTTGTTGCTTGGTGCGGCTGGTGTGGTGTTCTTTTTTTGTAAGAAGTTCTTCTTCTTCTTTTGAAATATGGGACTTGAGTGGAGCGTACTGACTGTTGGCAATAGGTATGGATCTGATACCGCAGCCGTATTATTGGGCTAGTAAGAAATTTGGTAATTTACCGCCATTGGCTACGCGGTCTGGATGGCTAGCATTGGGATGCATGCCGTTTCTCTTGTACGGTTGGTTACTTTCATGATAGGGCGAATGCTGTTTACTGACTATCCTCAGTGCCACGGCGAGCAAAACGAATTGGATCACACTGGTCACAGGAGTGTCGTACGAACGGCTCCAAGTATTTCATCGGTGGATTGCGTACGCGTTCTTCATTCTTGCTTTGATGCACACGTTTCCCTTTATCATATACCACATCCATTGGCACGATATGGAGCACCATTTCTCGAGTAGTCTGCTATTCTACTGGACGGGGATAGTAGCGCTTGTATTCCAAGCGTGGTTGACGTTCATGTCGCATAGTGTGCTTCGGTAAGTAGTTTTCCTATGAGCTCGAGTTTCATACATAACTAATGCACCACTCAGAAACCGTGGATACGAATTCTTCAAAGCAACACACTTCTTTGCTGCCGTCGTCTTCATGATAACCTTCTTCTGGCATTGTGATCAAACGCTAACAAGTTGGGACTATTTCGTTGCCACGGCTGCCATATACGTCCCTTGCTACATATACCCATGGCTTCGCACGGTGTTCGAATACAAATTGACTCAGCGAGCACGGGTTGCAGTTGAGGATAACGGACTCATACGCGTTACCATTCCGGCGACATTCCACTGGACTCCGGGCCAGCATTGCTTCTTACGCTTTACAAGTTTTGGCTTCCTATCCACCCTGACTGCTCATCCATTTACCATTTGTTCTTCCCCTGCCAAGATATTGGCAGAATCTAATGAACTGGTGTTCTATATTCGTCGTCAGGGTGGGTTCACAGGTAAACTATATCAACATGCGTTCATCAAGCCCGACGGCGACATCCCGGTTCTTGTGGACGGACCTTACGGCGGTGCTAGTTGGCTCAGACTGCGTAATGCAGATCGTCTTCTAGTTATCGCGGGTGGATCTGGTGCCGGCTGGACCTTGCCATTCATTGAGCATTTTCTCGGATCAGTTGCAAACTCCATCGACGAAGCAGTGCCTCGTACCTCCTATTCGGCCCCGACATCACTACGCGTTGTACTTGCGACCCGCGATACTAAAAGCCGTTTGTGGTTCGAGCAAACTCTGCAAACTATACTTGCGCCATACCCAACTGCGATCTTGTCATCCGTCCAAATCGAGGTCCACCTCACTGGTGAAGCCGCAAATCAAGCTAAAATCTTGCCAAAAACAGTACAGCCATCAACTCACTCAGTCCCATCTGAAGCGTCGAACGATATCGTAGTTGGTACCGAGAAAGAAGGCGAAACACTTGTATCAGGCAAAGAACACACGGACCGACCCCAACTACCGCTCATTGTGCAGGAAGAAGCAGAGAAAGCAGCGGATGCAGACGAGACGCTGAATGTGTATATCTGCGGGCCGAAGACAATGCAGAACGATGTGCGAAATGCCGTTGCAGCCGAGAATCTGAAGATAATCACTGGTGCGAGGAGCGGGGGCGTGTATTTACATATTGAGCACTTTTCATGGGCATAGATCCGACGTCCGTATATACTGTCTTCTTATTCCGATTCACCTCGCAGATTAAAGATTTATTACATCCCCTTTCACCACATCCACAGCACCTTCCACCTGGCCTTCCCCACCCTACTCTTACCCCTCCCTCCTCGACAAACTCATCCCACTCCTCGCATTCCTCCCACCACCCCATTCATCCCCATCACTATCATCCTCCTCTTCCGCTTCCTCCTGCTGCCTCTCCCTCGCCTCCCCTGCCTCTCCTTCAACAACAATTTCCACTCGACTTTCCAACACCGTAGAGGTGCCGGACGGGCCAACGCCGCGGACGGGCCAACGCCGGATTTCTCCCCAACAGTACTATCACAAACTTGAAGCTGTAGAGCTCTACATAAAAGCTATTATCGCGAGAAACTCTAGTATAGTAATCTCGTAGTATTGTTTATTTGATCTATCTACTGATATTTGATTGGCAGCTTGATGGGGCGGCCTGAACGCGAGCGTGGTGATGGTGGTGCAGCTGATCGATTAGCTCGCTGCGCACCACCACTACTACTGCCAACGATAATATTCTTTGATGCTAGCTCAGTAGAGCGCTTGAAGGTAGGCTTCTTTCCCCTTTGTGAGATTTTGATAGCTTTCTGAAGTCGTTTGTGGGCGGCTTGGCGGGCTATCCGGTGGGCAGCTGCTTCAGCTTTCTGCCTCTCACGATCTAGTTTGCCTGTGCCCGCGCCCGCCGTCGCGCATCTAGTTCTTG